AGGAGAGAGCCTTGGAATCGGGAAAGAGTCTAAGTCTATCTTACCTGTAGCACGGGAGTCAGTGGTGATAGATGACAGATGCCAGAATATCCGATTGGCACTATGCTTTGTCTGCAATCCATTTTAAGTATGGAGTGCAGGACACTAGACTAGACTATTACCTCCGTTCTCGGGTCTAGTCTCCTAGGGGCGGTAAAAGGCGGAAGTTCTGGATAGCCCTCGTGTTTTCCGGTGGCTGTTGGTGGAGATTGGGTAGAAGACGTGTCGTCGAGGTAAATGATTGGTAAATGGGAGGGGGGTGAGGCTGACAATTTGGGCTTGGATAGCTGCCGAGAGCTACCGTTGGCTCCCGATCTATTCGTTTTTCATTTTTCTTGTCTTGGCTTTGCATTTTTGGTCTGGCCTAGTCAATTGGAACTAAGGAGAAACTTTTCCTATAGTGTTGATCACAGCCGGCTCCCCAAGAAGCAATGCGGATGGAAATCTGTTCCGTGCTGATTTGATAGCAGCTGCATGGCGTTTAGTTTACTTGCAGGCGCATGTACGTTATACGTTGTACATCATAGTTTTCATCACGTCAATTCCGATATGATACAGGTGACATTAACTTTCCCGACTATGACTCCAATGACAATGTACTCCGTACAGATAATTACGTTGTAGTCCATGATCTTCGAGTGGAGGTGGAGGGTTCCAGAAGGAGACGGCGATCAACGGAAGAAAGGAGCCCCTTGCCACCCGCCGGGTACGAATTCCATGCCCAATCGCCAGAGTCCAAATGCCGAATTGTTCGAAATCCAAGACCAAAATGCCCCGTGGCAAAGGAATCCGCGACCGCACAAATGGGGCGGGCGTTTAATCTCCGACCCCCCTTTCGTCAGGTTTATTGATCTATTGGCCTAGCGATCGGAACTAGACATGGATGTTCAAAACAGGTAATCATGATGTCAAGATGCGTTTATCTTGTGGGTCCCGCCACCTGCAGGGCACCGAGTCATCTATCTTAGGTGTTGGGCATCCAGAGGCAAAGAAAAACAATCCTTGGAAAAGGAGACAATGAGTTATGAAGGGTAGTAAATGCAGGGAAATGTACTCATTCGGCATGGGATATGGATGATCTGTGGCGATCGCAGCTGAGTGTCATACTCGCGTTGTAGGTAGAGTAGTCTTGTTTCCAATAAGTTGACCACTTAACAAGATCCATGCTGTACTCTGTACAACATCGTCACAGAGTATTACGGAGCACAACACGGAGTCTATAATTTAGCATTATAGTGACATATCTGAGATCACTTCTAGCGGTGTGTAGACCCGGAGACTAAAAAGCCGAAACCAACATCTGCCGGTCACAGAACCCCCCCCTCCCAAAAAGGCAAAACCCCCCCCAAAAATTATTCCAAAAGAAACTAAAAACAACACTAGCAACGGCCTGAGGGAGAAACGAGAAAACTGGTTGATCTTTAGATGAGCCAGATGCATTGCCAATCCTGGGGTACATTAATCGTTGTGCCCGGAAGCAGCCAAGGCACGGTACACAAGGGGGAACGGGCGTCCATTCCATTTGGCACATGTCACATCACACGAGTCAGCATATTCTACTCCGTACTCAGTACGGATCCGTCGATATGCCCTTGGTGCGGCATACAGATTACGAAGCACATCCTCCGTCGTTGTACATGAGACTAGTCGCTCATGTACAGCTACCTCTGCATGGGCAGGTTTCGGGTCCTGAGAACCGACAACGGATGTGATGAATCGTAGCCTCAAATCTCTGTCAGGTGATTGGACTGGCTGCGGGCATGCGTCGATCTAGGGAGCTTGGAGGAGGTGAAAAAATGATTTGGCTACGGAGTACTCCGTACTTTGCGTTGTTCACCGCAACACAATATCCATCCAGTAAGTCCTACCCATAGAGTGAGGTGTGATAAATTTTCCGTCCCAGAGCACTGGCACACTTCCCTCTCGCGGCTATACAACACACTTTTCCCGGGATGATTGGGGATGAATCGACCTGGATCATCACACGGCCCTTGCTTGTGTATGACGCAGGTGATGAGATACAGACAAAAGAAGTGGTGAGATTGAAGACTCGACGAGGCGACTTTCATGTTGTACGGTGTACGGAGTACATCTTGAACTATGGAGTACCTATTGTGCGGACGAGGGGGAAAAAGGGTAGCCCAGCCACCCACAGAACCAAGGTCTAAAAGGAGAGACGGCAACAAGAAGTGGAAGTCCACGGTAAAGCCAATAAGCATACGAGTTTCTTCCATTATAGATGGCCCAGATGGTCAATGTACATTAGCGCCAGGAGAAGAAAGATGAAGTGTATGGCCCGTGCGGAACTAGTCAGCAGGGAAGCGCCTACCCCCACTCAGCTGCCTTTTAGGGGAGTTTCTCGAAAAAATGAACAGTTCAAACAAATGGTTGGCCATAGCGCCCCTCCATCCTCGCCTCACTCTTGGACTTCTTTAGCGTCTTGTCTAGACCCGAGTCAGCCTAGAACGGGGGGGGGAGGGGGCCAGGTGGGGTCCATCATAAAGTTGGGTGTCTGTGCAAAGGACGGTGTAGGAAAATCAAGAGAGAAGAGGTCGCTTGCTTCTTCACAGTCAGAAATTGGATTAAAAATGACAGCTAACATCATTCACGGAAAAAGGACAAATATGCTACAGTCACACATTCCGATCCATGGGCATATGGCATGGACCAGATCTGACTCAAGATGCCGTAGCTTTGCGGGGCTGGGGGGCTGGGGGGGTGTGATGAGCTTATTGGTAGAATGTGAGTGGCGGGTGCGTTGGCAAATGTGTGTCAGGAGGTTTCAAGGCAGAAACACCGTTGGAGAGAACAGGGGTTGGGATACGTGGAGGCATTGCCACACTAGGCCTAGAACGGAAGAGCTTGCCCAGGTGGCAGTGGGAAACCTTGGAACCTTGGAACCTTGGAACTTTGGAACTTTGGAAATTGAAAATAGGAGACTCTGCAGTTCCAAAATTGCTATGTTGTAGACGATCGTTATGACCCATAGTCCAATCATCGGTTGTGGCGGCTGCAGGAAAGACCGACCGAGTCAGAATGATTGGTCTAACCACACTCGAGCATGCACACCGCCTCGTACACATGGCCTATTATTATTAATCCTTTGAAAATAAAATTCATTTTAGTGCCACTCTATTCTGTACGCATCATAGATTCTTTTGGGGAATTTCCCTATTTTTTTTAAAAATTTTTTTGGGGTTTTTATTTTTTTCTGTTATGTGATTTATTCTTTTTTAGATTTCATTTGATCCTTTCCCCTTTGCCTTTGGGGATTTAATTTAATTTCCTTTTTGATTAGCGCCCTTTCCCTTTTGTTTTATTATTGTCTCTCGAACCACGAGGCGGCCATCGGCTTTGTATCTCTTCTATAATAATCTTCGTTCTCTCTCAGCTTGCTCTGTATATTTCACATCTCCCTACATTTACAACTCCTCTTCTCTTGTTTTCCTTTTTTCTTTCTTGGTTTTCTTTCGTTTTCTGTTGTTCTTGCTTCTGGTTCCTTGTGCAACAACTCTCCTTCTCGACTTCTATCAAACACAACCAGACTGGACCAAACGCACCTAGATTGGACCATCTTGAAACCCTCATTGGAATTGGAAATAAATGCCTTTTGAACATCCAAGGACTTAGGCTTCTCTTATGATCTCCCTGGATCAGACTACCTTTACGCCCTCTCTTCTCTTTCACTCTTTCCTCGTCTCATCCGGGAGAGGACTCTTGGATCCCCTCTACAAAAACCCCAAGGACAATGTATCCGGCCATGCTACCAACACCGCCACCATCGCCGGCTTCCCACCGCTATTCTCCCGAGGATCGTCTAGGACTCGTATTAGCCAACCGGCTGGAACTCACCAGAGTCTTGGGCGTGGGAGCCTACGGCGTTGTTTACACCGCTGTGGACATTCACACCAACGAAGTCTATGCCGTCAAGGCTCTCTGCAAGGATGGCCTGGACGCCCGTCAGCTCAAGTTCCAGCAGCGCGAGATTAGACTCCATCATCTGGCCAGCCAACACCGTAACGTGGTTCCTTTAGTCCGCATCATGGATTCCGTGGATTGTACATACGTCGTTATGGAGTACTGCCCAGAAGGAGACCTGTTCTCTAACATTACCGATAAGGGAAACTTTGTTGGCAATGACTTCTTGGCCAAGAGTGTGTTCCTCCAGATCCTGGATGCCGTACAATTTTGCCATTCTCTCGGGATCTACCACCGGGACCTTAAGCCTGAGAATGTCCTAGTCACTGACAGTGGAATGACCGTCAAACTTGCCGACTTTGGCCTGGCAACGACAGATTACTATACGACGGACTTTGGATGCGGTTCCACGTTTTACATGTCGCCGGGTAAGCTCTCTCCCCCTTCTTCTGTTATGGCTGTGGCGCTAACTCGATACGTTTATAGAATGCCAACAATCCAACGCACGACCTATGTCCTGCTACATGTCCGCAGCCAACGACGTCTGGAGCCTGGGCGTGATTCTTGTCAATTTAATCTGTGGTCGTAATCCATGGAGACGTGCCTCGATTGAGGATTCTACTTTCCAGGCCTACCTGAAGGACCCATTCTTCTTGAAGACTATTTTACCTCTCTCTTCCGAGATGGTGAACATCCTGAGCCGTGTCTTCGAGCTTGACCCAATGAAGCGGATCTCCGTCCCGAAGCTGCGCCAGCTCATTCTGGAGTGCACCCGCTTCACAGAGAATCCCGTGGTTCAAACCCCCTGGGTGCCGGAACAAATCGACTACATTCCCCAACCCCAGATGCCATTGTTCATGGGCCCCATGGAACCCCTGTATGCCCAGACCTCTGGCTCATCCTTGGATTCCGCGCAGTACTCTGCCTTCTCCCAATCAGCTGCTTCTGACGGTTCCGCGATCACCGAGGATTACTCGGATTTCGATACCATGTCGCCTGCAGCCTCTCAGCGGGTCCCCGACTGCAAACCGGTCTTCCCTTCTGTCTGCGCGGAGCCCTTCGTTCCTGCGGATTCCTTTGCCTATGGCCTTATTCATCCCAACCTACAGGGCCTCGAGATCCCCGTCTAACTGCTCCTTGCCTCGCAGCTGCATGACTTGACGCTCTTCCATCTCCTTTCCCATTCCTGGATTGAAGGATCCAAGGTTTCTCCCGCACATCTCGGGTCCCCTTACTCTCTTCTCTCTTGCCTCCGCCGAGCGGGCTCTAAAAGCTGCCGAACAACAAACATGTTGATCGCGTTGATCATGATCCACTGGACTCGGCTACCAGCTTTCTTTTCCCTCTGGACATATTTCTTTCCCCCTTTACTTTTTTCCTGGACCACCAAACTTTGCTGGCTTCACGACCTTGCATGGACTATTTGACCACAGTTCTGTGTCTTGCGATCAGGTCTCCTTTCTTATTGTTTTAATATTTTCCACACATACTTGGAGGGGGTTTTTTTTTTACGTTTCTATTTTTCTGGCGTGACACTATACACCGGGAAGCATGATTTGAAGAAACGCCCCTGGGAGGGCTGATGAAATACGGGGGTTTGTTTGATTTTTTTTTGGAATTGGTGTGTTTGGACTTTTCAACCCGGTATTGACCCTTTTTTTTCTTTTGGATTCTCTGTTTATCTTTTGGGAAAGGCTTTTTGTTATTTTGACGATCTAAGGATGATCTCAGTTCATTTCTACTCATATGTGCATAGACTTTTTGCATTGGCGGGACATTTCGGGGCATCTGTTGTTCCCTCTCATTGATTCTTACGATATGATACCTCGGTGTGGCATGAGGAAACCCTTCACAATCTACACCACTGCATTCTGCTATCTTCACCTCCAATCTCTCAAGAGAACGTTGTAAAGTTAACCGCCTTCAAACGACGCCTTCAACCTGCTTCCCCGTGTACTGTTGTGCAACGTTGTGCCGTCCGAGCCGTGTGACAACGGTCGAGACTCGATTGGGCGTGAGGGGATGATATCTGGTGTTGTGTCGTGTGTGATGGGCCAGCGTCACTGTGCAACCGCTGGCTGCCCAGGTGGCACGCAAGACGGGGCAGATCCACTCCAAGTTGATGGTAGATGGGTCTCTGGTGAGTTGGATAAGGTCTTCCAGTACCAACCCTGTGCAGCTCGAGGTGAGTGGACCAGATACATCCAGCAGGGTGATATGGTGACATGGTACCTCTAACGTCCTAATGATGAGATATTCATAGACGAACTTCAACTTTCACCAAAGGAGATATCCAATCTTCATTCACATGCATTTTCTAAACATCTAGGTCTAAACTCCAGATGTATACACCCCGTTCTTTTAGAATCTACATATTCCGCCCCCCGGTAACCCGAATCGTCTCCCCATTAACGTATGAGAACCACGGCGATGCAACACCCAGAATCGCCCTTGCAGCCTCAACGGGTGTCGCAGGCCTTCTGAGTGGAATATCAGGGTAAGTAGGGGTAGCAACCTCCTCATTCTCACCCTTCTTAGTCGCGAGCTGTTTGCCCGGAATGCCCAGGGCAACCTTTGTGCCATCGGGCATGGTGACAAAAGCGCCTTCTTCCTTAGCGGCAGTCAGCCGGGTCGTCACAAAGCCGAAGGCAATGGTGTTTGCCCGCACACCGAATGCTGGACCCCATTCTTTGGCGATTGTACGGGTCAGGCCGACAACGCCGGCTTTCGCAACTGCATAATTAGCCTGGCCCCTATGTTGACCCATTAGAAAGCCGTTAGCATTTGATGTTGTTTTGGGCATTGAGACAAAAAGAAAAGAGTGGGGACTGGGTCTTGGATATATCGGGTCCCTACGCATTGCCATGGATGCCACTGGTGCTGCTGATGTTGATCACCACGCGCGGCTCTTGGTCTTTCACTCGGAAGTAAGGTGCTGCGGCGCGCACGAGCTGGAAGGGTGCGGTATTATGCACAGCTAGCATGGTCTCCCACTGCTTATCTGTCATCTGTACTCCATACAGGGAAAGTGGATTAGTGGAATTCTAGCTTGGCTTCCTCTGTCAAAGCTGGCATGTTTTTTTTTTTTTCAACCTTGTGAATAACGCCATCTCAGGTGAACCCAGCGTTATTGACGATTATGTGGATTTTACCATTTCCGAACTCGGCTGTTTTCTTTACCAGCTCGGTGATGTAGTTACCATCGAGGACATCACCGACGACGGCGAGGGCACGGTCAGCCTTGGCGGAGTTGATCGTGTCAGCGACGGCGTTGGCTTTTTCTGCTTTGGTTAGATACATGGGTCCAGTCAAGGAACACGATTGTATTCTGTAATTATGGGTTTCCTACCGGCATCGATATCAGCGACTACGACCTTGGCGCCTTCGTTTGCGAATAGTCGGGCTGCTTCGGCGCCGATGCCTTGGCCTGCACCGGTGATAATGGCTACTTGGCCCGCTAGTAGACCAGCTGGGTAATCGAGGTGTTCATTGATTTGATTTAAAACGGTCGGAGGGAGCCATCTTTGAAATGGAATCAATCAAAGGCGATCGTTGACCTTGTAAGAGGGGAAGGGTCTTCTGCAACCGCTCGGCTCTGGGATCGCCGAGGCTCACCGCGGATCGAGATTGTGCGGTACACATAGTAGAGAGATGGGAGTTTATGACCACCATTCAATTTTAGTGTAGTAATAACTCTACATGTTGTAATTGTCGTGTATACCGATATGTGTTTCAATTTTCTGTCAATATAGCCGATCTGCGTTTACTGTCCAACTTGCGAATCCAACTCTGGCTTCTCCGCGCTCTCTACATCCTTTTTCCTTAGCGTACAGTAGCGACAGATAGAAGTTGACCTCCCGTATGGGGGTGAAGTTCAAAGAGACTCGCCATGCATCGTTCGTCCGGATCCACAGATGCACTCCCCCCATGAAGTCGACTGCAAGAACGCCGAGACAGTAGCTTCATAGCCTGCGATGATGGGAAGCAGACCTTCGCTTTTGGGTGTACAGTTCAGAAGATCGGTATCCAATTCGGGAAGCAAGTCGATATGCTCCGAAGGAGCCCAGTGCTGACTGGCGTGCTCATCTGGTAGTTTCAGCTCTGCCAGACCTTTGTGGTCGCCCAACTTGATATCAGCAGCACTAGCGGTGCTTTTCAGGGCTAGCAATACATCCCGGCACTGTAGCAACAGGCCGCGGAGTAGGAAGTTGCGAATCTGCCGGTTTTCCTCCTGGCTGATCTCATAGTATCCGTAGCGGATATCGACTCCATGTTCTGGCCGCGGTGCGCGAGACGTTTCCCGCGAAACCCAGTACTCAAAGAGCTGGAGGGTAAGATTCAGTACTGAGATAGTCAGCAGCAGGTTGGTGCTGTCTTTCCCGCACTTAGTACACTGCAGGAACATCTGACAGGCGCAAAAAGTGCATTTGATTGTCTGCAGGCTGTGGTCGAGCCGCAGCGGCATTGTTCCAGCGAGTAGGTGGTTTAGCCGGTTCATGTGGAATAGCTGCATATCCAAACACTCGCATGGCAAAATCGGATACGGAGAAGCCACAGAACCCGCTAGAGATGGACTGGTCATCCTGTCGGCCAGTTCTCCGGACAGAAATGTCGGCGTGACGGGCGTTTGTGGATATCCCAGACCAGCTGGGAGAACGGGACATGGATCCACAAGATCTGTAAATGGAGAGTTCTCAACCCTCGTCAATTGCACTGGGCAGACAGATGACTCTAGGGTTGCCGTGTTGCCGAAGCCTCGGGGACTTTCCCAGAAGCCCGACTGATGTGACATCAAGCAGCCCTACAGAACGGTAAATTATTGAAAACTTGCGGAGTTGGTCATCGGAAAGGAGAACTTACATCGTTGTCAATTGTTTGGTCAGAAATACGACTGCTATAGCTGTTCCCAACCAGCGGCTCCATGTCCGCCACAGGCGCAACAAGCCGACTACCGCGGAAGCCACGCATCGTGGGCTTTTCTTCTTGCAACTGGCCTAGTTTGCGGAGCGTAGCTCTGTTTTTGCTACCCTTTGGTTTGCCAGATCGATTCGCAAATCCGTATTGGCACTGTAGGCCGTGACGTAGGCAACGAGTACAGACACTTTTGCCGGACAGGTTGCATTTCACTTTGGATTGCCTGCAATTTTCGCACGCAGTTCGGAGCTTAGGTGTATCTCCGCCAGAATATGTGTTGCCATTAGGATCTGCAAGCATTTTCTGTTTGGTGCTGGTTGTCGACCGGGGACAGTGGGGGGGGGGGGGTGGGAAACACGAAAGAAGCTAGTAGGCGCCCCCAACGCGGTGTCAAAGACAGGACGTATAGCCCGGGCTTCGGTGATATATGGATATAGATGGAAAGGAAAAACGGGGAAAAAGAAAAGAAAAAAGGGAAAATAGAAATAGAAATCCAGGATCAGTGCAATGATACCGCACACATCCAATGAAGTAGATGCTTCCCACCCCCCCTCTACACCCACTCCTTGTATGTATATAAACAAGCTCAAGCTTCAGAGAGAAGAAATGTCACTCTGGCATTCAAATGCAGTACCGACGGCAGCCGCATACAGAGGTCAGCCGCTGTGAAACCCCATATGCTTCCATCTGATCAACCACGCATGGGACGTCAACTGGCACCGGGATTTCGAGGTTAAAAAGACGCATCTTCCATCGAAATCCCTTCTTGAATCTGATTCAACCTGATCTGGCAAAAGGAAAAATTGCATAGGTTGACAGCGTTCGCTATCTTCGAACACTGCTCGTGATTTGAGAGAACAGCGTCTACCAAGAGAACCCGACTAGGGGTCCTTTTGTTGGTAGTCGTCACACCCTGATGCAACATCGTAAATGCCAATTTCGGGGTTAAGTTTCTTGGTTATTGGAGAACCAGATGAACCTTTTCCTAACAAGGGCTATTGGTCTTCAATTCCGCTAGGGCCTGCTCTCTCGCCAATGGTACACAAGTACAATAACCTCGAATGGGCAACGCTGGGCACCATGTGAAATCGAAGCATGAAAGGTGTCTTTTTTTTTAAATCGGCTGACCGGGTCTAGTCCCGGTCAGTAGTTTATGTCCTCACCGCTTCATTTCTTCGTCATGGTGTCATTGTTGCACATACTAACTCGAGTCATCGTCAGCAGGGGGACCTTTGACCCTTGAGAGAGATTCTTGAACATAAGCCGCGCCACGTACGCTACAACGTGAACATTTGATTCCATGCTACCTCTTAAAACAATTGCCATGAGCATGTTGTCCAACCTCGAACTTGTGTTGCGCCAGACCCCGATTCAGCCGCGTGGAATCTGACAGGTCTCGGCAGCCCCGCTGTGCCGATAATCGAATGCCTTCAACAACCCTGTCAGGTGAGCCAGTGCTGCGAAGACCACAAGCACGTGGAAGATTTGATGCGAACTCCCCACAATATCGAATTTTCCGGGCATGAGTCGCTCAGGTACTCGAGCCGCATAGATACCCGCCCCAAGTATATACAAGAAGCCCTGGAAAACGAGCCAGTTCAAACCAATCTGCTGTTGCATGCGGTCAAGTCCGAATAGGAAAGCCCCATGAAGTATGGGGAAGACGGCAGACAAGCCCATCCCAACAAACATGGTGGCGCGGAACGGACGCCAGCGTGGTGTGCGGAACCGGGGAGAAGCGGATACAATCACGCAGCCTAGCCCAATGGTACAGATCATGGCCCAGTACCTGTGCTGGAGATCCGGTACACAGTAGAACCCATAGAAGACACTAGGTACAAAGCTGCCTACAATGAGTCCCACGATACCAATATAGTCAAGTGCGTTGCCAATGCGTGCAACCGTGGGTGAATGGTTTGAAATGGTATGATAGGTTGCGGACATGCCAAGACAGAAGGCTGCCCCCGCGAAGAAACAGGAAAAAGCGAGGATGTCAGAATCGGCCGCATCCCGGTAACGCGGAGAAAGCAAGTGGTAGAGCCAGTATGCAACGGGGGCAGCCATCATTGCTGGCAAAAGGTGGGTGTAGATGTTGACCGTCTCATTGTGAACGTAACCCAGCGATTGGAATGAACTTAAAAATGAGGACGAGGCGGGCCGATATCCAGTATGGATGTGATGGTTGTCGCGTTGCCAATGAGGCAGATCGTCCCAATGAAGAAGTCGTTTTACCAAATAGTGAGCCTCCTCCCCGACAGTCATCTCTGTAGGCTGAATATCTACCGACACTTTCTGGTATTCAATAGGACGACGCTGGTGAGGCATAATCACATGTGATCATGCAAGTATGCAAGTATGCAATGAGTTACAGGAAAGTTTTGAAGTTGACCAACGATAGAACAAGTAAGACTAATCAGCAGATGAACTCCTTAGAACAAACAGAAATGAATGAAGGACGAAAAGGCAGACATGAAGGAATTTAATATAAAAAGGATGAAAAAGAACGAGAAGAAACTCCAGCCGTTGGGTAGTTGAGGGAAATCGTCGTGTTGGGGGAAGCTTCGGGGTAGGGGGGGGGAAGACAAACAAGACAAACAAGACAAACATCAGATCAACTCCAATGACGATTGATTGTACACTGTCAACACAAGTCAACACATGGAAAGATGAGTCGTTTACGCCCAGTATCTGACTCTTTGGAAAATGTTGGATTCGTTTCAAAAGGGGATCAGAAGTTTGTTATGCGCAGTCCTCCCGAGCCAAGACTAATATGCTAATATTCGCAGACTGTTGGACCACAAGACACAGACGCAGTACTTTGACAAAATAGTCGACCGATATATGCGATTTTGTGCCCAGCACTCGAAAGACCTCGATGCAGCATTGAATTCTCTGCCAACAAGTCCCTCAAATGATGCGACTTCCAATCCGCCCGCTTCCCGGTCGCCCTTGAAATTACACCCCGCACAGAAGGGCGTCCCGCCACCATCGACAGAGTTGTCCACACTCCTTCTCTCACTTCGGAAGCTACGCGAAGCCGTTCTGGCAACAGCCACGACTATACCGGCAGAATTCTCACAGCGGGTTCATGTATTCTCCATTCGCTTGTCTATTCTCGCGCATCACCCGCCATCATACTTCCCCTCTCTACGATACGTTCTGGATAAACTGCACTCCACATCTCACCCACTTCCCGGCGCCGAAGCCATGGAACTGGTCACTTATTTGATTCTCGACTATGCCTGTCGGCAAGGAGATATGATTGCGGCATTTGAAATGCGTGCCCGAGCGCGAAAAGAGCATTCCTACCAGTCACAGACGGTGGACAAGGTTTTGGCTGCCTTGATGCACGATAACTGGGTGATGTTCTGGCAATTACACAACAGTGTGGATTCTCACATCCGTGCAGTGATGAATTGGGCCGCAGACAGAGTTCGCAGGCATGCGCTCAAGGCCGTAGGCAGTGCCTATCTTAGCGTGCACATCAGTTGGATTTTGGGTGGCTGTACAGGAGACGAACAGAGTTGGACATGGCAGAAATTGGTCGAGCAAGAAAAACTTCGTTGGGAGCGGGAAGGCGATAGGATTATCATCAAGCGACTGAAGCAGAGGGCCCCTCCCAAGCCGGAGCCAAGCGGATCAAGTGCATGAGTACATGTCGGGCAAGAAATTCTTTGGACAAGAGCATTCGGTGGCGTTCGTTTCATTGCATGGCGTTGGTTGGGAAAACGTCGTATCTTTAGCAGGCGGATATTATTCACGGAGCATTGATTATTAACTAGATCGTGTGCTGACAGATTGAATTCAATGGCCCCCAGGGCGAAGTGATTTTCAATTTAAAAGCGTTATAACTTTAGGTCTGAGTTTGGCCGATCTAAATTTGTCTGTCCGATGACAGGTTGTTTTGCTATCGTATCAGCCAGCTGTCCCTTCATTTGAGTTGCTCTGTCGGTACAAAGCTCGTATATTGTCGACAGATTGAATATCAAACTACCAAACGAATTGTTGGATGAGACCTGGGCCTCAAGGATCTGACGAGACTAGGAACAAACAATTAGTCAACAGGCTCAAATCACCCTTCAAATAGGTGTCTAGTGTGTGGATCAAATACCTCATCCAATTTTCCACTGTAAAGAAGACAAACAGCCAGATTTTGGGCTACGAGAGCCCCATCCGTCCTTGTCCTATCCTCCCCGAGAATGCGCCACTCAGCCACGGCATCGGCAAATCGACCATCTGACATGCTTATCAGAGGCTGCAGGAGAGCAGCCTCTTTCGTCTCATTAGCATCACCAAATACCTGACTTGCTGCATCTAGATCGCCAATCCGCAAAAGCAAAAGTGCTTTTCTCAACTTTGTGATGTCCGACTCTGGCCCAGGAACTCGGAGATTATCAAGTGATCTCCTGGCTGCATCGAAATCACCCATCTCTATAAGCGCATTCACGCTCCTAACGCCAAGATCTGCCAGTCGCTGTTTCCATAGTATACGCTCATCTTCAGTAGCTTCACTTCTCATGATCTCTTGGCGCGCTTCCAGGCCGATCTCATACAAACCGCCAATGCTTCGGCGAGAATCACCGAAGCCTATACTTTGGAGTCTCACGGCTAGCACGCGAAGAGGCCATGGAACAATATGACGAGGATCTTGTTCATGTTCTGGGTCTTTATCAATATCGACTGCAGCTGATTCCTGTTTGAGATCAACGTAATAGAACGCTGAACTCAAATCTTCTAGGGCTTTCGATTCCTGGGCCGCGAGAACTGTATTGCCAGACAGATCTAAGCAGGCTAGGCGCGTGTAGAAAAGGGAGAAGATGATCTTTGTATCCGTCGGAGATATTGAAGACGAAGTCAAAATCGAAGCAGAGAAGTGGGCAGCAACGAGAAATCGACCGTCTGCCAATAGCTTTTCGAGGGTACCTAGAGAAGTTGATAGGGGTTCCCCTAGGTTGAGGATAAGGAAATCGGATCGTAGAGACGGAGGGATGTCCAGATGAGAGAGGGTGTGGAAGTTGCTATGCCGGAGTAGGAAGGAGAGATCTTTTTCTACCATTTCAGGTAGATTGTCTGGCGCAAGTGGATCTAAATTGTAGAAGGATGCCCCGGTAAAGGTGTCGTCGGCAGCAATGATTGATTTGTGTTTGATAGGTGAGGTGGGCGTTTCGGGGAGAGCGAGAGGGCTGAGTCATGTAAGGCCAAAGTTATAACGGTGGAAGCCAAAATGACATGCTCACTCATCTAATGCATCTAAGGGACCTCTTGTCGAGCTGCGAGGCCGAGAAGCTGCACAGGCAGTCAGTAAGGGACGGTCGAAATGTGAGGGGAATGAAGTAAGCACTTACACCGGGAGATGTTCCGAATGTGCTTGGCTGGTACAGATTCCATCTCTACAAAGTTTGACGTGCTTCTGCGATCCATTAGAATGTAAAGAAGAGTAACCTGGGAAGTACTCTAATTGAAGTTGAAGCAAAACACCCGATAAGCTATCGGATTCTGCCAGGGCGGCATGCTCCGGATCTGGAGACTTGGCCGCGATCTGGCGTTGCTGATTGCAACAAGCTGTCAGCCACACGTTCCCTACTTTTCGTTCCTCCTTTTTTCTCCATTAATTTTTGCTCGGATCTTTTTACACTCTTTGTTATACTAATTGACTTGTGGGGTTTCAAAATGGTCGCGGCTAAGAATAAGTATTCGGTCATTCTTCCCACCTACAATGAGCGGAGGAACCTCCCTATCATTACCTGGCTGATCCAGAGAACCTTCAACGAGGAGTATGCGCTTACGCTGATATGAGTTGAGAGCACTGCGGCTAAAACGAGTTTTTTCTTTTGATCACAGGAAGCTGGATTGGGAGGTTATCATCGTTGACGATGGATCTCCTGACGGTACCCTCGAGATCGCAAAGCAGCTCCAGAAACTCTATGGCCCCGAACACATCATCATCAAGCCTCGCCAGGGCAAGCTCGGTCTCGGTACAGCTTACGTCCACGGTTTGAAGTTTACCACCGGAAACTTTGTTGTCATCATGGACGCCGACTTCAGCCACCACCCCAAGTTCATCCCTGAGATGATCCGCATTCAAAAAGAGACTGACGCTGACATTGTGACCGGAACCCGATATGCGAACCGTGGAGATGTCAAGGGTGGTGTTTACGGCTGGGATTTGTTCCGCAAGTTCACATCGCGCACTGCCAACCTCATCGCGGACGTCATGTTGATGCCCGGTGTGAGCGACTTGACTGGCAGCTTCCGGTTGTATAAAAAGCCAGTTCTAGAGAAGGTCATCCTTAAGACCGAGAGCAAGGGCTACAGTTTCCAGATGGAGATGATGGTCCGTGCTAAGGCAATGGGCTACAAGGTGTCCGAGTGTCCGATTACCTTCGTCGATCGCCTGTACGGCGAGAGCAAGCTGGGTGGATCCGAGATTGTCGAGTACCTCAAGGGCGTGTTGAGCTTGTGGGTCAATGTCTAAATTAGGCCTTACCACAGGGAATTTGGTGCCCCAATGCTTCGATTGATCTTTGCTTCAAGTCCAACACGGCATCATGACTGGACTTGCCTACTGCCCGTGCTGTGATATACCCCTTTCTCACCTCCTTTATTCTGAATCCGTGCACTTCTGGGTGGTGTTTGAATGACCTGTTTATTGTCGATATCAATTCAACGTTCTCTTGTCTTCTAGATTTCCCATTTCTATGCTTCAATACCATCAACCTCCAGCGCTCAGAGGGCCTGGAGGTATCGTAGAACTCGTTCAATGAGGTCTTGCTGACCTTCGTCACGAACATTGTGGCTGGCTCCAGGAACGACCCCGCTGTTTTCCGCATCCCACTTTGCGCCTCCGGCCTCGGTGGCCCGCTGCCATCTCTGCAACAGCTTCTCCTTGTCCACCCAGTGTGGGCAATATTCATCTCCGCCAGAATACAAGATCAACAACTTTGATTTAATAATGCCCTGGGTGCCCACCATTCCAAAGGTTTCCTGCAAGCGCTCATCGCTCAAGTCGGAGCTGAAGAGATCGTCCTCGGATGGGTTGTCGGGGCTCTGAGGGCTGACTAGACTCAAGAACCTCCGGGCACTCAGAGGCGTGTCAGGGGGATAAGAAAGCTTCGCAGTCAAGTTCATTGGCAGAATCGTGTCGTTCTTTTCCGCTGTGTATGGTTGCTCCTTGGAAAAGCTTACAAGCTGATCGTAGACCTTTCTAAGCTCATCGGCATGCGGGGAGGAATCGATAATAGCCTGTAGACCCTCTCTATCAGAGACAGGCGCTTGCATAATAGCACCATCGAGCTCTGGGCGGACCATGTGCCGAAGGCCAAAATCAAACTCCTTGTGCAGCACGGGGTTCGGCGAATAAAGGTAGTGGAGCACGTCCTGGCTTCCAGTCGAATGTCCCATGATCGCAATCTTTCCGGCTTTTGTCGGCGCACCTGGCTGGCGTGATGCCTTGAGATCGCGAATGAACCGCACACATTGCCCAATTTCTTCTACATCGCGATCAAGGCTTCCAACTCCCCATCCGGCATAAGAGGACGAGAGTAGGACAGAGAAGACCGACCAATCGGTGTTTTCCAGAGCGTTGGCTAGTTTAGAGACATAGGGAACAGTACATAATCCATCCGTCAGTCCACCCACGAATATAAGGCTGTTTATCTTGTTGATTTCCTCTGTTGGTGGGGTGAACTCAAAGGCCACAAGTTTGGGAGCCTGTGGGTATTAGCTTGGCATCTGCAATGAGCAGGGTATAATATACATATTCGTGGAGGACGCCGCTATGCGACGACCCGCGACTAGCATGTGAGGACATTATTGAAGCTTGGTGGTTATTGGAAAGGTGAGAACGAAAGTGGGAGATCAGCAGTTGACGTATCTTTGCAGGCGGGGCCGGTCATGTTTGCATATGGGTCCTCTCTGATCTCATGAGCTTGAACATTCTTTTTCTATTTTCGATCAGATTTTAGCGATAACATTTACTCTATGACATACAGATAACTCTATGCAGCGACTCATACTATACATTTTAGGCCTAGCCACGCTCACACTTTCCCCAAGGACGATCCGCATGAACCCTAGACGATGTACCTCGTTTGCCCTGTCGTTCCGAAACCCCTCTATCTATCAAGATGTGAGGTCATACTCACTTGTCATCAAGCTGACCGCAAAAAAGCGCTTCCTTTTGAGAAGCATACAGCCAACTACAAAATGCTGATAAGTTGGAATTACCAGCTCGCGGGTCGATCAAACAATGAGGCTCTCGAACGGGAGGGCACTAGGCTATGCCAAATATGGCTTTGAAACAGGCTATCCACTGACATTCATGCATGGCTATTTCCTATGTCGTCTCAAGTCCTCTGCGATAGACCACATATTTCGCCAGCGTGGAATCTGTCTGATTGCCCCGGATAGCCCAGGCTTCGGCATCTATACAGTCCAACCATACCGGAGTATCATGAACTAGCTCACCATCTCAGCCTCTCCCGTTTTGAAATTATGGGCTGCTCTGACGGCGGGCCATATGTATATGCGTGCGCGCAAATTCTCCCCAAGACACGATGTCTGCAGTCTGCATACTTGCCGGGGAGGGCAACTGTAGGGCTGGAGCTCATAACAAGCCTTGTATATGTCGTGCATCAATGCTAGTGGCATGTCACTAGCCACCTGGTCTACGGGGCTTGTTGACCTATGTGGTGTGGATGCTTAAAAATGAACTGGATACACCAATGGCAACTCGGAGACTCAATGAATAGCTGCCGAAGGGCCGGGACCACCATGACAAATAGACTGAGGAACGAAGAGCCCAATATCAGCGCATGTCAATTGAGCCTTTTGCAGAGGGCGCTGACCCCTCTGTATTCGAGATGAAGCTATTGTCACAAGACTGGGGCATTGAGTTTGGAGACTTTACTTGCAAAATATCCACATCTGGCATGCAGAGAAAGATTGAAATTCGCCGTCACCCATGAAGAAGTACTACGTTAAACTTCTTTTAAACAGCTCATCCTTCAAAGCGTTTGAAGGCAATGCAAAATTCACGATTTATAGGCAAATAGGCAAATGGACGAGATCCTCTCAGAGCCGATTTCTGAGAGCTCACAGCATAAAAGTGCGAGCCCAGACATGCCATTGAAGAGCGTGTGTTACTCTAAATTTATTGCAACGATACATCCTTATGTAAATTTACTCCACTTAATTACTTATCGACATCTCACAGCTTGCTAGTAGATCTATAGCATTGGGGATTGACATGCTGTATGTAGCATACTGCACACTACTATGTCAAATTGACGGAATGATATACGGCTCTGGCAATCAGACAGGGATGCTATTCCACTATTATCAAACCTTGGAAAACAGTATTTGAACTAAATTTCCGCTACCAGCCGTTTATCTAAAGACACAAGAGCCACAAAACTTGCGAGGCTGGCGAACAGCACATGAGGTCATTAAGTCTCTAGGCTAGGAAGGTAGTATGTATATACTTGGAGAACTTAGCTTAGTCTACAGGTAATCTAGATTGGAATTGTAGTTCTCCTTACACGTCGATGAATACAATTAAACATGCACGGGACTCTTTGGTGAGTTTCGATCTTAGGTAACCTCGTGACAAACAACCAAAAATTTGAATAAATAAGTCCGAAACTATTCAGACCTGGACGTTGATTAATTTTACTCGTAAGATGAGGGATGTAGTCCACGAGTTGTTCAAAATGAGGCTGAAATAAATTGATGCCTAAAACATAAGGAGATGAATCCGCCATGTTGGGACTAGCGTCACCGCCCTTGACCTTCGTGTATTGCTGAAGCTTCTCTATTTTGCCAATCATTAGTGGACATCCCAGTACACAAGATCGCGGTTGCTTTGCTCAGTTAGAAGTAAACTACTGAGTTCTGGAGAATTTGACACGCTTTGCGTATGCACCCTGCTTTTGTCATTGGCTGTCGTTAACGACGCGATTTATTTGAGCAACATGACTTCTGGCCGCAGGTCTGGCCGCTTCAAGGGTCCCAGGGCGGTTTACATTGATGATCCATTCAAAGCAGCTGGTATAAGTGATGACGAGGACTCCACCAAGCAGGAGAGTCTTCGCAGCGGGAAAAAGAAGCGCACCCCGACAGAAGATTCAGCCTCAGATCATGAATTTGTGGCTGGTTCAGGCGAAGAAGCCGACGAAGGAATTGACGAAGAAGATGAACCTGAAGAGGAACTAGAAGAGGAATTTGGATCAGAAGCCGATGCCTCTGACCCCGAAGACTTGGAGATCGACGGCATCGAGAGTGCTCTTGGGAAAGGCCGTTCGACATCGTCCCAACACGATGTGAGCTTCAAGAAGCGAAGAGCGGATGGGACAGTTGTGCCATCCGCCGAAGAAACACACATTCGTGGCATCATCGAACCCAGAGATCACCTGTCCAAAAGCACATATTACACTCTCACTTTCGGTTCTGACGATCGAGATCTAATGCCAGCCATCCACTTCAGAATGCGATGGAACAAGGGTATTGATGCGGTCTTTCCATCTCGCTTCACCTTGGAGGAGACAGAGAAGAAGCCTGAATATCTATACGGGCCCACATTTGGGGTTCACCCGGATGATGTTATGAAAGAAAGCACTCGTGGATGGGACTGGTACTATGACCGGGACACCGGTGAGAGGTTCCGGAAACGACAGCGCATTGAGACGATTGGAGAATCAGTGGCGTTCCAAAATTACCTGCCTCAGCCAGATACACAAAAATGTGGCATTTTACTGGGACCACACGATAATCAACAACTGTTCGAGTTGGGCTATCATGAATCCTTTGATTTTGGAAAAGCCTGGGAGGAACCAAGCTCTAAAGTAGATGAATCAAAAACTGGGACCAAAAGGATTCGTGAAGGTTGGATGTTAAACATCGGCCAAAAGGCACATTGCATGACTTGGGCCCCAAATCAAAACGGTCTGACCCAATATCTTGCTGTGGCAGCGGCGATCAAAGAAGATCAGAAAAACCAATACAAATCCGAAGAAAGTGAGCCTGTCTCATCGTTTCAACCCTCAGAGCCTTTCCCCAGCGCTCTGCAGATCTGGGAGTTCAAAGGCAAACCGAGTGATACCCCTACAATGACTCTCGATATGGATTCTAAACCCCGGCTTCGGCAAGTCTGGTGTGCTGATTGGGGGGATCTTAGACGCATGGTATGGTGTAATTTGCCCCGGACCGAACGAGCGGAGGACGAAGAAGATGAAAAACAATCCATCGGTCTACTCGCAACAGTTTGGGGGGATGGATACGTCAGAGTTCTGGATATTAAAACAGGTGGAGTGTCACAAGAAACTGAATTCTGTGAGTAAACCTTTTGAGAGATTTTCACCAGTCCCGCTAATGTGGAACATATAGTTAAAATCAAATCGCCTGCGTTTGAGGCAAAACCGCCATCAACAGTTTGCACATGTGTCACTTGGCTATCTCCAAGTGATCTTGTAGTGGGCTGCGGTAATGGCTTTGTGGCTATCTGGAACATCGAACCTTCCTCTACATCTCAACCTTTGCCATATTTCTATCGGCCACTCCACGCCACCTACATCCTCAATATAACATCGGCATACCCGGTCCATCCTCAACTAATCATCACTATTTCTATGGATGGCGAGACAAGGATGTGGTCAGTCCTCGATCCCACCAGTGAAATGACCTCGACGGGCCGCATGCGAGGAGCCTCTCCCTACCTCAGCTATTCTCCAATCTGCCAGTCCGTTATTGCCGGGGACGAAAACGAATTTGCTCGCATAATTCCAATTCGACGGTTTTTCACCACTACCACTATTGCGCGGCTCAGCAGCACCATCTCGGCCATGGCGCAATGCAGTTATCATCACCCCTGTGCCCTATTTGGCAGTGCTGCAGGTGAGGTCGTAGGAACAAATCCCTTCCGACGAGTTGTTTACAACAAGGAGCAGATCTGGCAGCAGATATGGTTTACGCATGAATGGATTCCCACCTCCAAGACAGACACTGTGGGCACCAGTCGGTTTCATGACGGATACCGAGCAGAGAACCAGAAACTGGCAACGAACAAGCTGTTTGAGACCAACCCTGTCAATGGGATGGGGACCTCGACGATATTCGAAGAAAATACTCACGTCACAGCCCTCGGGTGGAATCCCAACCGCCCTTGTGCAGCGTGGGCCAGCGCTGCTCTGGGGTGTGGATTAGTGAGAGTGGAGGATCTTGCTATCTAGTGCCACAGCAGTAATCAGGAATTCTGTGTTGATGAAACAGGAGATTTGCTTACGATCGTCCTATCAACCAGGGTCATGAGGACATCATAGTTGAATGAAAAGAAGCTAGGCGACAGTAGAAGGAAAAATATAGTGTGTCAGTTGTGTCACAGTGGATCCCCCAGCCACACCAATTTCTTACTTAAGGTCGCTGTGGAAACGCCACCACAACATCGTGGTTGGCAGATGTGGCATGTGGATTCACTTAGATCTAGCTCCACCCAATCAAAGTCATCACAAGACGATTAGAAATAAATTAAAAAATATAAAAGCCATGGCTGGATTGACGCCAACCCAGCCACCGTAGATCCCAGCCGCCTACTTTTGATGCAATCGAAGTACCCTTCACCGTTATTGTAGATCTTTTTGGTATGCCTTTTAAACCCGGAATAATCCATAGAGCCCTTCCCGTTCATTCTCAACTCTCCATCTTTTGTCCAAATATCCTTTCTAACATCACTCGTATCTCCACTCCGTTGTTTACATTTCGGTCTTTAATCTTCAGCGTTGATCAATTTTTCGTGCAAGCTTCAATTGCTTCCCGTCATCATGCATTTCTTTTCTGCTGCACTCCTCGCCATTTGCTCCATTAGCGTGACCCATGCGGCGCCATTCCCCAATCCCGAGAACGAAGACCTTGCTCGTCGCGCAACCTACTCCGTGGTCAATGCCGATGAAGAATCATCCAGCTCAGTTGCACGTGAAGTCGAAACTGTCTTCGAGACATCCACAGTCACTGCTCTTGGTACAAATTCAGTGTCGATCACTGTGACTGTGACTGCCACCCCTTCAAGCGTGGTCCAGTCCTCGACTCCTGCGGCTAGCTCTACTCCGTATTGGGTGACACCCGATGTTTTTCCAACTGCTGGCTCTTCATCTCTCTTCCACCGGAGTCTGACAGCCACTGGTCAGCCTGCACTATTTGCTCGCGAGCACTTTAGCTCTTCTTCTGCTTCAGTGTATGCCAGTGAGTATCCCACTGACTGTGCCGCCCAGTCTCTCGATGCTCGTGGCTGGTACTCTGTCGCTTCTGGTACTCAATCTGTTGCCACCGTTACCGCTTCCCCTACATCTCTCGTGGCTCGCGGCTTCGGTGATTTGTACTCTTCTGCTGCTACCCCCTCTGCGTCGGCGACCCCCCTTGTGGCTCATGTAGCTCGCAGCTTTGGTGGTCTGTACTCATCCGCCGCCCCTTTTTATTCTGAAGTGAATGTCCCTCTTTCTCTTACTCCCCTCGTTGCCCGCGACATGAATGCTTCTCCCTCCGGCACTCCCTCCAGCTCGAGCGCCCGGACTTCGGCTGCTCCTCTTGCTGTCCGTGGCCTCTCTGGCTGGTACTCTCCTGTCCCCAGCGCTTCCTCCGTTGGTGCACCTTCTGCCTCTCCCGCTCTTGTGGCCCGAAATGTCCACGGCTGGGGCTCCTCCAGTGTCTCTTCGCCTGTCCCCAGCACCTTCGCTGCATCAGCTGCTCCTGTAGCATACTAAGACAAATCCCATGGGCCAAAGAACTTGGCTTCCTTCAAGGGAACATGGGCAAGACTTTCTTTGAACTGATGAACTGCTTGACTTATGGCACGAAATGATTGCAACAATGAAAAAGAAAAAGATTGGGATGACTTGATTCATCCCCATTATGGTTTTGGGGATGCAAATTTGATTGGAGTTCTTACCGGAAGCGATTTTTAAATGACTGCAATTCCTCATGTGTCTTCTACTTTTTGTGAATATGGGATTGGGTTGTTTTCGCGTAGGCTTGGCCTACATAGAGTGGATTTGAAAATTTGACGGGTCTATGAATTATATAGAAGCGTTGCATATTGCACTGAGATTAACGAAATGAAATGGATAGTTTTAATGACATTATTCTTGGCACTGTGCACAATTTCGAAATGAAGAATTCTACACATTTTGCATCAACTTTCTTCGAAGATTAGTTATTTAGGGCCTAGGAAGATGTGGAGCTTATGTAACGCGGTTCATGGCCCGCGGCGCGCTGGTTGCCCTGAGAGACGCGACCGTAAACAGTGTGTCATCCCTCTCACCTTCAACCCTGGAACTTCGACCTGTGACCTCCAAGGGTCTTTTCTGTTGTCACGGGGGGTTTTTTTTAAAAATCAATTTTCAACAGATTTTCTTTCTTTTTTTTTTTCTTCGAACCTGAGATTCCAACACGCTTCGATTGCATGTGCAAAGGCTGGCCGAGGCTCAGCATCGACAACAATGCCGGGGACAGTGGCAGACGGACCTACGGTCTCCATGTCTTGTATGTGCTACTGCACTAAGAAATCCTTGCGCGCACTGACGATTATTTTAGTTGCCAACAATTTTTGGGGCAAAGATGATGCGGGACTTCAACCAATGCTGGACCACGTGCATGGCTCAAAGATCACAAACGACGAGCTAAAAGTTTTCTACAGCAGTATGTGATATGCATGTGGGCGCGATGATATCGAACTCTAACATCTTAATAGTTCGAGCCTCTATCGAAGATGAATACGCGCGGAAACTCCAAGCCCTGTGTCGCAAGTCGTTGGGATCATGCGAGATTGGGTCGCTCCGAGCCTCCCTCGACGTTGTCCGCGGTGAGACTGAAGCTATTGCCAAGGCACACTCTGCTATAGCGGGACAAATGAAGACAGAACTGGAGGAACCACTTGCTGCTTTTGCTAGTGGAATCAAGGAGCGACGAAAGATTATTCAACAGTGCATCGAGCGCTTACACAAGACCAAAATGCAACAGACACAGCTTGTCAACAAAGTGAGTGCTTCTGTGAAGTTATGAGAGGTAAATATGCTAATTCCACAGACGCGTGATCGTTACGAGCAGGATTGTCTCCGCATCAAGGGATACCTCGCGCAGGGCCACATGGTCATGGGTCAGGAAGAGCGCAAGAACAAGGCTAAGCTGGAGAAGACCCAGATTCAGATGGCATCAAATAGCCAGGAATACGAAGCGGCCGTCAAACAGCTCGAGGAGACAACTGGACGCTGGAATAAGGAATGGAAGTCAGCATGTGACAAATTCCAAGATTTGGAAGAGGAGCGTCTGGACTTCACAAAGAGTAGTCTGTGGACCTACGCGAACATTGCTTCAACCGTTTGTGTCAGCGATGATGCTGTATGTTTGTTGTGTCCGTGCTTAATTTGCAATACTAACTCGACATCTAGTCCTGCGAGAAAGTCCGTCTGTCTTTGGAGAACTGTGAAGTCGAGAAGGATATCATTTTCTTCATCAAGGAGCAAGGAACTGGCCAAGAGATCCCAGATCCACCGCGATTTATCAACTTCTGCAAAGATGATGACTCAGGCTCTGATATAGATGAAGCCGATGGCTACTCGGTAGCCCAATTCCAACGCACCATGAACCCTGCATTCCGCACATCTTCTCCTCAACCCTCAACGTTTGATTCGCACCATGACCCACAGTCAGATCTCGCAGCTCAAATGGGACATTCTTCTCCTCCTGGCGTTAGCCACGCGGCGCCATCTCAGCAGCAATCGCCACCTCAACAGCAGTCTATGCAGCAGCAGCATCCCTCCCAACAGCAGCAGTTCATGTACCAGAAGCCTCCCACCCAACAGCAGCAGTTCACGCACCAGAAGCCTCCCACCCAACAGCAGCCTCTGATGCAACAACATCATCATCCCATGCACCAGCAGCCTCCCATCCAACAGCCACCCCCTATGCACCAGCAGCCTTCTATCCAACCGCAGCAACCGCCCCAAGAATCACAGCCCGAGCAACCCGCGCCTTTGGACTTCCGCCGTGGCGGCGCACCGCCGCCAAACTATGACCCCGAGCAACATGGCGAGATTGGAGCCGTTCCACATAACGCATACCCCACAGATGGTATGACCATGTTCTGTCGTGCTGGGCCACCATCGGAGCGAAGCTCAGCGACTAGCGCGTACCGCCCGTCTAGCCGTGACTCTCAGAGCGAAGCTTCGAACCCAACCTCCATCTCCAGTGTCGAGGAAACTCCAACCAAGAAGTCTGTAGTCAAACCAACAAACAGTGCGCCAATGCCGATTTCGGTGGACGAAAAGTCAACCAAAAAAAGGAGCGCTTTCTTTAGCAACAGCCCGTTCCGTCGCAAGAGTCGCCATGACAAAGAGAGGCCTGTCATTGCTTCACAGCAAGTCGTCTCTCCACAGGCGGTTGTTTCACCTCGCCCCTCGTCTCGTGGTGGTTGGGATTCTCCAACAAAGCAAATGAGTCCTCCCAAGCAAGTAGGCCCGCCCAAGCAAGTGAGTCCTCCTGAGCAAATGAGCCCGCCCAAGCAAATGAGTCCTCCCGAGCAAGTGAGCCCGCCCAAACAAGTCATCAGCCCACTCAAGCAAGTGATCCCACCGAAGCAAATCAGCCCACCCAAGCAAGTCAGCCCAGTCAGGTCTTCAGCAGGAGCGCCAGGTCGTTCCCCTAGCAGCCCGGAGCCTGTTGATCCCCGAGCCAATTTTCAACTCAATGTCGGGAATAACGTCTTTGACGTCGCATCCCCAGAACAGAGCTCACCCCAGAAAGGAGCGCAGCCAACCCAAGCATCCGAGGATGACTTGGACCCTGTTGCGCGGGCTCTAGCAGACCTCAAGACAAGCGGGAAACAATCAGCTACCCGAGTATCAGCAGATAGATACCATGGCATCTCTACACCCACTCCGTCGATGCACTCTTCCACCTATGGTGGCAGCAATTCCAGCATTGCTGCTCCGCCACCAGCCTACAATGATACCGCAGTCAAGCGACTTGGCGCACCTCAACCGGCTTTCACAGCAAAGCAAATGCACAAGACAACCCAGAAGTATACTGGTCAAACCCAAAGTATGCTTCGAGGACAAAACAACAGCATGGGATCTAGACACAGCGGTCAAACTCATGAAGCCCCCCGAGCTAGATCGCCAGCACCAACACCGAGACGAAGCGCCAGTCCTCAACCTCAGGTTGCCTCTCCCCGCGTGGACACTCGGATGAGCCAGAATAGCGGCAGGGGCCCGAGCCCAAGTCCGAGTAGTTACCAGTCTAACAGCATGCGAAGTCAATATACCCGATCGCCCACTCCCCGTCGTACTCAAGAACCACCCTATACTTCCAATGATTTTGCTCGGAGAGCCTCGCCCGCCATGAGTCACCGTGCTGTATCCCCGCAGCCCCAGTTCAGACAGCCAGCTCGTCCTTCTAGTTCTGGTGGCATGGAGCTACAATTATCTGGAAGCCACGATATGTACGGCTCTAGCAGTCCCGGTGGATATGGTGGCTCGGTTCGCGGAAGCAGCCGCCCCTCGTCGATCTACGGTGACGGTCCGCCTACTGGCCGGTCCCGCAGCCGTACTTTGGCTGTTGCAGAGCCTGGACGTAAATTCAGTCGTGATGGTCGCCCTATCTTGCACTTCGGTAAGCATTTATTTCTTCTCTTGACAATGCGTTCTTTATATCTAACTTGATCTCAATCTCGCAGCTCGTGCCATGTACACCTACAATGCCGCTATCCCTGAAGAGCTCAGTTTTGGCAAGGGCGATGTACTTTCCGTCATTCGCCTGCAAGATGACGGCTGGTGGGAAGCCGAAGTCACCAACGCACGTGGCCACCCTGGTCTCGTGCCTAGCAACTATCTGCAAATCATCTAATGCCTCTTTGATCTCCCGACCTGCCACTATCCTCGAAATCTCCGTTCCTGGCGGTGAAACTCTTCCTGATATTCTCACGTACATACCATGCTTTTCGTCGACTTTTATTGCACATTGACGATTCCTTTCTGACCCTACTTCCAATTTTTGTCATTTCCCACATGGTGCTATAGTCCCCTCTTGAAATCAGCGAACAGCCTGTTTAATCTTATTCTTCTGTTCCTGCAGATGTTTTTGGAAACTTTAGCGTGTGTGTTCTGGGAATCTTTACCATGTGCTTCATGTGGAGTCTTTGAATTCCAAATTTTTTTTTCACCTCTCGAAGGAGATCTGTTCGAAGGAAATTGTATGATCAGCAATCTCGAGCCCTGAAGACCTTGGCGCGTCACGGCATTTTCATTTTCTTATTCCCCCCTTCTTTGCCCCATTCACGATGATTTGCCTCGCTCGATGTTTAGACGCTCCCTCCAGTGTCATGGAGGTTACGATATTCTTTGTTCTAATTGATGCTCTCCTTTCTGCACTGTATTTTCCATGAGACATGTAAGTTGTAGGCATATCCCGATAACAGTTGCTTCACTTGAACTAGAGGCAGTCTTTGTGTATACTTGACTATTACCTCTTTTTTGTCAAATCACAACAACCCAGATGTAGAATTTAACCATCTCTCCAAAACCACCACAATAGGATCCGTACCATCTGGTTACCGGAGACAGTATCCGTGGATGATATCCTTCAGATATTAGAAGTTGACCCCTAGTTCATCCTAACTACAGCTTGAGGGAGATTTCCCCCCGCTCTAGAGGGCCGGAAGCTAAGAGACTGTAGACCTCCGTGATCGAGCATTCTAAGGCTAAGGAGCTTTGGATAGTTCAACCCCCCCCGATCTCTCCTTCCACCTTGTACACTCGAATGGTGTTGGATGCCTCAGGCATCACATGTAGGATAGACCAACTAGATAGTCTTCCTTCCACTCTCACCTTCTCTCTCCCCCCGTCCATCCAATTGAATACTGTTTTACCTGCATACATCCTATCATTGTATTTGCATCAAATGGCCACACCGGCATATAAACTAAAGAATCCATTCCTTCTGTTAAGAGGTAATTTATAATGAATATTATTCTCTATCAGATTGATGAGGTGGCATATGATTCCAAAGGCAGGTAAGCACGGCTTCCCCTTCCGCCCCCGAGTTCTTGATGTTCTACAATAGCAATCTATGTAGAATGGCTGCTGAGCGGAAGTTAAAAATGGCTTGAATCCGAGGTTTCACTGTTAAGCAAAAATGCTGTAGCATCTTTATCTCAGTCGTCACCCCCAGGCAACGGATAGCTGCCATTTTCGAAGAGTTTGCTGGCAGACTGTAACACCTCGGCTGTTTCCTTCCCAAGCCACTGAGGAAGAATCAATTTTCTGCTGTCTTCTACTTCTACGGACACTTGTCCTGCAACCTATGTACACATTAGCATAAAGTGAAGGCCTAGGAGGAGAAAGTGTCAAGCACAGTACCATGTAGCATTTTCCAGTCTCATCCCGCGTACAGGCAAGAGAAATAGCCGTTGCGACACCCTCCAGTATATTCGGTTTGAGACCCGAGTGTTTCCACTTCTCGGCCACTGCTTTAAATGTAGGGGTTGGTGTGAAAAATGGAGCAACGCCATTGATTCCGATCCCTAGCTCTCGACCAACTTGTTGCGCCGCTCGAAGAAGGCCGGTGATCCCATGTTTTGATGCAATGTACGCTCCCACCCCAGTTGATCCGAAATATCCAGATGTCGATGTCACCAGAACCACGGATCCTCTCCGGCCACTGGCAGATGTAACTCGGTTGTGCTGCATGTAGTAGAGTGCAAGTCGCAAAGCTTCAAGAACGGGACGCAGCAGATTAGTGACCGGGAACAGTTCCAGGTATCACCAGATTCCAAAAAAAAAAAAACAATTACATACTGTCAACAGTTCCTTTGAGATTGACATCAATTACGCGAAATCCTTCAGTCGACTCGCGCAATTCCCCATGCTCGTCAACGTTACCAATATCAAAAAGCTTCTGACTCTCCATTATGCCGGCATTGGCCACAACAATGTCGACTTTGCCGAACTTTTGAATCCAGTGAGCAAAAAGGAGCTTCATTTCGCTCCATACAAGGATGTTGACGCCCACAAATAACGCAGCTGTGGGGTGTTGTAATGAGTGAATCAATGTTTCAGCGTCGGGACGAGTACGTTCCAGGTCGGCAATAACGGTATTCGCTCCTCGTGAGTTGAGCAACCGTACAGTCTCCGCCCCTATGCCATTTGCTCCCCCTGTCACAATAGCAGTCTTACCCGATAGACTTCTAAGAGCGAAGAGGTCGGTATCCTTCATGTCATCCATCATGTGCTTTTGCGTGAGTATCGTGATGAGAGACACTGTTCAATGCGGTGTATTCTATATTGGCAGCCTCTGATGACCGATAACCAAATGCGAAAATCCGATGTTGCGTACATTTCAGGTCGGTGTTTTCTCTTCGGCATATAATCGGCTTATGGGCTTATTCGGACAGCCCAATCGGACATTTTGCCCATTAGCTCGCCAAGCATGCGCCCAGAAACCATTCGCAAGCAGTAGGGCGCGGAGCAATGTGTTTATTCCTTTTCAAAATAGAGAACGGTGTTTCTCCACTTACAACTACAACGAGGGAAATAAAATGGGGGCTGCCACTAGGAATTGGCTCCATTCTAACACTTTGCCTGGAGCTGGCTAGAGTCTCTACATTTGAAGGAATCCTAGTTTGATGACTTTACTTGGAGATGAAGGGAGAAAACGGTAAATAAGGCAACACGATGGTTTTATTCAGTGACATGGATAAATTCTTTGAAGAACATGCACAGAAGATCATTTTCCCATACGATGGCTTTCCCTATCAACTAGAAGTAGCAACCCTATCTATAAGTGAGGCTAGCTCAACTGGGACGCTGACACTGGGGAAATGTCCAGAATTGCAACGGAGGGTGGTCACTTCTCGGCCGCTCCGTTTAGAAATCATGTCAATGACGGATCTCTGAAGTGTAGGCGGTACAGAAACATCGTTTTTACAGATGATGTAGGAGACTGGGATGTCGACGTATCCTGCGTTTTGAAGTGGCCCGGCAAAGCTCGTCGCTGAATGCGCCTTCATGTGATTTGCATGTTGGATCGATTGGGCGTACGGCAGGTCCGAGAAATTGACGCTTGCACAGCCGTCGGGCTCAGAAGTGAGATATTCACCCTATGTAAAGCATTGAGCATTGACAATAGTGGACTCTAAATGTGCCTTTTCTTACCTGAAGTGTCATAAAATGAGGTAATTTCCCGGCCATCATTGTCATGATAGATCCACCCACTTCAGGTACTGGAGAGCTGATGTAGACGAGATGAATGATACCCCCCCAGGTTTCGCCATGGCTTGCCGCTCAGCCTTTGAAGTCCCCGCAGTGCTTTCAGTGCCACATACCCCGCCGTAGGAGTGCATCAAGAGGATGATCTCATGGCCATTATCCGCTAGCTTCGTCGTCACCATCTTGATGTGCTCGGCATCTTCCGTCATCGATGCAGCTGGCAATGGATCGCGATTTCCAACGGAGGGAAGGTCAATAGTAGTTGCACTCACCCCATATTCTAAGAGACGCCGCACAAACTCCGAGTAGAGCGATGATGGGGCAAAAGAAGCTGGGACAATAACAACGTGAGCCTTGTGCTTTTGCATTTTGATGGCTTCCAGGTGAGTAGATGACTCGTTTTTCATGTCGGCTTCAAGGCTTCTTCAACAATGGAACCTTTTTTTTCATCTCCAATCTCGGAGGTTGGGACATGAAGAATTTGCCGCGAGCATAGACCGAGGCGAAAACCGAGACCGAAAAGGCCGGGATCATCGGGTGCTGCATCGGATTTTCCCATCTTCGTCGGATGTGCTTAGTAGGGTAGCCGAAGGAATAGAGAGACAATCACCACTACTCCATCCCAATTGTAGCACCTAGAGTCGGACAGGCGTTTGCTGCTATTCTCGGACCTGATGTCTATGGGTCTATGTGGTTTAGTAGGAGCCCAAATGAAGGCTATATAAAGGATCTGCAAATTTCCACCTGTCTTGAATAGATATTCTCAATACACAGACAGCTTTTCCTTCTCACAGAACATCATCTTCCATTTTGCATCATGTCCAAGCATATTGCCATCGTTGGGGCGGGGCCATCCGGTCTGACCCTTGCAGCGCTGTTGCAACATCACTCGATTCCCTTTACCATCTACGAGCGAGAGAAATCTACCGGTTCTCGCTTTCAAGGAGGATCTCTGGACCTTCATCCAGAGTCTGGTCAACAGGCTTTGTTCGAAGCTGGCCTTCGGGCCCAGTTCCAAAAGTATGCCCGATATCACGACCAGGACTACCGCTTTGGCGACAAAAAAGCTGTCACATGGTTGTTTCATCAAGCACCAGCTCACGCAGATGGGCGTCCAGAAATCGACCGCGCAATGCTTCGCAAGATACTCATCGAGTCCCTTGATCCAGGGAACATTAAATGGGACCACCGTGTCTTGGACGTATCTCCACAGGCCGATGGTCGCGTGAAAATTTCTTTCGAAAACCAACACGAGCCAGTGGTAACTGACCTCCTTGTGGGTGCAGATGGAACTTGGTCCAAGGTTCGGCCACTCCTAACCAACTGGGAGCCCGAGTATACTGGCCTTACTGTCATTGACTGCCGTATCTCTGACCTGGATGAAAGATTCCCAAAGCTGGGAGAGTTCATTGGCCGCGGTACCCACTTTTGTCTTTCCGAAGGCAGTGGAATCTTTATGCAACGAAATGGAGATGGTAGCGTGCGTGTCTATCCTTGCCTGCGAGTCGAAGAGAACTGGGCTTCAATGGAGGCCTCTTTCGACTGGAGTGACCAGAAAAAAATGACTGATTTCCTGATTGATTCCTTCTTTGCAACCTGGGAACCTCGCCTCCAGGATGTCATCCGCAATGTTGACGCGAGCATGACTCCACGTGCCCAGTATCGCATGCCCCTAGGGCTGCGTTACAACCACCAGCAAGGCCTGACCTTAATCGGCGATTCGTTGCACGTGATGTCATGGTTTGCTGGGGAAGGTGCAAATTTGGCCATGCTGGACGCCTTGGATCTTTTTCACGAAATCTACGCTCACCCTGAAGATTTGGATCTGGCAGTGCGTTGCTATGAAGCAAAAGTGGTAGCCAGTGGACGGGCGGATGTGACGAACGAAATGTCACAAGACCTACTTGTCAAGGCTATGTCAGATGACGCCCCTCGAGCATACGTCGAAGGGATGGCCAAGGCAATGGACGTTTGGTTTGCGGACGGGAAGTTGCTGGACAGTTTGGATGGAGACGCATTGTATAGTAACTGATCTTCATTGCATTTGAACTTCTCTATCGTCGCACTAGTCTAGTGTCTTTATTCCTACTTTTGATACAGTTCTTCCCACAAACAATATCAGCAGGTTGTCCTTTCATGCCATCTCTTCTACCGTGGAGACTCTAAAACAAGAGAAGTCCCTTGGAATTTAAAAGTGCCAAATTTGACGTCTGTTCTTGGCTGCAGTTCCATGTCCATTCCACTGGACAAATGGGATCCTTCTTTGATTGGATAAAATTTGCTGCGAGCTAAGGATGGAGTCGTCCAGCAACGCCAAGCCTTTCGGTCTAAATTGCCGAGTCCAAAATTGCCGAGCCGAAATCACCGACGACACCATGCCCGGCATAAAAGCTTCCGCTCGGCGATTTCTCTGGTCAATTTCCTAGTCACGCCAGACACAATTTCGAGCCAAAGGATGGACCGTGTACCAATCAGCTCACAGCGCGTGGTCAAACCAAGTGTCAAGAAGCGACGTCCCCCATTGGCCTGTATCCAGTGCTATCAGCGTAAGCTCAAATGTGGAAGAGAGTCTCCATCTTGCAGCCGCTGCTCGAAGGCAGGAAATGCCGACAGATGCACTTACCGTGGTAATCCAGCACTGCCTTCGTCGGTAGATGGAATGCTCAGCAATCACCATTTGGAGAGCGCTGGTGCTGTGATAACGTCCTTGCGTACACCCATTCCGTTGTCAGAGACTCCGGAAAGACATCGAACCTCTTCCGACCGGAATGGGAAAATGACCCACTTGAAAGGACAAGAGGCCATTACCAAGTTTTATGGGTATAGCTATCCTCTGAACTTTTACCAACAGGTACGCCACACCATCTCAAGACATGGAGCATCCTCTCAGTAGTGATAGTTTACCGAGCTTCGATCTTACATCATTAAAATAAAGACCAAAAATCCGGTGATCAATGCCCTCCGTGACGAAATTTATCCTCTGGCCAATGATGAATATCGGCTTCGTCCGTTGGCACATGCCACCGTACTTAGGGACACCTTGAGACAACTGATTCCCATCAAGACGGTCGCAGACACATTGGTCCAGACTTATATTGACAGATTTGAGATCATACACCGAGTGCTCAATAAATCGGGGTTCATAGCTGATTACAATCGCCACTGGGCCAGTCCACTTTCCACTCCCGCTTCCTTTTTGGTGCAACTCCTCTTGGTGGCAGCAACCGCTGCCAGCTTTCACCCCGAAATATGCATCGACGTCATGAATCAAAAAACAGTCCATGAGCATGCACTTGATTGGGCTGAGGCTGCAGAATCATGGCTCAATTCATCGACTAATCAGCCTCCTCAATCATGGGACACCTTAGCAACTCATTGTCTCTTGCTCATTGCGAAGCGTGCCAATCATATCCAAGAGAGCTCCTTTTGGACATGCACTGGGGCACTGGTCCGGTGGGCTATGGCAGCAGGATATCATCGTGAATCTGGCTCGACAGCGAGGATATCACCATACTATCAGGAGATGCGTCGACGTCTATGGATGACGATCGTGGAACTTGATCTCCAGGCTTCGATAGAACGGGGTATGCCCCCAAGTGTCGGAATCGAAGATTTTAACATAGTATCACCGCTGAACATCGACGATGCCAAGCTCCAGGAATCGGGCCAAGATCCTCTGAAAGGTATGCCGCTCGCTACACTGACAGACACATCTTTCCAGGCCCTTTTGTACCGCTCCTTGACTGTCAGATTGAAAATATGTGCGTTTGTCAATGGGTGTCACCAGCAAGATGATTTTGACCGGGTCTTGCACCTTGGAGAGGAGCTAGAAGAAGCACTCCAGGATATTCCAGAATGGAACAATCCCCAAGACCATCCACGACAGCAGCAGACTACCATGTACGTGAAGAGATCACTGAGCATTTACCTGCACCAGTATACGCTCTTGTTGCACATCCGGGTTGCAACCCAAACCCCGCCTTCATTCAAATCTACAATCTGCCGACGTGCAAGATTGGAGGCATCCTTGAAGCTCCTCGACCATCACCAAAAGCTTATACATGATGAAAACGTCCCGGAACAAGCTTGCAGGATCGGGTTGGTCCTTTCTGCTCTGAATATCTGTCACGAAATCTATATAAACTTTGGACCTGATGGTAAGCAAAAGACCAATACCGCATCTCCACACTTCTTCTAAGTTTGTCCGCATAGATGAAGCAATCACAACTGATTCATCGAAAGTTCCAAATCAATCCGCTACTCTGACAATATTTCCCGAAATTTCAAAGTTTCTCTTGGCTACTGTTGAGCAGGTACTACAGATTTTGGAAAAGAGGGTCATCCTTACATTCCACGGTCTCAACGAATATTACACACTCAGTATGATAATTGGTTTGGTCAAATCCAAGCTGTGGCCAGAGTCATGCGCGACGTCCGACAAGGAGGCAGCCAATAGAGTGATCCGAATCTGCACAATACTGCAAACAAAGTGGGCTGCCATTCAGCCAAATCATTCTCTGCTAGGTTCAGTGTAAGCAATCCCCCTGACAAGCGCCATCCGAATCCGTATTGATTGACTGTAGAGATGATAGAAGTCTACGCGGACTTAACTTACCAGCGGAAGCAAGCCCTATGATTCCCGACAGCGCAACTGAACTACTCAGTTCAATGGTATGCATTTGGTTTCTATGATTTCAATGGTGCAACATTTGCTGACTTATTTTGAAAAGTTTTCAGAGGATTTTGGTTTCATCAATGATAGTACTGATTTTGCCTTCTTCCGTGAATAATCAGTCTAGCTCGTATGTCGCGCCGAAAAGAAAACAATGTTTCACTTTCAAATTATAGTGTCGGTGCAGATAAATAAAAGCAGATCTTACGAAGAATGGATTTCAAGATGAACAACACCCGAAGAGGGTCGAGATGGGATCACACCACTTTCAGGAGCTTTGCCTGTAGATGCAACCTCGCCGCAATGACGAGCACGGATCCGAACAACATCACCACACCGCTGAAAATTGCAGCCCGTGTATACGTTCCGTATTTTTCCAGCAAAGCACCGCATATTGGGGTGCCGGTCAGACCAGCAAGGCCAATAATGGCCATTGACATGCCGAGATGGGTGCCAATCTGATCCGGACTTGGGGTCACTTGGGCAATGCAAGGAGACATTAGCGACACGATCCCGCCAGAAAAGAAACCATAGAGCACGGCAAAAACAACGATTGCCGCACTAGAGGTTATCGCGATCCAGCACAAAAGTAGAATTCCTGTGCAGACACCGGTGATGATCAAGATGTTGAAGCGACCAATCTTGTCCGCAACCATACCGGGTAATACTCTGCCAAAAACCGAGGCAGCATTAAGGATGGACAAGAGATAGGTAGAAAGCTGCGAATCCATGCCATGAGACTGCGCATATTGCGGAAGATAGAAAAATGGAGTGAAGAGTCCCCACATCATGAAGAAGATGCCAAGTGTGACGAGAGTGTACGGAGCGCGAGTAAAAGCTGCCGGCAAAAGGACTTTGCCATAACGAGGAGGAAGTCGCTCTCTTACAGTGATCATGGCTATCAAAACCATGAACAAGATGATGAACCCCACTATTCTGACGGACCATCCGAATCCTAGGGATTCATTTCTCAGCATCTTGCTCAAGGCAATGGGGAAAATAACTCCTCCGATGGACGATCCAGAGACTGTCACCCCGAGAGCTGCCGCACGTCGATTGTGAAAGTAGTGGCTCACACATGTCATGACGGGGGCAAATAGCATGCCGGAAGCAATCCCACCCAAGACCCCTTGGGCAAGCATTAATTGATAGTACTTTTTGCACAAAGACGTCATCATAACTGACAGCACGATGCCAATTGCGGGTCCATGAATGATCTAAAATGGAGAGTAGATAATCAGTGACTGATTGCTGCTATCAGGAAGACATTTCAAGTCCATACCGAAGCGCCATAGCGGTCGAACAATGGTCCACCGATAAGACTACCAGAGAAGAGGAAGCAGACCTGCACAGACCCAATCCAAGAAATGTTGGAAGAACTTTCGTTGGAGAGAAAATGCTCGGTGTAGTATTCCTGATAAATTCTGTGTCATGCATGTTAGGGTTTTATTTCCACAAGCATCGGGTTGCGGACGAACTCACCCAAAAGCGTTCATGTATCCAAACGTTGAGAAAGACACACAAAATGCTCCTAAAACCACCATCCAAGCTCGAGTGCCACCTTCTGGGAATTCTGTGGTTGGCTTTTCAAGTTCGAGTTGATCTGGCCCATCGGAGCTATTGGGCGTAGCCTGTTCAATTGATGGAGTAGACATTCCGAGTTGACTGAAGAAAGTAACAATCTCTCCCTGGTTGGCTGTCAGATTAAACAAGAAAGAGAAATATCTGTACCGTCGCTTTCTTTCACAATCAGCATTTTTATAACTATCTAAAAAATCACGCAATTAGGTAAGTCAAGGTGCTCGGTCTTTTCGCAGATTCTTCAATCCTCGCCCGAAAAGGCCGAGCCTCACAAGGCCTGGAGCACCAGCACATGCTGTCGTGCTCTCTAGACAAATGCGTGATTTCCGTCTTATCTGGGACTCTGAGAGGCTGCATGATGAAATGCTCACACGTCACAGTCGTTGGCTGTCGACATCTTCAATTTTTTAAGACATTTGTACCCGCTCAACATGCTTCCCCGTACCAGTTGTTGCCGTGAAAAAATTCGCATGATCAGAATTCAGTTCTCTTGAAAGGTCTTCAAGTCTACAGTAGAAGCTGTAGACTTTGATTTTAATTCTTGAATGAAATTGAACTACTCGCTCTTCACCGAATGTGTTGCCACTTGGGGTTTGGGGCTCTGAAGTGCTCCGCCTCTTAGGTCCGAGCTCAAGGAGCCTCGTGATCTGACCGCCTTGATGAAACCTGGAGCAATCCTTCAATTGAACTGAGTTCGACAAGGTAGCTTCTCCTTTTCCCATCTACGAACCATCATGTTATCATGTCTCGCCCGACCACGTCTGGGGCGTGTGACCAACTTCATGGCGCGGACACAGACCAAACGTTCCTTCTTATGGAAGAGATGGCCTTCAAATTCTCAAACTTACATTGCAGCTGCCGCTTTGATCAACATGCCCGGCCTGTGATGGTTAACCATTACAAGGGACGATGTGCCCCGCATCGAGACTTCACCAGGGGGGCACTTGGTCTCTGAGCTGGGCCCCTCGAAAGAGGATGTCACACATACTTTGTCGAAAGAAGCATATTCCTTCCAGGTCAGAAATATTTCCGGCGTCAATCGATACGATGGTGCTCAATTGGCGTCTAATAGCCCATGCGAGGACCGGTTTATTCATGGTAAACTTTCCTCGCCGTGGAATGAAAATGATCAATGGATGTCCTGGGCAGTTTTCGATGGACATTCAGGCTGACAGACAGCGAACCTGTTGACGAAACAGCTCCTGCCTTGTGTGCGACGCAGATTGACTGAAGCCAAACAACCCCCAAACGACGAATCAGTGCCAAATGAGTCGATCCAGCGCGCTATCATGCAAGGATTCGTGGACCTTGACGACTCCATTATCAAGACTGCACCGGGAACGTCTAAGAGCGCCGACTCATTCCAAGACAAGATTAAGAAAATGGCTCCCGCTTATGCTGGTTCATGCGCTCTGTTATCTCTGTACGATCCCATCACAAGTCCGCTGCACGTTGCGTGTACGGGGGACTCAAGAGCAGTTCTGGGACAAAAAGGGTCAGACGGAAAGTGGGCAGAAATTCCCTTGTCAGTAGACCAAACTGGCAGCAACGAAGAAGAGACCACCCGCATTTCCAAGGAGCACCCTGGCGAGGAAAACATCGCCAAAGGTGGACGGGTGCTTGGGCTCATGGTCTCTCGGGCATTTGGTGACAGTCTGTGGAAGTGGCCTCTGGATTTCCAGAAAGAAATGACGCACAAATACAATGGGCCAGCGCCCCTAACGCCCCGGTATGATGTTCGCATACCTCCATACTTGACAGCTGAGCCGGTTGTGACAAGCACCAAAATCGATCCCGACAAGCCCTCATTCTTGATTATGGCAACGGACGGACTGTGGGATCATCTCTCTAGTGAGCAAGGTGTCGAGTTGTCAGGGAGCTGGTTGGAACCGAAAGGGAAGGAGAAAAAGAGCTTACCAGAGACAACAGATGAAGCATTTGACTTTGACAGATTTTGGAAAGATGTGAGTTGGAAGTTTGAGGAAGGGGGAACAACTATACAAGATGATAATGCTGCAGTACATCTGATGCGCAACTCCCTTGGTGAAAATCACCACGAGTTGACAGCAGGCCGGCTTGCATTTGGCCCTCCTTTCTCTCGACAGATGAGGGATGATATCACTGTGCAGGTTGTTTTGTTTAATGCTCAAAAGTGAATGTCGAGCTCTAGGTTCTCGGAACCCATAGAAGTCGATGTACCTCCGAATCCTTTCGGGTACCGGAGCCAAATGATTATCACGACCACTGTCAATTGATGTATCGTATCAATCACACATTTTCCAACAATATTAATCACCATTCTGAAAGAATCATCTGTCAAAGGTGTCTACTATTCTTCGTCTAATTATGCAGACGCCACAAAGCAATGGAGGCGCTGCTCTGCGTGCTCGCTCAGATGATTCCTCAGATGAGGCTGGTTTATTTTTGTTGCTGTTAACAAGTGTTTTATGGGGCCCTATCGCACTTTTTCTTCTTGTGTCGATCTTTTGCCTTATCATGGACTTTGGACTCTTCTGTTGGAGTATTTGCAGAAAACTTGCTCGGTAAGTCATGAGGTAGGATGATACCTCGTTCTACCGCCATCGGATTTGTCAGCTACCTTGAAAGAATGTCGCTAACCAAGCTCTCAAATCTAGCATTTTTTATCTGGTTGCATGTCGAATGAAACGTTTGTTCAAACAGTTATCTCTTTTGGTTTCTGTTCGGAATGCGGTAGCTCAAGTTACATCCAACGAGCAGCAGACCACACCTGGTAACATCCGTCCAGACTATGTGATTGAGAGTTTTTGATAATAATCTCTCGTTCAGAATCCATCGAGATGGGAAACGTGAGACCTAGTAGCCTGGAAATTCCGTCAGAGTACGAACACTACTGTCCTCATGAGGAGCCCTTGCCAGTCGAGCCCTTGCCTGTCTACAAACCATAAGAGAACAACAACTTGGGCTGGACGGATGTGAAGGGATAGGAACGGGCCAAATCAACACCAAAATCGGACTGGGTGTCTTACAATTTGCTATATTATCGACTTGCAAGATATACCTGATGGGGAATTTGCAAAATGTCTTCCTAGTTAAGTGGTTGAGGAAAATCTAAATCAAGAACAAACTGTCAATCTAGAGATTTCTGTGAGACGAAAGCAGCGGAAATATGGACTTGGTCGTAGCCCGCTAGGGTGAACTGTAGGGCTGAATGCTCGATTTAAGATATTTACACAGAAATCTTCTCCAAATTGACCATGCGCCTTAAGGGGTAACCGCCTTCATCAGCTACAAAAGCACTATGATTGTTCTGGTGGAAGAGAGATCCATATTGACAGAGAATGATGACAATGCCGAGTAGTAGCGTTCATTAGAAGTGATTGTTGTTCCTCAAATGATTTAGCCAGCAGATTGAGCGGTCAAGCATCTCGGTTGCGGATGATGAAAAAGGCCGAAGCTTATGGATAGAGAGGATGGCTTCCTTTTTTGCGCTTGTCGTCAGCTTCAATTCAGCAACACGAGTCAGCACGCATCCAGAGTCTACTACAGAAATTTGATAATTTCCCTAATAGATGACTAGGCACCTCAATAATCTCTATGTGCGTTTATCGATTCCGCTGATCAAGGACAGGACATCTCCCAATGGATCAAGACACAATTGAGATGTACTTCCGACTCGCACTGTCAGCTGTACGCCAGTGGCAATCCTGAAGTTGGCTAGAAGACTCTTCTCTTCATTAGGGTGAGATTTGTTTCCAGCATAACCACGGAAGAAGGAATTTTCAACACAGAAAGTCTGGATGTTATTAGGCACAGGGGGAGTATCCCGCTGCGGTTTGAGGATAGTAATGGGTTTGCTGTCGCGGTAAAGTCCCTCCCTGGCTGAAGAGGAGAATGGGCCCAATAGTGTGAACTTTGGAGACCACATCTTGCCCAATGATAGACTATCTTCAAGGTCTGCCTGTCGTCAATAGATCGGATTAACTGTTCAATCCGCAATTTAAATGTCAATCTCACACGATAAACCATAACAAGCGGATCGTCACATGTAAGAACCCCGGGCCTTTGTTCCGCTCATTCTAACAAATCGTGATGCTTGCACTAGGATTTCCGGTGATCGACATAATATTGCAATACGTGGTTGAAGGCTGGGTATTGAATCCCTCGTGGGTGGATCTCACACAATTATAAAGTGATGTTAATTTTCCCCACTCTCCGGCTTTCTCCATGTTTACCCCGGTCTTTTACCCACGAAAAAACGAACTTCGGTCTTCGGCTTCACACTTTGACAGGAGCTATGCTTCGCGTTAAACCCGTGTTATCTACACCTACACCCCAAAGACCCCCCTTGGGGGGACGGGGACTGAAGCACGCGACAAAATTTGAACAAATAAGGTTGGCGTGTTAGTTTTTAAGGTTTCGCTGTGGATCCCTTCGTGCCTTGGTTCGGAGCATGGGGGCAACTTCCGAGGTTGTTTCCATATCCGTTTGGCGCTTGTCGGTAATTATTCATCTAATAGCTGGGCTGGGTCTTTGATGGTTAATATCCTCGTCGATATCCCACTACACGAAGAATAGTGGGAGCGCGTGGTAGTGGTGGGAAGTGTAGGCGACGTACTCCGCACACGGCGGTGAAATAGGAGGTGCGATGCAAAATACTCTTGAAACCTATGGAAAGGTAAATTAAGTTAAGAGGGTCGAGGATTCTTCGTCACATGACTTTCACATTGGTTTCCTTGAATTTGGTTCCAGCCATCATTTTCAAGATGGCTTTCTAGCATGATTAGTGCCCGGTGTCAAAATCAGACAAAACCCATAGCCACAGAATTTGAATATTTCATTACGATGAAAGTTAGCAAATTGAATTCCCCAGCCCGGCAAACATGATATCCCTATCAGAAGCCCCATTCAATAGGTTCTTTTTTAAACCCCATTTGGGGATTCCAAAGGTGCACATCACATCCCACCTTCGTCCGGCTCTGTCTGGACATCTTACTGTATCCTGACAAGAGGATACAGCCGCAAAAAACCACTAAATAACATTGATCAGATATATGGAGACCACTACTTCCTTGCCATTCTCTCCCTCTTACCTTACTTTCACTGACATTCTGTGTATCTACCAAGAATTACTTTTGTTTTTAACCAGTTTTACTCAAAATCTGAAATGCCAGCTGAAATAGCTGCCGAATACATAGCCATAACTACAATAGCACTCAACGTTATGTTGTCGATCAAACTTGTATGCTCCATCTTGCAAAAGTAGGTGTGACCACCGAAAATAAAAGGAAGCCAGAACAGAAGGCTTTGTTGAGATCTATGCCACCCCTTAAAACAAACAGGATGTTTTGATTCAAAACATCATGCAGACCCACATGATGCTTCCGATGTGAGGCTGCAGGAAATCATTGCTCGCCCTAAACTGACTCACGCCACTACAGCTCCAAGCCACGTTCCTCCTCAGGAAATAGAAATAGCTCTTGGCATACTTATCCCAGGGAAATCAATGGCTCTATGGCTATGTTGATCGGGACCCCTGGCCCACGATATTGTTGAAGATGATGGAGTGCTCTGAGGCTACTGCCAATGGCTAGGGTTATTGCTGCGTTCAGAAAGTCTTTGCCAATGGAATTTTGCAAACGTAGTCTTCATTTCCAAAGAAAAAATGATTCGGGTGATTGGAAATTCAAATTTTTACAAATCTGGAATAAGCTACGAAGGAAGAGAATTACTCCTCCATGCATAGCATACCCAGTAAGCAAAGAACAAAGCTAGCAAGTGTTGGAATGCAGGGGTATATGAAGGAAAGACATGCTTCCTCGCGGTAATGCTTCAAATGCGGGTGATTCCCAAAGAAAGACAAGGCTTATGTTCATTCATCATCAACAAAGGAGTTAGCCAGATGGCCAAAGAGAGGGACCTCAAAGTGGTCCAAAGTGTCAACTAGAGATTTTGTGATTAGTATCAGATTTCTCATCAGTGCCAACGAATAGCTCAGCCAAATTGGCAGCTCTGGTAAAGGAAACTCGGAAGACTCACCATCTTGGTAAGCATGCATGCTAAGGAAGCCAATCAATGCAATATCAACAATGAACAATGTCCAGGAGAGGAAGCTCGACCAGCAGAACAGTAGGTGGATGATCTATGCCTGGCATGTGAGCAAATGCGACATTAGGAAAGATGGACCACTCACAAACATGGTAGCAAACAACATGCTCGATTGCCAAGCATGAAATCTATAGTAGTTTTAGCAAACCAGGCTTCTCGGAAGACTTAAAGTAGTTCAACGCCTATCACATACCGCACATAGTCGCTCTTGTGTTCAGCTAGTAGCAGAAACACACCTCCCGCGGGAGGCAGAAGCAGATACGCCAGCGCTGCTTCAATGTCCATGCGAATCGGAAGACTGGTTTCAAAAGCCCCTAAGCTCACATGACCACCCTCGATGTCCCGTCCGAAGCCAGTGTTGCCATGTCCGCCGCTAGCAAAGTGATTGGGGGAGGGTAGGTCGGCCGAGGGTCGCGGTGAGTGGAGGATTGGGGATATTCGGTGACCATCTGGCTGGGGAGGAGACAGAGCGCGTTCAAGCTCCGGTGATTGGTCTTGATAGGGTGCGAAGTTCATTGTGTTGTCGTACCTGGAAAGGTGAATGACCGTCGCGGATCAGGAGAATCACTTGGGGTAATCTTCCAATCGTTATCAGATCGCGACGCGTCCACAGGCGGACTCGATACCTTAGGCGACGCTAGGTGACAAACCCAGGTGTCAAATTAAGGGTATCAGTGCATATTTTATTTTAGCTTCATAATCAAATATTTAATGTACATAAACTAGTCTAGTCCATCTAGATCTTCCCCCGACCGCGAGAAATCCCACTCCCTCGTGCTATCCCGCTGGCTGGCCGTTGGGTTGTTGTCGTAGACCCCCGTATTGCCGGGCGGGTTGTGCTAACACTGGGTATTCTTCCTAAGCCCATAGTTCGAACTGTACCCCTCGTAGTTCCGCGGGTGCCTCGAGTACCCCGAGTGACCTGAGCGCGCCGCTTTTCAATTTCCTCGGCTTTCCGCGCTGCTGCTTCTCTTTGTTGCTGAAGCGCCTGTTCACGTCTTTCTGCTGCTTGCTGTCTTTGAATTGCTTGATTCTCAATATCGACCACATCTTGAGTAGCACCTTGCCAGTTGGGATTGAGTATCAACCGCTGGTTATGCTCGGTCTGGGAGAGAATGCGAGTCCATGTGTTGAGGAGCGTCGAGGCCGAGGTAACAGTTTGTGAGACTGTCTGTATAGATAGTTAGGCAAAGTATTGACCATATATCACGAGGAAACAACACATTACCTCCATGTTCCCTTTGGCGGAGTCTAAACTTCCCAGAAGTCCTTCTATCACTTCGTTGATATTCCGCACACCTTGTAATTCTGTCCGGAGGGCAGCCTCTCGGGCCTCCTGTTGATCAAAGAAAGGATCCTCGCCATCATTGGAAGCTCGAGGTTCTGGGGTAGTCTTCTCGTTGGAGGTACTTAGATTGATCTTTTTGTGGGGCCCTTTTTTGGATGGGGAGTTCCAGAGGTCTTCTGTATCATCGTCGGATAGCTGAAGCCTCTCTATCTCTTCTGCTGTGGTGCGGAAGGCCATGATGTTGAAATTACGCAGAGTAGATGCCGAAGTATGTACGAGCAGGCTTGATAGACTCAACTCTCGGATGGATCTAGTCCTAGAGTGTTTGGGCGTATGATGTGCCTGAATATCGATTGATAAATGATGGGCGACAAGATCGACAGTCGTTAGATAGTCAAACAGGCATTTGGGGTAGATCAAAAAAGGAAATCTACACTGTTGACGCGGGGTTTTCAGCCACCGTAATTATCGGGCGGTGAGGATACCCCGGTGGCTGGGCGACAATCGCCTTTCACAACAACCTCGCCCTTCCTTCATCCCCGTCTTATCGTTATTTTGTTGTTGTCGCCTCGGACAATTGGATTCTGCAACCTCACGCTTAGCTCTTCTTGGAGTTTTATATCTCCGAGCTGCTTCCCTGATTTTGGCCGGACGGTTGGCAAGTTGGACGTGGCACGCCCTTGATTGAATCAACAGTCCTCGACATTTCCACAAGATCAGGAAATTCAGAAAAGGCCCAGCATAAATTGTGACTAATATACTATTTCAAAATTTAACTCATAAGATTGCAAACCATCCAGCGGTTGTTTCATCGTGATTCAAGTCAACATGGCGTCGACACCACCACCGCCATCACCGTCTGAGCTTCGCGTACCCAGAGCGCCGCGACATGGGGCAAAGCACGACAACTATGAACCTTACCCTACACGTTACTCTGCGAGACTTGCAGGTCAACGAGCGTCAAGGATTGTCCAAACTACGCCGCCCCCAAGTCATCCTAGCGCATCTGCCAAACCTGGAGCAACTAAAAGGACTCTTTCACCCTCTTCGCCTGGCGCTGTCAAACCCTCGCCCAAAAAGGCTGCACGCTCTCACAGAACAGCTGCCTCCCGAATTTCTCCCTTTGATTCGGAACTGGCCCTTCCCCGCACTTCTGCACACCACACCTCCCGATCCACTGCAGAACAGGCTTTACCTACCCCAGCTAAGACCCCTTCGAAGAAGAAGGTGATCAATTCTAATTCTTCTACGTCTCGCTCTCTGTTTCCTTTCACTTCCACGCCCAAACGCAGAAAAATGGACACACCAAAACACTATGCCGCTGAATCCCCGGCAATCTTTGTCGATGAGCCTTTAACAGGGTACACAATGAAAGCTGCGGAACAAGAATTGGGTATCTCCATCCATGAGGACTCACGTGATCGCATCCCTGTGATCGGTCCACTCTCGACTGATTCGTTTATTTCCAAGACTGGAAGAGCAGTCGGACGACCTGCCACTCGTTCTACCACCAGCCACACCAATGGAGCTTATTATGTCCAGTAAGTTGAATTTCACTTGTCCTCTATACTCCCATATTCTGACTTCGATTCTAGCCGCGGTAAAAAGATATTCAAGCGCTTTGATGACATGGAAGATGAGGCCGAGGATGAAGATGACCTTGGCCTTTTCGCCAACCGCCCTGACCTGCTGGCCGATAACCCTGATATTCTCAAGAGCGTAAAGCCTTTGAAGCGTGGCGAAATCAAACCTCGTCTCCTCTTTTCTCCTCCCGTTCAGCCTACCGATGGTGACGAGGAGGAAGTCACCGATGTCGAAGATCACGAGCCAATGTCTCCAACTCCGGCTTACGAAGATCAAGCATGTCTGACTGCTTCCACCTTGCCAGATCCATCTATCCCCTCATTTGAATCCGAAGACTTGTCTGTCGTTCGCTCTTCCCCCGCTGGACGTGCTGGCCTTCGTTTCCCTCGCCCTGCTGTAGGCGATGTGTCACCTTCCCAACCCTCTTCTTTCTCTGAGGACCTAAGTTTCGGCGATTCCGCCGAGGACCAGACTCGGTCACGAGGTCTCTCTGTCAGCAGTGGCAGCGGTCTCCTGAAGTACTGGCCGTCTGTCAGCAGGAAGACACGGGAGGTTGAGGCCGGCAGCGACCGTGTGAAGCGCCTCCGCGAGGCCCGTGGTAGTCCTGCCCCACGCACCCGACATGCCCTGCGAGCAGAAGGTTCAGGAGAGGCTTCGGCTGCTGGGCCATCTACGTCCGATTCCTAGCTCTCACTCAGACATCAAATTTTCTACTTCCACTTTGCCACATTCCAGCGCTTTAAAAACTTTCACGGCTGATTTCGTTTGTGCGCTGTACCGGACTTGGCACTAAGGGTGTCAATCTTATTTGTTATGACCGGGCGCATTTTTTTTGCTGGCATGGACTACTCTATTCTCTTAATGTCCTTCTTTCTCCCTTTGACGACCGTCTTGTTACTACGCAGGCCGCTGGTTTTCTTTCGTTTCTTTGCGTTTTGTTCCAAGGGCGCGCGTGGGTTTGTGAATCGTGAATACTAAGGATACCTCACGAAAGCATCTTCGGCTGGAACAGCGGCGTTTTCTCGTGTCTTTTATCTACGCTCTTCAAGATTGTTTTTCCTTTCTTTTGGTCTGATCTTTTGGTGCCCGGTGGGGTCTTTGTTTCGTTCATCGCAGGAAGCGATCATCGCGGGAGGAATCATGGTAAAGCAGAACGGCTCAATGGAAATTCTTGATATTTGGAAAAATCCTCCATGCAGCCCCTAACGAGCCCGTATAAGAGATTGTTTCTTTGTTGGGGAAGCATTAATCTACGCCGCTAGTTGGTGTGGTCAAAACAAGCTTTTGGCAGTAGCCGCGCTAATCAACAATCTAGGTCCGCGCAGACACTAGTTCTGGCACGTGTAGACAAAGAAAGTAAAGCCTTGCATGTGAGGGGGTTACAAGTGCACTAAGCATCACGTTGATTCATGACAGGGGTTGTATCTAGCGCTACTCGACAAATCAAATTTGAAGGGTGTAGCCCCAGTGCAATCGGGGAATGCTTTGTATTCGTTACAGCATTATGATTATTCCTATCCTCAAAGGAGACTCGGAGGTTGAGGTGGTGATATGATGGATTTGCTCGTTTGAATGCGTCAAATGAACTCCAGGTCGTCGTCGTCATCATCATCATCATCATAAAAGAGAATATGTTTCCCACTGGGCGTGGTCTCAGCTGGCGCACCTAGGCTCTCCCGGCCAGCCTCCCGGATACCTCTTGAAGTGATGAACCGCGTCTTCTTGACCCCGCTGCCGTGGGGCTTGTCATTGGCACGCTTCATTGGGCTCAAACGGACGTTCTTGGCTTTGCCGAAGGTGGTCAGGTCCATGCCGTTGGTTTTAGTGGGGCTCTTGGGTAAGGGGGTGCCTAGTGCTCTCTCTTTGTTTGGGCTCTCATTACTGGTCCTGGTGCGAAGATATTCGGCACCCACGCCACCGACACGGCCGGAAACGAGCTTTTGAGTGATGTCACGCTCTCGCTGTTGGGTCGCGAGTCGCCTGCGCATTCGTTCCTCCTTGCTGTCCATGCCGCGGCCCATCATACCCGAGGCGATGAAAGGATCGTCATGCGCATCAATCAGATTTGCCGCTGGGCCTCCCCTGGGGTTGTAAGGTGAACGACCAGAACCGCGGTTTCTGGAAGGTGCCACGTAATAAAGTGATTGAGATCCCATATCATACTGAGGACCATCGTGTTTCATGCCTTGCTTGAAGGCATTTCCCCGCTTCATCCCTTCCCCAAACAATCCGGTGCGCGAGCCGGATTTACCACCAGGACCAAGCACACCGGTGTCAGCATTAACTCCCGAGCGTTGGCCCTGAGTGCGTCGGATCTGGATATCAACATGGAAGTCACAGAACTCGGTCTTTCGACCATCTATCCAGGATTGACAGGTCTTTCCGTCTTTTCTCACAGCCTTACAAAATCCGATATCTCGTGCCTTACCAATTTCGAGAACCTTATCATCTGATGAAGACAAGGACAAGCTAAATCTGTTCGTGTCCAGTTTGTGCTTTGGTGGAGGCATGATTGTGGGATTCAGAATTGCGACAAGAGTCCCTTCCGAGATTTTGTAATAACGGGGGAAAGCGGTGTCAAAAAGGAAGAGGTCAATAGTCCATTTCAGATCGGTCAGGGTAATGGCCATATATCTGTTCGTGTTGTTAAGCCCATCATCATAAGGGTCCTTTTCTAAAGCCGACGCGCTCCCCGAAGCTTTCTTATCCCGAGGGTCTGACTTAGACGCAACGATGCCAAATACCACAAAGTCCCCATCAATGTCCTCTGGAAGCTCGAATGCAGGTGCCTTGACGGTCTTGAGTAGATCAGGAATGCGCAGAACTCTTTTTTCTGCGAGTGTGCGGCTCAAGAAAGAATGCGGGAGAACTCGGCTTGACAGATGTAGCGATGAGTACGACTCGAATTTTGAAGAATCCGGGGCCTTTACCAAAGCATCATCTGTTTGGCCAAGTTTTTGGGACGAAACTGGTTCATCTTCTGCCGTTTGAGTTCGCCTATGTAGATGAGATTGTCTCTCGTTGTTCCCACTGCCCTCAGTTCGTCCAAAGTTCGGAGTTGCATCACTGCGTTGTAAACCAGATCCCATAGACCGAAGAATGTCTTCACGGCTGAAGCTTTCCATAGGTCGCTCTCGTGATAACGATGGTAGAGGGGAATGATTCATATCCGAAGCTGCGGCTTTGAAGGCCTCCAACTCCGCCTTGTCGACTTCAAAAGCCGAACTGCGGTTAGCCTGAACCCTTTCTGCTCTCTCCAGCCGAGATTTCTCAGCCGCTCTGCCTTCAGCCATTCTCTCACTGAAGCTTTTTATTCGGTTGATCCCACCCGTTGACGAAGGAGAAGTCTGGGGCCGCGAGCTGAATATGTCATTCGAACGGCCGGTAACGCCGTCTCGAAATCCCATCTGACTACTTGGTCGAGGGCCGGGTCTTGAGATTGGAGGTCGTTTCAAGGATACATCATTGGCCTTCCAGCCCTTGTCAATGCCCATGACATACCTGCGAGGTGATACTGACTCAGCGGGGACTTCTCGTCTAGTAGGTGATGCTGGAACCTGGATTCCATCGCTGCTCGTTCTTTGCCTCCCTCCCTTAGGGATTCTTGGTGTCGCACCACGGTCTTCGGTTCGCAGAGCGCTGATTTCGGAATTTGGTCGCACACCTTCGTCGTCGAGATTCGAACTAGGCGTTCCGCGATTCTTTTGCTGAAGCTTCTTCAACTTTAAGCGTGCTTTGATCTCCGCTAGCTGAAGCTGTAGTGTTTCTTCGTCCTCGTCTTCCCCATCATCCTCGTCCACTATTTGATTCTCTTTTGATCGGAGATTGGGTATGGTGTTTGAGCGCTTCAATGGCGATGTCATATTCTCTCGAGTGCGTTGCATGTCTTGATACTTTCGTCGTCCAGCCGGCGAACTCAAGAGAGCCGCGCGGGGCGATTGGGGCGGCCACGCAGGTTCAACCACTTTTGGCGGGGGGGGGATGGTTAGCCATTGATCAGCCAAGACGATCGGAGGAACCTTACTGGTGATTAATAAGAATATTCAGACGTAATCAGTGACCAAATATACCATGGAGCGTCATTTGCGACTCACGCCCTCCTCAAAATGCAGATGAAAGAATGTAGAGTAAGTGGAAGAAACAAAATGATAACATAGATCAGAGCACAGGGATACAACAAGGGCTGAAACTCGCCAGTGCCAAGGGAAAGTGCGCAGGGCTCATTGGGCCGGGAAGGCGCGTTCGCGTCGCGGTTGCATTTTAACCCCTTCCGTTTCCACCGGTCTTCCAGTCTTCACCCTCACTTCCCACCTACATAACACACCCAAAATGAAGACTCGATCGGCGTCAGTGTCAAAAGTGCAGAAGTCTGAAGACGAGACGAAGACCAAACCCCTCGTTGCCGCCGAGAAACCGAGCAAAACGTTCATCCTCCCATCCTCTACCAGCGACAATGCGCGGCTCCTCTCGCTGCCAGATCCTCAATCGGGAGAGCTGAAACGCTACTTTTTCTGTCCAAATCGTGGCATTTACGAATTTACGGTTGTTTCACCACCAGCGCATCTGGCGCGTAGTATACTGTTCATCCCTCGAACGCGCGAAACTGCGAGCCCGTCGGAAGAAGAGAAAAAAGACCCCGAGAAGCTCTCCGCACAGGGCTCAATTACAAAGAAGGCAGAGTTCCTGATGGCAACTCCGATCGATGCGCTGTTTTTCATGGTTCCATTGTTAGCACCTTCTTCAAAATCGGGCCGTTCTCTATTCCAGCCATTTGACGATATAATCGACTCTCACGACGACATGCCCCACCATCTGCGCCAAGTTCTTTGTGATGATGAATTTCGGGACTCCCTCCTAGCACGGACAGAAGCTATATGTGAAGTGGTTGAGGCTGGTGATGAGAAGATGTTCCGATTCAATGAGATGAAACTTGTTCAGGAGTTCGTCGCAAAGGCAGAACGCATAGCGGATCGGGGTCTTCCTGCGAGTATGGAAGAACACTTTGTGCGTCAGGCGCTAGCCACGCCTTTGATGTCGGTCAAGCGAGAAGATGTTGCGACTAGCCAAGAACCGTCCAATGAGAGCCAGGAAGCCTCGAAATCTGAGGAGAGACAGGATTCACTCTCGACTGTAGATACAGCTATGACCCCATCTGTTGCGTCTCCCGCAGGGGAATTGACACCCGTGTCACAGCCACCCAGCGAAGAGTCGACAGCTTCGGATCATATTGCTCGACTCCTCCGAATTTCAACTGCACTGTCCTTCATGAAGGAGTCATATTTACCCGCTAGTATGGCCTCTAAGGTAGATGAGATCCTTGCTTCTGCAGAGAGCCCTGTCGATTTCGAGCCACTGAAAGACCGTCTCAAGCAAATTGCGGACCTTCGTGCTACAGCTCTTGCATCACGCGACATGTCCAACTTCAGCCGGAAACGAGACCATGATGACGAGGAAGAGGATACACGGGCCGAGAAGAAACGTCGCAAGGAAGAGGAGGAAAAAAAGTCCAAGGCTGCGCAATCCCAAGCTGTCAAGAATCTCAAGAAGGTCAACACAAGCGGCATGCAGAAGTTGAGCTCATTCTTCGCCAAGGCCGCACCCAAAAAGAAGACTTGAAGTTTTTTGGGTACACAACCGGCTGAACTAAACCATGGTTGTACTTTGTGCTGGCGATATATTGCCTGGCTTCGAAGGAATCCAACACGATAAGTTCTATGGTTGAAAGATTATGTCTATAGATCCAGAGGCCAAAGCCTCCTGCCCAGACAGAGCCATCAAAGGCACTGACAGTGCAAGTGATATCGAGTTGAGACGCTCGCCTTATTTCACAATCCCAACGAATCTACGCGATTGCTTGGAACGTCCACATTAAAGTGGCTCTCTGAAAGACACCGATTCCCAGGAGATCTGGGTATCTTTCTCAAATCCGGCGCATCTTTGTGCTCCTTGAATATACTCTCTATCGAATAGTCCATGAAAAGTGAACGTGATTCTTATATTTTTGGATTTCATCAAAACCAGTAGCCATTAAAACGAGCTTTGCTCCAATCTGCTATGCAATATTCAAAGAGGGATCTGGTCAATAGCAGCCCCCGTAACCCTATAACCAGAAATGTTAGCCATCATCCAGTGCACATCAGAGATCAAAAGTGTGTGGAAGGGAACAACATACAAGAACGACCCATTGGACGGCTTGCTAATAACCATCGCCTGCTCCAACTTCTCCGTACTGATGTCCGGGAACTTCTTAAGATAGTATTCATCCCTTAGCGCAGCGGTGACAGCCTCCACCTTGCCCTGCGGCAACATATGAACAGTGCAACCACCCCACCCAGCACCAGTCAAGCGACTACCCCATGTGCCCGCACGACGCGCAATAGCACAGATCTCATCGACCTCCGGTGCACTGCAGTCATATGCCGTAGCACACGATTCCTGCGACTCATTAAGCAGTTGTCCAAGATAATGAATGCGGTTCTCGTCCAGCTGAGTAGCCTTGCTAAGACAAGCCTTGAAATCGAGCACGCGGCGTGCCTCCTTGAAACAGTGCAACGCACGCTGGCGGAGCTGAAATTGCTCCGCTTGCACGGGGAATGCGGAGAGATAGGTCGCCTCTAGCTCGGCTACGGTGATGTTCAGTAGTTGCGCCATCTCCTCGCGCGTGTACCCCTCTTCTTGTGTGAATAGGTCCATTGTCGCTTGGATCACAGAGTCGATCTGGTACTCTAGCGGATCTTGGAGACGGCCTTCTTTGGTCATTAGCTCGTTGTGGAAGTTTCGCAGGCTGTAGCCCAGTGAGCTGTTATCCTTCGGGAGTGTCACGCCGTGGTGTTTGGCGAGGATCACTGCGGCGAGGGTGCACTCTGCTACACGCAAGTTGTAGTGGCGCGGGGCGGTTTCGGCCTTATTGGAGGTTACGAAGCTCTGGGCCATTAAGAAGGTTATCTCGGAGGAGGAGGTGGGGATTGGGACGTGGTGGGCGTTGAATTTAGGGAAGAACTGGGTGTAGAGCAGGTAACCACGCTTGGAGAAGATGGATGCTGCTTGGTCCATGCTATGATTCCGCGGTGACGTTAACATTTGCTGGCTCCTACCGTCTCTTGAAGGGAGGATAACTCACCCGCCGGAATAGACGCCGACAGCCCGCTCCGAGACAACAGCCAGATCCAACAGATCCTGCTTGGAGACGTCGTGGTTGTTGGCTTTTAGGACAGCCAGGGCACTGGCGCACACGAAAGCAGCACTGCTAGAGATACCACCACCGGGGGGCACATTGCCGTCGACTAAGATATGCATGCTGGCAGGAACGAGCGAGCCATCGGGCTTCTCCTTGCGCAGAAACTTGACGGCGCCTGACAGGCCGGCGCGGAAATAATTCACCCACTCGTGCTTCTTCGGGTCAATCTCGACGTCCTTATCGTGAGGTACGCTGAACTCGCGCGTGGGGAACTTCTCTGGCGTGACGTTGGCGATCGTGATGGTGGTGCTCTCTGCACTGGCGGGAACCACCTTGACGGCCATAATTACATCGACACTGACAGCGGTCGGCAAAACATCGTATAGTGAGTAGTCGATGTGCTCGCCGATGATGTTCACACGGCCAGGACTGCGCGCTACAAAGTCTGGACGATGGTTGTATGTCTTATTGAACTGGGTGATGAGATTGGTCCATCGCTGCTGGTGCTCTGGTGCAACTGAAGTCACCGAGGCGTCATCTGTTGCGTAGACTTCCGCGATGGATTCTGTTTGCGGCACGAGCTCTTGTTGGAGTGACATTGCGGGGGATGGGAAGAGTGAAGGCGGGAAATTGAGGAAAGGAATAGAGAATCGAAAGAGAGAAAAAAAAAAGGAACGGAAGAAGTAGAAGTAGAAGAGCCAGAGTGGTAATTTGTGTGTAGAGTCTCATAAAAATGTCCCCATATTCCTCGATTCGCCGGCTAAAGTGATGGGCACGTGGGGTCACAGCAGGGCCGTTATTGCCTTTTTGGGAAGCTCAGTGACTGCGTGCAGCCATTTTGCGGGGATGTGGGATGGGATTTCTCTCCAGGGTCTCAGTTTCATTAACAAAACTACGATTTCTGGTTGGTCAGTTGATTTTCATCTCGCGGGGGTTTTCTACCGGATTTGGCTATGACGACATGTTCTCCAGGGGTACTAACTATATCTGCAGACAGCATGTTGTACTATTTTCAATGTGAAAATATCCCCCCTCTCTCCTTCTTGTTGCGATTGTTCAATTGTGTCTCGTTTAAGTCCTACACTCATTCTATGATATCTACTAAATTGCTCTCCTTCTATGATATACGTACAACATATGTTCCTGGGCTGTGGGGTTTTGACCCGAGCGCATCGGATCATGGGATTCCGAGAGTGGACCTGGAACTCGGCATTGTACCCATTAGCGGCCCGATAGAACCGGGAAAACCTGCAAAATGCAATGGTGCTACCCAGGTGCATCTACAGTGTGCAGACAGCTGATGTTTCAAAGGAGAAACTTGGTTTTATGGCTTCTTTCGTTATGCAGTCGCGGGGCACACTACAATCATCAAATCAATGACCCATCGACATTGAAGTTTTTGTAGTCAATCGATGATCTCGTGGGATAAATTCCGTGCAGAACTTCTATTCCAGGCTACATCGAACTAAGGCCAATGTAGCTGGAAGTATCTATAACTGTAGTGAAGAAATCCGGCATGACCTGACCTGGCCTAAAAAGTAGGACGTCGTATGACACAAGGGCAGCCGGTCTCGCCTTCTGTCACAAGCACGCGACCTAATTTCGAATCCGTTTTCCGCATGGAGTCTTTTTGGTCGTATGGTGAGATTTTGATTCTGATCTTTCGCAAACCAACCAATCTAAGGGGCATTTTCTATATTTTCATTCTCCAACCCCCCCCTCCCTAAGACAACGAAGTTGCTTTTAGGTAACTACCAGATCAGTCATCTAAAATCTGCGCTAAATTCAGTTAATGATTAAATTTGCACAAGGAACCTCGTAGATACCAACCTTATTTATCGACGATCTTCCTGGGCACTTGTAAAGACCAGTGCCGGATTATGTACAAGTTGTGTTCAATCCGAGTGCTTGGAAATCCTTATCTATCGACCAAGGCTGACAACAGTTATGATTGCTAGCTTCTAGAGACAAAGTGTTCTAATGAGAGCTATGAACAAAAGGCAAGATCTTTTCTCATTCCAAGATGCTCGTGTCCACCTAGTCAGTACATGCGGGTAAGCGTGAGACCAGGATTTGAGCTTGTACCCTTTTTCTTGCCATATCTCCGACAAAGCCGCTACGAAGTGCATTCGGGATGCCCTCTTTCGCTAGTTTTGAAAGTGAAGGAGTCTCAATCTCTCCTCCATAGGGAGAAATACCGCTCAAACAGAGATCACCGATGACAATAGAGCTTACTCTTTTGGTCGTGCCTCCTACTGGAACAGAACACAGCAAGACTCTTGAGGATAAAAAGATAGATTGAAGGTAGACAATGGATCAGCGAGCCTAGCATGACGACGTTCTTATTCCTATTTTCCCGCTAGAGTAAACCCTATTTATTATGAGCACTGATATAACAAACACCCCATTCTTAACAATCTAAAACCGGTGCATGAATTGATCCACCATAGTTCTAGCGAATTTTCTCCCACACAATATTCGATTTAACGTTGCTGAATCCGCTATGGTTTGGCCAATTGAAAATGCCGTGTGGATAGTCCCCACTTCTTTAAAGCTCGGTCCATCTCTCATACTCCGAGAGAGTCGCTCGGGATGAAGTTTAGTTAAGTACAAAGCTTCCAAGGAAATCTGGGAGATTGCTATCGACGAAGAAGCTATGGCTAGAATTAGAACTATATAAAGACCTTTTCATTAAGTGAAATTCCTACCCGTGAGCCAGAGATATACATGGTTGTTGAGTTGCAATCTGACTTACACAACGAACTTTTCACTATTTCATTGAGTTCGTTATGGAGTTGTTCTTCTAGACGCTCCATTTGTTATACAAGGGTTCTACTGTAACCGATGTCAAAACTCGTCATTAGCGATCTGGCCAGAATTTAAGTGAGATCTCTGCACAACGTCATTAAAATATCGAAAGACTCGCAACACGAAAAAAAGAAGCAGATGAAGAATATACACATGTGGGGGCTGACTACGCTGCATCGGCTACGAGCAAAGAAGTTTGCCATGTGAGACTTGGCTCATGTTATTCCATGTTGATTTACTACTTTTCCTCCACTTTTTAGATTCGCAGATGCATATGTCAACTACGTCGGTATAAAATGTAAGTGTATGACCAATCACTTGCTTTTTTTAAGAGACATTGCATGTAACTAGATCTAATTTATCAATTCCGTACGTCATAGAGATTTTTTATTCGTATAGATCAGGTAAACAAAAACCATTCATGCTACAAGGTCGATCATATCTAGGTAAAGCTCACCCCCGGGGCCCTAGCGCGAGTCTTCAGTTATTAAAACTAGGTACAGCACAGTACTTTTCCGGCAGTAGTAGCCAGTAGGACTCAAAGGTACAGTATATATGAGTTTTAGCTTAGCAAGTATAATGATATCGACAGGGAAGGTTGTAGGGTCACTATTTACTGAGATTCCCAACCCGCTCTAAACAAAGCGCTTTCTATCTTGTCTTCTGCTCCCTCGCATCCGACTCAATCTAGTTGCATATGCCAACTTGCTATTCCAAGGATATCGATGACTTTCATGTCAATCAAATAGCCTAGAGCAAAGGCGCAGAATATTGGTATTGAATAATCAAAGATTCCAAAATTATGAAAGGATAGTTGAGGCGTATGCCAGATTTCGAGGTCAGGAAAAAGAAGAGGAATTAAGCCAAGCAAAAGACCTCGGATGCTTGGGTCTTCGCAGATCATAGATTAAGGGACCAAGCACATTGCATCTGCGAAAGGCGCAGGCAAAATGTGCTTACAACGGTAGCTACCTTGCACAGTAGGCCTAGATGGCCGATCTGGACCCACTTGACCAGAAAGTTTAGGGGGATCTCAAATTGGACAAGGCTCTGGTGAGTTCTGAGTCGTGAAGAGACTGGGATAGTCCCTATCCCCGACATGCTTGACATTTCCACGGACGAGTTTGGTTTGTCAATATTTTGTTGGGAGAAGCACAGCAGATATAGGGCCCATAGACCACATTTTTGCCAAGGACAAACGAAAACAACAAATCAGGTGATCTGGCAACGGCCGAGGTCGGAGGGCGCGAAGGGGCGTCGAGCCAATCAAAAGCCCCGAATTTCTTGACTCAGAGCGATCGGACTTGGGTTAAACGTTTTCTCGGAAACCCCAGAGACGGAGTCACTGGCAATCTTCAGCGGTCAATTGGCACTCATTTTTTCCTACTTTTAAACCACTTTATCCCTTCAATTTTTCTGGCTTGGCCGTCATTCACAATGATGCCTTTAAGACCCTCAAAAAGCGCTCTGCGCGCACTCCACCTCCAGAAGCAGCTTGCTGGACGTCGGCCTTTTTCGACCTCGTTCGTGGCTTCGGCCGCTTCGCCCCACCGCTCTTCTGTCCAGAAGCGTACCCAGAGCACAGCTACGGCTTCAAATCCGTTCGTTTTCTATCCCCCCTGTGATCACAATGCAACTGCTGTCTGGTACTAATTTATTTGATCCTCAGCGAGTCCAGACCCGTGCCCAGTCCAGCATTCAACCAGGAGCCCCATCGCAATGAGATCTCTCCCTTACAACACCGCCAGCTCCCCGAGCTCGATGACTCGTATGTTACCCTAATGGCGGCTTGGACACACTGAAACTGATGAGCTGGATAAAGAATGGTTGGAATGAGTGGTGGAGAGATCTTCCACGAAATGATGCTTCGCCAGGGTGTGAAGCACGTCTGTGAGTATCCCAGGCTTGATATTCCACAACTGGTCAATTCTAATACTTGATATGCAGTCGGTTACCCCGGTGGTGCCATTCTCCCTGTTTTCGATGCTATCTACAACTCCAAGCACTTCGAGTTCCTCCTTCCCAAGCATGAACAGGGTGCTGGTCACATGGCTGAGGGTTATGCTCGTGCCTCTGGCAAGCCAGGTGTCGTTCTCGTTACTTCTGGCCCCGGTGCTACCAATGTTATCACTCCTATGCAAGATGCTATGTCCGATGGTACCCCCATGGTTGTTTTCTGTGGCCAGGTCCCTACCAGCGCTATTGGAACCGACTCCTTCCAGGAAGCTGATGTGATCGGTATCTCCCGTGCTTGCACCAAGTGGAACGTTATGGTCAAGTCTGTTGGTGAGCTGCCTCGCCGTATCCAGGAAGCTTTCGAGATCGCCACAAGTGGTCGTCCCGGCCCCGTCCTGGTTGACCTGCCCAAAGACATCACTGCAGGCATTCTCCGCAACCCCATCCCCATGCATAGCACTATTCCTTCGCTCCCTAGCGCAGCTACCGTGGCAGCCCGCGAAATAAGCCGGAAGCATCTTGAGGGCACCATCAAACGTGTTGCTAACCTTGTCAACGTTGCTAAGAAGCCCGTCCTCTACGTCGGCCAGGGTCTTCTTGCTCGCCCCGATGGCCCCGAGATCCTCAAGGAGTTTGCTGATAAGGCATGCATCCCAGTTACCACCACCCTGCAAGGTCTCGGTGGATTTGACGAGTTGGACCCTAAGGCTCTCCACATGCTGGGTATGCACGGATCCGCTTACGCCAACATGGCTATGCAGGAGGCCGATCTGATTATTGCTGTTGGTGCCCGTTTCGATGACCGTGTGACTCTCAGCATTCCCAAGTTCGCGCCTCAAGCCAAGCTTGCCGCTACCGAAGGCCGCGGTGGCATCGTGCATTTCGAGATCATGCCCAAGAACATTAACAAAGTTGTGCAGGCCAACGAGGCCGTGGAGGGTGACTGCGCCGATAACCTACGTCTTCTTTTGCCACATGTCAAGGCTGTCTCTGAGCGTCCCGAGTGGTTCGAGCAAATCAACGACTGGAAGCAGCGCTTCCCCCTATCACTCTACGACCGCCAGACCAAGGATGGTCCTATCAAGCCCCAGGCTGTTATTGAGAAGTTAAGCGAACTCACCGCCGACCGGAAGGAAAAGACCATCATCACCACTGGTGTCGGGCAGCACCAGATGTGGACTGCTCAGCACTTCCGCTGGCGTCACCCTCGTACCATGATCACCTCCGGTGGTCTCGGTACGATGGGCTTCGGTCTCCCCGCCGCTCTTGGAGCCAAAGTGGCCCGTCCGGATTGCCTCGTCATCGACATCGATGGTGATGCTTCTTTCAACATGACTCTCACTGAGCTTTCCACCGCTGCTCAGTTCAACATTGGTGTCAAGGTCCTCCTGATCAACAATGAGGAGCAGGGTATGGTCACTCAATGGTAAGCTGTCATCTCTGATCTCTCCCCCGTACAGTTGACTTACTTCTCCCTCCCCCCCTCCTTTCAGGCAAAACCTATTCTACGAGGATCGGTACTCCCACACTCACCAGCAGAACCCCGACTTCGTTCCCCTCGCCAAGGCTATGCGCGTCGCCGCCGATAAATGCTTCAAGCCCTCCGAACTTGAGGAGAAGCTGAAGTGGCTGATTGAACACGATGGTCCTGCCCTCTTGGAGGTTATCACTGACCGCAAGGTGCCCGTTCTTCCCATGGTGCCTTCCGGCCGTGGTCTGCACGAGTTCTTGGTCTACGATGAAGGTATGCTCACCTCTGGCCAATGGTTCACATGAAACACTATTAACGCATTCATTATAGCCAAGGATTTGGAGCGCAAGGAGCTGATGCGCGAGCGTAATGTGGACTTCCATGTCCGGAAAGAGTAGGTGACTAGCCAATGTCACCTCGACAATCATATTTCTGTACTTTGATATCCATGGCGTTTCTTGGCTGGTTCACCAAAAGCGATTGGAGCAATATCTGTCTAAGATAAACAACAAATTCATTATCCAGATTGCTCTTGGAGGTTACCGTGGCAGAGAAGTCTGGTGCTCGCAGGGTCTATACGCCTGCTGGGATTCGCCTTTAGCCATATCCTTGAAATCACCTTGGCGAGTTGCATGAAACACGTGCTTCACCATGGCCTTTGATCGAGATTGGCCTACTCTCTTGCCAGGTTGATCCTCTTGTATATAATCATTGATTTCTTGGAATCCTCGATGGGACTTGGGAAATTGATACGTTCGTGTTCCATTAAATAGGAGCAGTTAGTCGTTGAAAACATTTCATCTTGTTTTTATCACGCATTCATAAGCCCTTGCTCATACGTTCACCGTCCTTGATAGCCTTTGCATTTGCCGACAATTTAATTTATGTACCTCCGGTCTTGGAGGGCTTGGGCCGATTTGCCTCCTTTCATAATCGAAGCTTGAAAATATGAATACAGCTACCTAAAAGAGGCAAGTTACCTAGAACGCAGAGTGTTAGCCACTTTTGGATGCAAAGCAAAGTGATCTGCATGCTTTCTCGCCATTGCTTTGCCCTGTGACCCAATAGAGCACTTGAATCTAATGCACAGTCAAAAACAGAGATCGGAGACTAAACAAGCCCAAAGGATGGCATCAAAAGAAGCTTACCAAAATGCCAAAACAAGTATATGGAAATTGGTGATTACACCTTGGCTGGCGAGTTTGAAATTGACATATCTCTTCTTTCCTTTCCCACCACACTCTTGCTTTCAATCACGCTCTTTCATACGCTCCTAGTGCTTGCATATCCCACAGCAAACAACCGTTAGAAAGCAGCACATTGCATTGCTTTCAACCGTTTGGACTCTCACAAATCACATCTTGTGACATCACCCAGCTATTGGTCTTCCTCTTGAGCATCTCGTTTCTACCAAACTCTGGAACCAGGAAATGATACCAGACCATGGACTCCCAAAGGTATGACTTGAATCCATCTTACGTTTGCAAGATAGGGCAGTCAATTTGAGAGATATCTGAATCGATTTGGAAAAATCTCTAAGGAAATTGTGGACAATGCTAATCGATTTAACCTACTAAAGAGTTTGTCGTGACTTCGCAAGAGGCAATTGCCAATGGAAAACCTGCAAATTTGCTCATATGAGCAATGGCCGAAGCCATAGTCCAAAAATCCCAACCAGCCAGATCCAACACCTTGAGTCTCTGCCCCGACGAGATCGTGGCTTGCCAAATGCAGAAAAAGCATTTCGAGCATGGCAAGGTAGCATCCCTTCACGTACGACGCTCATTCGTCCCTCCTCTGGGAAGAAAACGACCATCTTCCAAAAAGCGAGGCAGTTGATTGAAACTGATGCCAGTATACGACAAGAAGTAATCCGGACATTGGCGAGCGAGGATGGCTTGCGCCTCATCTTGGAACTTGTACAGGAGAACTTCGAAGACATGGATGCCGCAACGAGAGACCTAATTGTCAAGACTCAGGTGCTACCATTTCTAGAGACAGTCTCAAATCCCGAGGTTGTCTCCTCTCTAGTTCTGGAGCAGGCGGTGGGCACAATTTATAACGTCTTATTTGGAATAGACGGATCCAGAGCAGCGCGATGGCTCAATTTCATCTGTGGCGTTCTCGAAGTTGACACAACCAACGAAGGCAGTGCCATGTTACTGGAGGCATCTTTACACACGTTCTCTCGCATGGCAGACCTAAATTCTACTGCTTCTATCCAGGACCGCCTACATGCCGTGGCACAGAGATTTGAGGCTGTGTTCGCCTCATTGAATAACAAGAATGGCATGAGCAGTAGACTTTATCAATCTCGACTGCACCTTGATCGTCTTCTTCAGCGCATGGAGACTGGAAAGTCGCTCCCAACCGGTACGCCAGAGAAGAAAATCAAGATGGAAAGCAATGTGGCTTTTGTCTTCAATCGAGCTGCTCCCGGGGGCAGACATAACAATGACTTTGACGACATCTGCCAGATAAAGATCATGCCTAGCTTCGAGGAAATCTGCAGCGTTCGAGAGGAGTATTTGCCCGTAAATAACCCCCTTCAGTGGCATATTGATGGTATCGACGGATTGCTCGATCGAAACTTTCGGTTGCTGCGAGAAGACACCGTCGGTCAACTTCGAGATGCAATCCACCACGAATTGAAACCGCGTGCTCAGCAATCACAACTGCGCAGGTTCGTGTATCCCAAGTCCATGGTGGTCAATCTCGAGTTCAATTGGCTCTCGGGTCTTTACTTCGAGGTCGACTTCCCTCAGCCTGCTGCAGTAACGAATTACACATCCATCGCCCGAGAGATCTGGTGGCAGAACTCAAAACGTCTACAGGCTGGCGCACTTGTGTGCCTGATCATTCAAAAGGATGTGGTATTGTTTTGCACCGTGACACATCGTGGCATGTCTCCCAGGCGCAAAAGGTATGATGCCTTCCCACAGAACAGGGCAGAGCCAAAAACGCTATGGAAGAGCTCCACGAGAGGCTCGGTTACATTGACGCTGGTTGATTCTCGGCACACCAACATTCAAGTCGTTCTTGACCTTTTTACTTCCAGAAAACCCGCGATGTCTCTGGTGGAGTTTCCAGGAGTCATTCTTTCGGCTTTTGAACCGACTCTCCAAGCCATTCAATCTATGAAAGTTGCCCAAAACCTACCTTTCTCAGAGCTGTTTACTCCGTGGGTCTTTGAAGATTTCAACGTATCTGATATGGCTCCTCCGTTGTATGCTTCGCAGCCTGGCTTCGCATTCAATCTCTGCTGCCTCATGAAGGATGACACTAATTTCTACGTCCGCGTCAATCAACCATCTGACGTGAAATACGTACAGGATCATTCAACTCTGGATGGTGCACAGGCTCAAGCATTAATTAGTTGTTTGAAGCGCAAGCTCGGTTTGATCCAAGGGCCACCTGGTACTGGTAAGAGTTATACTGGTGTGGCTATTGTCAAAGTCTTACTGGCAAACAAAGAGGCTGCTGGAGGAAAATTGGGACCCATACTATGTGTGACATATACCAATCATGCTCTTGACCAGCTTCTTGAGGCTTTACTGGACCACAATGTGACGTCGCAAATTGTTCGCATTGGATCCCAGTCCAGGTCGGAGAGGTTGGAAAGATTCAACCTTCAGACTGTTTCGAAAGAGACAGCACGAACAAAGATGGAAAAGAAAGAAAGATGGAGCACAGCCGAGAGACTCTCATTGTGCGAGGATGAGTTTCGCGCTCTTGACCTGAAGAAGGAAATCCCCATTGCTCGTCTCAAGTCCTACATCCAGCGAACAGATCTCCAACACCATGATCAGCTGTTTTCACTGGTTCAAGAAGCTGGTTTCTTGGGAGTAAAAATCGAGAGCCCTCAGACCGCGATCAACTCCTGGCTTGATTCAGCAGCCAAAGAAAATGCTCGTGCGCGACCTGTAATGTCCGTTGTCCTCCTTCTGTCAAATCTGCGGAAGTGAAGACATCAGAAATCATCAGGTCGATTTCATCCTGGGTCAATCGTACAAAGAAATCGACCTGTTAGAAAACCCGTGCGTGTTCCCCAAATGTGGGCATTTCTTGACTATTGAAAGCATGGATGCGCAAATGGACATGGCTAGCTACTACGAGGTTGACGCCAGTGGCAAGCCCATGTCTATCTCGGTATCATTGACCCCGTTCTCTATTCAAGACATTAAAAAATGCGCCACCTGTCGTGGCCCTTTGAGAGATGTTGCCCGATTTGGCCGGCTGGTTCGCCGAGCTATCCTTGATGAGTCGACGAAAAAATTGATAATTTTACTTAACTATGAATATGTCCCTCTTGCACAGGAACTTCCCCAGCTTGTTCGTAAACTGCATGAATCCAAAGGCCAAAGAAAGTATCCATGGCCAGCTGTGATTGAGATATCAGGCGCACGAAATCATCAAATCCAGACTATGGGAGAAATTGTCCAGAAGACAAATCCAGATCGTTGGAATTCAATCCTTGACCTGCGGAAGCGCGTCGATCTCTATCGGCACCGTGTGAAACCCGAGGAGCAACCATTTGAAAGAGTTCGAAGGATGGTTGAAAATGCTCGTCAACGCCAAAGAATAAGAACTAACCCTGATCATGTCGAGAACGTGCTACAGACCAAAGGTTTTCTACAGGGCACCGCCCTCTTGATCCGCCTGGACATTGCTTTGCTCGTTGATCTTTTGAGTCTTGTTTCCCAGGAAAGACCAAGCGAGGTAACTTCTCGATTCGAGCTTGATCTACAGAAGATCAAAGATGATTGCCAGACCCTTGTTCACCAAGCGGTCACTCACCGGCGACTTCTGCAGCAGACGGAAGGTCATATTTTCCTAGCACAGCTCCATGCCCTCGAACGAGCACACTGCTTGACACCAGAGAAGAGAGAAAATATCTTGAAGAACGGCCAGGCTGCTATTCAGAAAGCTAAAGGTCTTTGCGATGCGCACCCAGGCCAGACACGGGGACTGGCAGACGAAGTTCACAGTGTCGAGAAGATGTTGCGCGGAGGCACAGTCTACACAATTATCACCAACGAGGAACGCATGGAAGTTCTTTCGGCGATGGCTCAAGAGTTCCGAGGAACTGGGCATTGGTATTACTGTCGCAACGGGCATCCGTTTACCATTGGGGACTGCGGACTAGCCAGGCAGACGAGTCGCTGTCCCGAGTGCGATGCCCCGGTGGGGGGAGAGCATTCTCGACTGGCAGAGGGGGTTAGGCTGGCGGTGGACTGGGATATGGATAGGGAGAGGTTGAATCTTTAGGAGAGAGGTGGATGGCTTTGTTGCTTTTTGCGCTTATGCTGAATGATCAGGCAACCCAATTTGCTGCCGTACGACAGGTAACAAGAACACGATCAATTTTTCTATCTAGATGGCATTTAAAATTCAAGAACTAAAGTAGTAAAAATAGTTAAAGCTCTTTAGGCAAAAGCACCAGCGATGCAGGTGGAATGTTGTGAGCAGTCGCTCTCCGCTGCCGTACAAAATCCACGGGTGACGTCTCGGGGAGTCTCACGGTGTCACGCCCAAGCTTATCCTCCACTCAACTTCCTTCCGCTCTGCCCCCCCCCTCCCCCATTGTTCCCACCTTGATTCTTGTCACATGAATTGATTCGCACAATTTCTCGCTAGCTCATTGTCTTTTGTATTGCATGTGTTTACCCTGCTCTACCCTTAGCTTCCGCCCCTCACCCATTCCATAATGGCTAGCCCACCACCCGTCACCGAGGACCAGAACCGCCTTCTCGAGGAGGCATTGGGGGTGGTGAGGCAGCAGTCGAGTCTGATGCGCAAATGCCTAGAGACTCCTGGAAAGCTTATGGATGCGCTGAAATGCGGGTGAGCTCCTCCACGAAACTTCCCAGGCAGCGACCTCAGAAAGTGCGCAATGTGTTTATGTGCTAACAGTTTGTACCTACCTCCACAGATCGACTCTTGTCTCCGAACTCCGAACTCCCAGCCTCGGTCCGAAGCAGTATTACGAATTGTACATGGCCGTCTTTGATGCGCTGCGACACCTGTCCGTCTACCTAAAGGAGAACCACCCCGTCAACCACCTCGCCGACCTATACGAACTCGTTCAGTATGCCGGTAATATCGTCCCCCGCTTGTATCTGATGATTACCGTGGGTACAGTCTACATGTCCGTCGAAGATGCGCCGGTCAAGGAGATTATGAAGGACATGATGGAAATGAGCCGAGGCGTTCAGCACCCGATCCGTGGCCTGTTTTTGCGATACTATCTCTCCGGCCAAGCACGAGATCATCTGCCCTCTGGAACTGGCGATGGCCCAGAGGGTAATATGCAGGATTCGATCAACTTTGTTTTGACGAATTTCGTGGAAATGAACAAGCTCTGGGTTCGGCTTCAGCACCAGGGCCCCTCACGAGAGCGGGATAGGCGCATACAAGAACGACGTGAACTAGAGCTGCTCGTCGGTAGTAACATCGTTCGACTCAGCCAGTTGGTTGATCTTGAAGGGTACAAGTCCGGTATCTTGCAAGCGCTTCTAGAACAGGTAGTACAATGTCGAGATATCCTCGCGCAAGAATATCTCCTGGAAGGTACGGCTCTCTTATTCCTTTTTTTGTTCTCGGAAAACGCTCTTGCTAGGTCCATTTGCTAATATAATCAACAGTCATTACAAAGGTCTTCCCAGATGAGTTCCACCTGCATACTTTGGACCTTCTATTATCTGCCATCGCCAGACTTAACCCGCACGTGGACATGAAGAAAATCGTCATTGGTCTTATGGACCGTTTATCTTCTTATGCGGCAAGGGAAGCAGACTCGGCAGTAGAGCCAGAAACACAGAAACAAAGCGAGGAAGAAGCTGTCGCCAAGCTATTGCAAAGGCTCGAGCTTGCCAAAGAAATCAAGGCGGAAGAGCCAAAGGACACCAGCACTGATGACAGTTCCAAGGGAAATGGTACCGAGAACGGTGAAGCAGAAACGTCCAAGGAGAGCCCTGAGCCTGCTGAACCGCCAACAGAAGAAAAGCGGGTTGAGAATGGGGATGACACTAAGCCTGGCATTCCGGCAGAAATCAAGCTGTACGATATCTTCTACGGCCAAGTGGTCAATTTGATCAGAACGCGCGCATTGCCGATTCAGGATACGATGGCGTTGTTGGTATCACTTGTCAACCTGGCATTGAATGCCTATCCAGATCGGTTAGAGTATGTCGACCAAGTCCTGGACTTTGCGACGCAAAAAACTACCGAGTACACTGATCATGCCGATTTGCATTCGGCGCCAACCCAACAACACATTCTCCACCTTCTTAATGCTCCTCTCAAGTCTTACATCTCGATCTTCACAGCTTTGGCGTTGCCCCATTACCTGCCGCTACTGACCTCACAGTCATACCCCACAAGGAGGGCTGTTGCGGGCGAGGTCATTCGCAGTCTGTTGAAGAACAAGATCTTGGTATCCACAACGGAAAACCTCGATCGTGTGCTCCAGGCGGCAAGAGTATTGATCAAGGAAGGCATGCAGCAGTCTGCTGGATACCCCGGGTCACAATCCCAACGGCGGGGAGGAGAAACCGAGGAGACGGTCGAAGAACAAGGGTGGCTTGCGAGACTCGTCCACTTGATTCAAGCATCAGATAATGATACCCAGCTAAAGGTAGGAAGGATTACTTTCCTGGAAGTTTACATCCATAACTAACAGTCTGTGACAGCTTCTCCAAGCAACGCGCAAAGCATTAGCCGATGGTAACGAACGAATTCGTTATACCACCCCTGCAATCATAACGGCCTCGGTCCGACTGGCCCGTAAACTGAAGTTGCGCGAGCATTACGACGACAATTGGCAATCCCAGTCATCGGCTCTATACCGATTTATGCACCAGAGCATCAACAATTTGTACCAACGCGTAAATCCAGGTTGCGCCGACCTCGCACTGCGACTGTTTGTCATGTGTGGTGAGGTTGCTGATCAGACAGGATTTGAGGAAGTCAGCTATGAGTTCTTCGCGCAGGCATTCACCATCTATGAAGATGCGATCAGTGACTCGCGCGCCCAGTTCCAAGCCGTCTGCATTATCTCAGGCGCCCTGCATGGGAGTCGCGGATTCTCCAAGGAGAACTATGACACACTCATCACCAAAGCTGCACTGCACGGAAGCAAACTTCTCAAGAAGCCCGATCAATGCCGCGCGGTATATCTCGCAAGCCACCTTTGGTGGGTAGTTGAGAACCCTCAACGTGAAGAAGAAGATCCCAAAGATGCAAGTTTTGTCTCCTTTTTCAATGCTTTGATATCTTTTAGCTGACCTCTCCTTTTTTTTAGCTCTACCGCGACGGCAAACGAGTCCTCGAGTGCCTCCAGCGCGCCCTCCGTGTGGCCGACGCCTGTATGGACACCGCTGTCTCCGTCGAGCTCTTTGTGGAAATTCTCAACCGCTATGTCTACTATTTCGACCAGCAGAACGAGACTGTCACTACCAAGTACCTGAATGGTCTCATCGAACTCATTCACTCCAACCTGCATACCAACGAAGATGAGCAAAATGCCAATCTTGACGGCCCGAAGCGCCACTTCCAACGCACGCTGGAGTATATTCGCTCCCGCGAATACGAAGGAATTGTGACAGATCCGCCAAAGTAATTGCCAGTTGAGTGTTCGGGCCATTTTGATCCAGAAACACGTCTCCCGGTGATCTTCAAGGAGCACTGTATGTGATGTACCACGTGGGATTCCTGCTTTAATATTCCTGGCAGGATTTGTTTTTCTGCTCTACGCTATTTTCTTGGTTTCTTTGTTGTCTTTCCCTTGATCCTGGAAGCCTGCCTCTTTTCTCTCACTGCCTCTCGGTTTTCTTCCATTCCCAGTATATACAAGTGTATCATTGTCTCCGGATAACACCATACCCTTTGAACGTGATTTGTATCGGCCATGGACAACTTCACTTTTTTTTTTACTTTTTTGTAGAATGATCACCTGGGCAGCCTAGATGTGTTGGTTAATCCTAGAAAATATGATCACACCCATCAAAGGGAATCTTGTGAAATTCCCTCTAGACTATACAAACACAAGCCCTATGTGCACGGCAATGATGATGAGATATGCAACTCTACGTTGCTACGTCCTACGCAAAAACCAACAAATCAATGCCGAAGAAACCTTCGATCATGCAATTGGTCAAGACGATGACGGAGTGGGAGACTAACCCTAACTCCACGGATATCGCTGCATAATGTAGAAAGGCCAGACTCATACGGTACATAAAACAAATCCGGATGCCATACTTCAAAAAGTATGCATTCAACCACGTTGGAAAAATACCAAGCAAATAAAGAACCCATATCGATAGTAGTGACTCTTTCGAGTAGAAAGATGTAGACAGATGTGTGAGGATGACGTTAATCCATGACGCTTCAAATAAAGAGGATGAAAAAAAAAAGGAAATGGAAGAGAAATAGATGGGAGGGCATTTCAAAGTCGTTCCAGCAAGAGTGCGGAAAGGAGGCCGAGAAGAAGAATTATTCCAAGGCCGGGATGGTATCAAATCATGATCAGGATAGAGAAGTCCCGCCGAATAAGCCAGTCGGAGGCGAAGAATACTGCCGCAGCACGGAGGGCCCACCGAATCCACTGAAGGGGGCTGGGTGGCTGTTACTAGGGATGGGGCTGCCAATATCGCCAGGTACTATGCTACCCCGATGACCGGAGACCGCGCTGTTGGGATCGGGCTCGAATCGGACGGACTGGCCACTTGGACCTTCCTTGATAGAGAACGATCCGCCGCCATTCTGTGGACTGCCCTCTGTATCGCAGATATCAAGCATTTCATCCAAAGAGATCGATGGCTCGCCTGAGTTGCGCAGTTGCTCCACCTGGCCGAGAACAAGGTTCACATCGTGGAAGCTTCCAGCACCCTTCTGCGGGCTGGTCACTGAGTTCAGCTGCTTGCATGCTTGGATAACCAACAGGCGAATTGTGACAGGTCGAGAGGTGTGGGGCCGGTGATGACCACCCGTCGCAAAAGCGTTGTTGGGAGGCCAGCCAGTTCCAGTAGGGGTGGGTCCCCATGTGCTAGGGAAGGGGGAGGCTCCGAAGGGCATCGCACCCCATGTAGAGTTGCCCATTGGAGAACCGACCGCGAAGTTAATATGCGGAGATCCCAGAGGATCCGAGAACAAGGACGATCCTTGGAAGCTCGCTCGCGTTGGCCCCAGGAATGCCCCATGTGCAGGGGCGCCAGGCAATGATTGAGAGAGGTTTGATGGGTATGTAGCATCAGTGTCATCAAGGAGCGCACTGCTACCTAAATGAGCACTCAAGCCATCGACTTCTCGCTGCACCGAAGCATTGCCGTTGTGCAGCCGGTCCTGTGCGGAGCTGGATGGACGTTTGATAGGGCTGGGCCGTGTGATGGGGAATGGCTGAGTCCCAGACTCTAACGGGGACCGATCGAATGAAAGAGAGGGCTGTCTGGAATGGGCTTTTGACAGACCGGTTTGCTGCAGAGGGAATGCCCCAGGCACTGCGTGATTGCCAGTGAAGGGAAGGCTGTGTCCTGGATCAGGTGGGAACGCTCGGCTCGGTGGCATGGGGCGTACACCGTTCATCCCAGGCGGTGCGGGAATTCCAACGGACCCATTGAATGATCGTAAAGGGTTTATCATTCCGGCATTCGACGAATACATCGATTCCGGAGGGTGAGTCAATCTCGGAACCATTCCCGGTATGCCAGGGGGGTTGAACGGTAGACCACCAAGGCCAGCAAATGCTGAAGGATTTGCACGCCCTAGAGGTGACAGAGGAGCGGAAGGCTGAGGATGGTGCAAAGGAGGCTGTTGATAACTTTGTCTAGCACCGAAATTCGCTCCTGACTGCGGATGGCCCATGGAACGTGGGGAGATGGAAGGGTGGAGAGAAGAATCAGCGCTGTTCGGTTGAGAGTGAGGAGAGGATGCAGAAGAGCCATGATGAGATTGTTGACGAGGCCGTGCCGGGGTCGAGAGCTTGGGAATGATAGGTGTCGCCATGGGATAATGCGGAGACTGTAGAAAACCAGGAGGAGCCTGAGACTGGAGATTGTATGGGATGACGCCTGGCAGAGTGTGTGGTGGCGATGTTCGGGCTTGCTCGCGCTTTCCACTACGATCTCGGATTTCCTGCTCTCGTGCGGCGTCTCGGTCCTTCCTCGCTTGATCTTCGCGCATTTTGCGCTCACGCTCCTCTCTGGCTTTCTTTTCCAAGGCCTCACGCTCTTCCTTTTCTTTGCGTTTGGCTTCCTCTCGCCTCTTCTTTTCCTCTTTTTGCTCTCGTTGCTTACGCTCAGCTTCAGCTTGACGTTCCCGTTCTTCTTTGAGTCGTCGCTGCTTCTCAGCTTCTTTGCGAGCACGCTCTTCCTCTTGCGCCTTTCTTTCGGCATCACGTTTCTTCCGTTGCTCTTCGCGCTTTAATCGCTGTTCTTCGAGTTTCTTCTCTTGTGCAGCCTTCAGAGCAGCCTCTTCAGCCGCCTTCTCGGCGTCTCGGCGGGCTTTCTCCTCTTCTTTTGCTTGTCTTTGCAATCGCTTCTTATCTTTCTTCTTTTGCGCTTCCCGCGCCTTTTTGGCATTGCGCTGCTCGTTCAACGTCTCCTCTTGAAGGAGCTCGTCAATTAGCTGCTTCTGACGTTGTTCGGCGACCTTCTCTCGATATGCTGTCATGACTCGTTGCTCGAACATTCGGGCAGCGAATATCTGGAACATCCGTCGCCCTTCCTGCATACGTTGTTCCTCAGTCATGGCATCCTGTGGCTTTAGTTAGTAAATTGGCCCGAATCAAAGCCGGAATTAAACAAGATCGTAAACGCGTACCATTTCGTCCTCGTCGAACTCTTCCTCCTCTTGACTATCATAGTCCTCATCGTCCTCTTCGTCGTCGTAATCATCATCATCCAAAGGACCATGATTATGTCCATGGTAGGACTGATGAGCAGCAGCTATTCCGTACTGTGTATCTTCCTCTCTTTGCATTCTCCGTTCAGCCAATTGCTCCATCATGTCAATGAAGTGCTTGCCGTCATTTTTCAGGAGATCGTCTGCAACTGTAAGTATTCCATCTGGTGAAATTGGTTAGTATCCCAGGCTAGACATCAAACCCATATGACATCAATCAGATGATCTTGTTGCGTACCTTTTACAGTTAGGCTGTTGCCAAATGCAAAGAAATCAGCCCGGGCTGCTCGAGCTTCATCATCTTCAAGGTCCTCGTCGCTGTACAGCTCCTCGTCATCCTCTTCCTCCTCGTCTTCTTCTTCTTCTTCATCATCATCATCTTCCTCTTCGTCGTCGTAATCCTCTTCTAAATCCTCATCGTTGTCTTCGGGTAGCTCCTGGACCCGGCTCCGTGACGGATGAAACTGGCCGTGCGTTCTAGTATGCTGCCCTGGGGGTCGAAGGGGTGGTTGATAGAGTCGAGGAGGAGGAATGATAGGAGCTCCTTCATCAAATGCGCCTTGATTGTTATTCGCGTATTGTTCCAACTCCTCGTAGTATGCGTCATAGAGAACCTCAAGCTCTTCTTCAATCGCAGTTCGTTTTCTTCCACAAACTGTGCAACTGCAAGAGTGCTTTTGCTGCTCTTTCATTTTCTTCAAAACAGCATCCTTTTCCACTTTGACAAGCTGGCGTCTTTCTTCTTCGCCGAGCTCGAACCAGAAGGTCCGGATATTTTCGCGTTCTTCTAGAGTGGATTGGTTCCAGATGCTGTTGTTTTTCATAGGTTTTCCAGTGAACCGACTGATGTATGGCAAGGATTGAGGGGGCCGAGGAGGGTGGGAGGAGGTTGCGGACGGGGTTGAAAGCGAAGTTGAGCTGCGATCAGCGTGATTTTGGGAATTAGATCGAGCTTTTCTATTTTTCTTCCTTTTCGATGTCTCGCCCAAGGTAGCGTGGTGGCCATCGGGTCCGTTCATCGTGGTTTGTTCGCGGGGATGTTCTGGTGACGCGTATCCATAATGACCATCGGTTGCTGTGTGGGGGTGAGCATTGAGATCATATTCACGGTCTTCATCGTAGGAGCGCTGTTCATTTGTTGGTAGCAAGTCCGCATCTCCGGAGGCGTAAGCACGAGGATTTTCCGCAGCTAGGCGAGCAGCTTGTTTCTGCCTGCGTTTCTGTTTCTTGCGATTCACAGAAGGTGCAGATGTCACTGTCGATTCGGTCGATGTGGTGGTACCTTGAGGACCCCGCGCGTGGGTACCGCCGTTGGTTGCTGGGAGCGGAGTTGCCGACATATGGGTCGCCATGGTGGAGGTGAAATAAGCTGTAGGAACTGCCTCAGCAGCATACTAATACCACCAGAGCAAGCTCTGAGTTAGAAGAGCAACGTAAGAGAAGGTGGGTGGTGAAATGGGGAGGAAAAGCGGAGAACGGAAGCGCCTAAGGGCTCTACCAACAAAGCTCCGATGATTCCACGATCTGGTGCTGACTTACCGGAGTTATTCCCCTTGGCGTATCCACGCACAAAGAGTCAATCGCGTTCTTTGTTGTTTGCTCAAAAGACACTTCTGTAGTGACAAACGTGAGGGGTGAGATAGGATAAGGACACGGGAGGAGGGGGGTTGAAAGACAATGATCCCGGCGGGTCACAACGTTTCTGCGCTTCGGATTAGCTCGTGAAGTGCTGGCAATCCAGCGGAGAAAAACAAACGATGAGTTAAAAGCTAGGAGAAAAAACCCTGCAAGAAATCAAGGCTGAGTGAGCGCCGGGAAAAGAGGTGCGACAGATCGAACGCCAATGAGTGGATGGAGTGATGGGCTTTCCAGGCTTCTGGCTGGTTGTCGTGCCGCCGCAACGGGATAGCCGCTACAAGCGAGCTGTTGCCTGAATCGTCAGGTCTCGATTATGAATCGGTTGCTTCCGCGGCAGTAACTTGATTGTATGATGACGGTTTAGATTATGACCTGTGGTAAAGTTTAGATCTCAAGGATTCGAATCCTCCAACGATGTTGCCCTTCCTTGGTTACCAAAATAAACAAACTGCATCTCACTGCTTCCTATTGACTGCATGGGTTGGGGTCACATGATCCTCTAGCCGTCCGCCTTTGATCTGCCAGCAAAACTGTATGTCCCTTCGTTAGGCGGTGAGGGGGTAAATGGCAAGGGGAAACAAGTATGAGCTCTGATCCACCGAACTGGTGAGACACGGAGAGCGCTAATTAAAAATATCTCGCCAAATGATAAAACAAGAGCGAAAGAATCAAAAAGTGTCCCCATAGGATGATGAAACCGAAAACATATCCATCTTTCTATTAATATTTTGTCCCCTTCGCACTCGGCGTGAGCCTTAATAAATGCATCTCCGCCTAGAGTAGTAATTGTAAGCATCTTCCCCTTCATTTTATATTACTCTTCAGCTTCAGCCTCTTTTTTTCTTCTACAAACTTCCGCTCACTCAATTTACACCCTTCCCCTCTCTCTTTAAACCCCCCTATCAATTTGAGGTTGCCTCGAGGTTCTCGTGTCTACGTCAAACCCCCCCCCCCCCCCCCTCCCCCAATCATTAGCCTCAGCCCACCGCGCGACCTTTTCCCCCTCCCCCAACAAACCGTCACGTCACTGTTTGGGTGTATCTCCAGGCCGCCCATTCATCTTCTCTCTTGTAATCGTTTTGGGCACTATCTGCCCAGGGCTGGTCTTTCCTTACTATCCGGTCCGCAAATTCTCGTAATCAGCTGAAATCTGACTCGGAACTCCGCGTCATCTCGAGTGTTGATCCACAATATCCTCCGCTCTCCCATCTTGTGTATCACAAAAGTGTTTTGCAACCCCCACAATGTCGCAACAGCAGGATGATAATGTGATGCGAAGGTAGGTGCAGCCCTAAAATTTTTTTTTTTCTTGTGGTGTCTTACATCCCCCACGCTGTATGGCAAGAGGAGATTATGCAAGATTGGAAGTGCCAGCCCAGCATGCACTTCCAATACCATTGCCAATGGGAGTGAAGGCAGAATGGCATTCGCATGTGCTAACTTGAGCCTCATGATAGGAAGCTTGTCATCATTGGTGATGGTGCATGTGGAAAAACCAGTTTGCTCAGCGTCTTTACCCTCGGCTACTTCCCAACTGTGAGTTTAGTCCTTAAGTAGCCCCTAGAAGGACGGCGATAGAAGCAGAATCTGTGGCTAACATGTTCTGATATCGCAGCATTATGTGAGTATTCTCAACCTCGATACATCCCGTCCCGATCACATCTCTGACATCTTCCCCGTTAGGTACCAACGGTATTTGAAAACTACGTGACGGATTGCCGTGTCGACGGCCGCTCAGTTCAACTGGCTCTGTGGGATACAGCAGGACAAGAAGACTATGAGCGCTTGCGACCATTGGCCTACTCCAAAGCCCATGTCCTCCTGATTGGATTCTCTATTGATACTCCGGATTCACTGGAGAACGTGAAACACAAGGTTTGTTTCAGATAAATTCAAGAATCGGCATAGACTCGGCAGTGGTACTGATCTGCGGTATAGTGGATCGACGAAGCAAACGAGCGATGCCCAGATGTGCCGATCCTTTTGGTTGGATTGAAGAAGGACCTTCGTGAAGACCCATTGGCGATTGAAGAAATGCGCAAGAAGTCACTCAGATTCGTGACGACAAAAGAAGGCAGTGATATCGCAACGTCGATTGGAGCCCGCAAATATCTTGAATGCTCGTCTCTGACGGGCGAGGGTGTTGACGATGTATTTGAAGCAGCTACCCGTGCTGCATTACTCACGTTTGACAAACGGAAATCGTCTTGCTGCGTGGTTATCTGATGATGCAATTTGGGATGTGCAAAATGCCGACTCTTTCTCTGCCAGCGCTCGGTTTTTCTGTTGACTTGGAAGTTGATTGATACAACTTGGTGACAACCATGAATTTATCAACCAACGCTCCGTTGTATCATGCATCACTGGTGTTTGGGAGGTTCTTGTGCTAACCCGGTCGATTGATCTGGGTATGATGTCTGCTTTCCGGTTAATTTCAGCCGTGCCTTTTCCCTTGCAGGTATTTTCTTACGTCTTTCCTTTTTGATCAATTGCGTCTTTGTGGCTGATGCTTATGCACGTGCAACTCCGGATTCCCTTCCTTCTCACTATTCCATTCCCCGAAGTATATTGTGATCTCACTCCTTGTGTTCTTTTCTTTTCATGTAGTTCTCCTAGTGCCTTTGTTTTCAGCGCTCATTTCCCATACATTGTGCTCACCACCCCCTCAGGGTACCATATAATCTACTATCTCCTTTCGGTCTGTCATGTCCTGTAGTCCTATATTTTATATGCTCTCTGTACACATAGAGTTAGATACGTCGCACAGGAAAGGCATACACCCTATGAGGCTTAGTCCTGCGACAGTGGGTTTTTGCCTGCATCTTTTAGGATATTCATAACCACGTTCAGACGCTTAATTGCATACCATCATGTATGTTAATTAAATCTAAATAGATAGGAAATTGGCTAACTAGCAAGAAAATACCACATTTTAGCATAGGAGCTCTCTAAATGCGTAGCAAACAATCTCCTAAGTATAGACCGGTCGACTACCTTTTGATCAAGTGCATCCCATACACTGCATAGAGCTCTCTTTAAACACGCCTAATCCGCGTCACTTCTACTTATGTTAACTAATTTGGGGTACAACTGTGAAAATCGAACCTTCAGTAACTATCATTTGTGCTTAGTAGGGCTTGTGTCGGGCAAATGTGGAGGTCAATCCCCGACGTATACCCCGTGTTCTTAAAACCACACTCCCACAATTCTAGAGGTATTTACCCACTTATGGAGGAGAAAAGTGGATCATATCAAAGAGGAAACTGATTGAAAGTTAGACGGCTGGGGGGTTAGTAACCCGTGCTTGAAAACTGTAGGGTTTGTCGCGGGACTTAAAACACCAGATGTATGTGCAAATCGAACAAAGTGTTGTGGAGCTTGAAAAATATCATTAAAAAAAAAGGAAATGCATATGTTACATAGCGCCAAAATGGTACGTTTCCTAGGCCCTCCAGTCCAAAGAATTTTCAAACCATCAAATCCAACCACACAACCTCTCCCCTAAGTCCTCTATTTCTGTCCGGGCTTCTTCCAGTCATAGTTCCATCCATCGGAAGGAGGGGACTCAGTCTGCATGCGAGCATACTCGATGGGGAACATATCGGTGAAGATACCCTTCTTGTTCATCGAGACGCGGAACAGCTTTCCTCCATCTCCCGCACCAGTGCGCAACTCCTCACACGCATCCTGCATACTCTGGTACTGGCGCATCATCTCGAGTTCGTGTGTGCGGCGTTGCTGGGCCTTGAACAATTGCCAAGCGCGGTGGATGGTCCAGTGGCGGAGGTAACGGTTGCGAGAGAAGCGGAGGGGACGCGGGGTGAGAGGGTGGTGGAGGAAATAGCGGATCAGAGCTAAAGAATTGAGAACAAAGTGTTAGTTTTCGGTTCTATTTCCGTCTTTGGCATGGGTTATGAGACGTGTTGTGTTTGGTTTTGCTGGGGGGGCTCGGGACGAGGGGCGAGAGTGTGGAGAGCTCGGCGCAGGGTGATGACACATACTAATGCGCTTGTCAATAACAGGGCCGTTTCCCTTCCTCGCGGCCATTGCGCTTGTCGTCGAGAATGGCGCTGATTGCAGGGCTGCTATGACCGGGCCGGGCTGTTGTGTTCGGCGGTTCAGGGTCTCGTGGCATGCCCGGGAAATAGATGGGCGGACCGGCGCCATTGACACGGGAATCTTGAAGACGTTCGCGAGAGACGCGAGGGCTGGTGATAAGGACTTCATTGTGATGGTTGTCTGTTGGGTGGTAGGATTGGGAAGGCCTCGATGCAATTGAGTTCTACGGGGAATAATTCCTTGACGGCAGAATCCTGTCCGCCTATTTAGCCGCGCGCTTGGTGAGATCAACAATTCCACTGCATGCATCTGTAGCTACGACACATTAGTGGCTCGTGCTTTTCGGTATTGATTGAATTATCAAAGAGCAGGGTTGTAGGAACCCAAAAGGCTTGATAATTTCTACGCCAGATGACCGGTCAACTGAGCCAGTCTTGAGATTGACAACAGATGCAGAGATGGATAGATACATGCGACATCATGACCTGATATTTTTGTCAAATAGCGAAATGTAGAGATGTTCAACAATGACGAAAGTCATAAAGGGCATTATATGTGAAATATCCAACCAAAGCCGTCAAAGAGAATGTCATGAACGCCGTATAATGCAGTCAACGCCCCGAAAATAAGCAGAGGAAAGTGGTTCAAGCCTATTGGAACAGGAAATGGCCAATTCAAAGTTATCCAGTGGACCGCTTTGTGCCATGGTGTTTCTTAGATCGATCGTAGTTCAAGACCTTGCGGCGACGGTGTGTCTGGGCTAGCTTCCACCGGCAATAAAGAACCAATGCATCTTTCAAGAGAACAAACATGCACCCGCCAACAACGCTGCGACCCCAGCGGGTCTGGAGCAGTCCTAAGCGGCCACGGTCCATCATTGAGGATGTCCATGACTTGGGCAAAAGACATTTCAACAGGCCACCCATTGACGCTGAGACTGCTGGGAAGATGAGCGCCCCGAGTACGATTTCGGCAATGCTGCCGGTATCGGCAATGATCTCGTTCTGTCGCCGCCCAAGTCCTAGTGGGTTGTTGTTTTGTTCAGCATCTTGAGCTCCGTTGAGGCCGCCATCGGCATCTTCATCTTGCCTGACGGGAAGGACCGGTTCATCTCCATCGTTTATTCCCATTTGCAGCTCAAGATCAATCTCCATCAGGATCTGTCCGTTCCCATTATCGCCGAACTGGTTGAGACCCTCCGCTTGATCTTGTTGCTGCGCATCATCCAAAATTTCTTCCGCTGCACGGGGCTGCACCTCGGAAATCCATTTCCGTTCCAGGCCACCGAAGAACCGTTCGTAAAGTGCCCCATAGAAACTTTTGACGTATGGCAGCGCGGCAAACGTCATGGCCGGTGTAGGTGGCCACAAGTCGAAGTCGGGTTCCTGCCCCGGGTTATGTGCAGCGAAGAAAAGAACCGGAATCGCTGGAAGAAGGCCTTCGGCATACCGAGTGCGGGAGAATATTAAGACTAGCGGGATAAGCGGCAATCCGATATTCATTCCGGGATTCCATGGGCCATCCAGAGTATCCTCTATGATATGTTTAGCGTCCTCGGTTCCGAAAACGAGGTTCATTGAATAAACACCATGCGCGCAGCACCCGGCCCATACAGTGCCGGCCACCGTGAACATCATGCCAGGAAGAACTAATCGGCCTGCTACACGCTCGACCAATCGAAGCATATCGACCACATAGCTCCGCGGGCGAGTGACCACAATTTCCGTTTTGCACTGAGGACACATCATTGTTACACCACCACCGTTGCTTTTGCGCGATCGGGGGTTTTCCATGTCGGCAAGCCAGTCGAGCAGACATGCCTCATGGGCTGTTAAGGCACAAGGGCAAGGCGACCGCCATTCCAAATTCAGTGGCGAGTCTTCCGTTTCGTCTGTATAGCAAATCCAGCATTTGCGCGGCTCGTCTTCATCCGAAGCATGTGAAGGCTTGGATGATGGACTGAGTGATTTGCTTGAAATTTCCGACCCGTGACTCGGGGTTGATACGCTTTTATTGAAGAACACGGTTTCGGTGTCTTCTATCAACTCATCGTGAAGTGAGACGCTCTCTTGAGAAATTGTGTTTGCATCAGAATTGGCGGATGCGGTGTCATCGAGTGAGCTGGTTCTGCCTGTTGCAGAGTATCCCGGGACGGACGCCATCGTAGTGGAGACAAGGTATGCAAGTCGGGGCCGGTGAGAAATTTAGAGGGATAGTGCAATAATGATCTAAATCGGGCTCGATAAGGGACAAAGGGTGGGGTTCAGCATCTTCTGAATAGAGAGGTGAACCATATAAAAGCCGATGAAGCAAACCAATGTCTCAAATTTTCCTCGGAAGCACAAGAAAAGAGGAGCTCCATCCCGCCAAGTGGAGGTTGGAGTCTTTTAAGCTCGGCTGTAGTCCGCGGCTGCCAAAGGCGGTCACGTGGAGCAATCACGTCACGTTGGCCATCAAGCTCAACCCAAGCTCAACCCAGAGATGGCAAATGATCGCCGGACATCTACAATGTTTGTATGCGACTTGCTCTCTGATCTATTTCTCTTTCGATTCCACCCGATGTAGGATATACTACCGTGCAGTGTTCGCCCTTCAGGCAGCCATGCCCGAGCGACCAGGCCCTTCTTTGGTCTCGGCCTATGCAATGATACAAGAAGTCCACGGTCCACCTAGGGAGTATGAAAACTGTTCGATCAATGCAAAGGGTCCTTTTTTTTCTTATCTTACACTGTCAAGATTATGACAGCTCTCTGCTCGCTCTGCGGTTTTATATTCATCCAGCATTTTGAGGCCGAGGATAGTGGTATTTGCTTGGCCTGATTTGTAGAAAAGTAGACATACATGGCTGGGTGCTAAATTGAACTTGGGGGGTATGATGCAGTCTTTATCTACGTTTAACTTCTGGGTCTGCCCCTCCATAACAAGACACCTAGTAGATTGGGGATATAGAAGGTTACATAATATTTCCATTCGTTCAATTACACAATACTACTCCGCATAGGCGTCTATATATGGATGAAGAAGAGATTGAAATTGGAATTTGAAACAAGCAACTAATGATGCATTAAAAAAGGGCGGAAAGGGATAAGAAAGGACAACACAGGGTGTGATCTGGAGTGGGATATACGCGACACTGAAAGCGAAGGGTAGCCAATCCAAACACCCAACTACTGTGCAGGGTGAATGCTACCATCAGACTCCCTCTTGCCGTCAGCTGAGGCAGTCATATCTTCCAGGACGTCATCCAGCTTAGCTGGAGTCGAGACCGATTCAGCCAATGCCGCGGCAACAGCAGTTGGCTCAGATGCAGGTTCAGAGGATTTTGTCTCGTTCACGCAATATTTCTCCATGCCCTTCTCCTCTTCCTCCTTCTTCTCCTCCTCCTTCTCCTTCTCCTCCTCCTCCTTCTTCTCCCCCAATTCAGTTGCCACCAGAGACGACCCAGACGGTTCCTTATTCTCCGCTGGGGTCTGCGTAAGCTGAACATCCGCTGTTGTGGTGCCGGGTGAGGTAATATCCTTCACAACGGGAAATTCAGGTGTTGGGTCTACAAATTCACCGGCAGTGTTCTTGGCGATCGGAGGGGCCATTGGGTGCTCGGTGGGCACCAATGATGCTTCCACTGCAACGGATGGCTTTTCCTTGTCGTTACCAGCCCCAACAACCAGATTCCCATCCCGGCCGACTTGCCAGATATTCAACGATTCTGTAATTTTGATCTCTGGAATAGTGGGGAGTCTGGAAGTGGTGTTCTCAACGGCTGGCTTGCGTCGTGCTGGGCCGCGAGCTCTTCCCTTGCGAGCATCGTTGAGAGGTTGCTTCTCAACTGGCGCCTCGGGTTTCTTTTCCTGAGGCTTGGGCTGCTGTGGGCCCAGCTGCAAACGTGAATTCAGATCATTGAGGAAGCCCGCCTTCATAGCTGCGATTTTGCTTCCACCCGGACGAACAGGGATTGTGGGCTTGGCCTTGACTGCGGGAGCCTCTCTCGGGGTTTCAGTGGTGTTTGCTGCAGCCTGGGCACCGAACATAGCGGCACGGCTACGGACCAGGGGCTTAGGTCTGTCTGGGATTGTTGGTGGTTGGCGCTTTTCAGTTGGTGAGGTAGACCGAGGCTGTCTCTGCGGGCGTGGGGGGATTCCAGGCTTGGAAGGTGCTTCAGGACTTTTCAGTTCTTCTTTTGCGGGCTCAATTGTGGTCACCAGCTGGTGACTATCAGGGGCATCTTCCCAAATATCTCTACTGGGAAAACGCTGTTTCAAAGTGTCTGGTCGCACGGGGACTTTGTCCTTGACACTCTCACCTTCCAGGATGTGGGTGGCCACCTGATGAGAGTCGACTTTGGTGTTCTGCATCTTGCGTGTGACCTCTTGCTCGGGTGTCTCAAAGACCTCGGAAGAGTCTCGCTTGGGCAGATCTGGGGTGGTGACGGTGGCATGAAGTTGCAGACTGTTTGGGGTATCCTCCCAAATATCCTGGCTAGGGAATCTATGCCTGAGTGTGTCGGGCCTTTTCTTGAAACGATCCGCAGCTGACACGGTTTTCTCTTTCTTAGCATCCTCTTCAGGGAATAGCGGCTCGTACTCCTCGACGTCTTCAAGAGGTGTATGCGTGTCCTCACGCGAGTCATAGCGGGTCAGCACCGGAAATTGACCTTGGGCGCTTGCTGATCGACTGTTGGATCGACTGTGCGTGACACTGGGGGTCCGACTGCGGCCATCATCCTCAAAACTTGCTCGACGATCAAATGTCGGCGAGATAGCGGGATGCAAGTACGCCGATTCAGGGCGCACTTCATCAGCGGCCAAAATTGGCTCTTCCTCCTCCACAGCATTCTCATATGTCGGCTCATTTTCCTCCAGCGCTGGGGTCGGGGCAAATCCGTCCGGGTGGTGCATCCTTTGCATCGGATCGTCCACATGGATCACGCCACGATCACGATGTCCATGCGAGCTGGACCTACGTTGATGCAACGGGCTTGCGGTGGTTTGCTTCTGCGTAGCTTCTGAAGGAAAACTCATCTGCCGAAGAGGCGACTCAACAGTCGGCTGGCTTTCGAGTCGAGCGTCAGCAGGGGGAGAAGCAATGTGATGTATGTACTCGTCAGATGCTATATAGCCAACCTCCTCCTCGGGGGTGCCCACAACAGTTGGGGAAGTACCTGGCTACAATTAGCTTTCAAGCAACAGCACAATTGTTTCAAACGCTCACCAAGACCGGAACCGGTCTGGGCTGAGCTTCGAACAATCTTGTTCAGATCGTCGCTACTCATTGCCCAATCGGGACGCGGAGTGCCGACACCAGGGCCATATTGTCCTTCCTCTTTCACGAATTCATCGGGATGTTTCTCATACCAAGCCTTCTCAAACTTGTCGGGATGCTGAACACCATGTCCATGCAAACCGTAGCTACCGGGGGGCAGGGAAGAGTCCCGAGCACTACGAGTGCGATGGTGGTTACGGCTCGATGGCTGCGAGCCCTGTTCGAGGTATGGGCTGGGGGACGGTGCCTGGACGTCACCGGCATGGGGGTACATGGGCACGCGGAATCCCTGTTCCTCTCCGATATGTGCAGATTTTCGGCGCTCATTGGGTGCAGTTGAGGATTCGGTGCGTGAGCCACTTGTTCGGGAATGCAGTGAACGACTGGAACGATCTGGTTCCTCGCGAGCAGGCGAAACGCCACGGCCCAGTCCTGCTGCAGCAGCCTGGCGGGAATCAGTACGAGTGACAGCCTGAACTTTTGCTTCAGCACTTGATATCGGCAGCGAAGGTCTCGGTGCGTGGATCTTAAGATCACTGCCAACATTGCGAGTCTCCGCAGGTGTTTGGTGGTGGTTGTCCGACACGTTTCCCGGGTCGAGGTCTGCATATTCAATACCCTCCTCGCCGAGAGACGGTATCGTGACGCTGGGGGGACGCGGAGGCAGATCATTTGAAACGGTGCGACTCATGCTAGGACCGCTCCATTCATTGAACGGCGAAGGTGCATAGCTATCACGCATGGGCGAAACCGGACGATCATTGCGGCGGTTGCCCGGGCGCGGTGGTATCTTGGGCATATCTAACGACGAAGACGAAGACGGCGGTTTTGGAGATCGAGCCGGTCGAGGAGGTATGGCCGGAGCAGCTTGGGTTGACATGATGAAGTTCTGGGAGCTGTGAACAGGTCAGCGGCAGCCCAACGGGATACCCCACGAATTTGCTTGGCCCTGTACGAGCCAAGAAAAACAATGGATACACGGCCCCCAACCGACTTGCAGGGATTGACGCAAGTACTATGGAGATGCATCAAATTGATGCAAGACTCTCAGGAGTCAAAGGCCCGGCCCGGACAACTGATAAGAGTATACATAATATAATGACTTGCTTACCCAGATGTGGTGAGAACCAGTTTCAGTCCAATTGGAACGACAGTGAAAATGTACAAACAAAAGCAGAAATTGAAGCAATTCCGAGACTGAGTTTTGAGGAAGAGAGATGATGTATGCTCTTGCTGCCTCCTGACGTGCTCTGACCGCAAGAGATAGTGCGCGTAATGTACTGATACTGTATCATTACAAGTCAAAAAGGAGCCAACTACAACGATCCATTACAATCACCGCCCCGCCGATGAGATCAGCATATAGGGCCTTGATTTTCGATCTGAGGTTGTGAGGCATTTTTTTTTCTTCTTCTTTGATTGCTGCAAATGGCTCATGTAGCACTCCGTTCTCGGTCAAGATTGGTATGGAAATAGTGCCTCGTTTCTGCAGCATTACAGCATGTTGTATCCGCAGTTGGCCCGATCATCTCCAAGATTCAAACCGAACATGTTCTTCTGGTTTAGTTATTGTACAAGATTGTCTAAAAAAAACTTCCTCTATGTACAGAAAAGTCTTGTTCTTTGACCACCAAGGCTTTCACTTTTAAATGATTTCCCTACCGTTGGACTCGCTGGCTAGACCGAGGCGGTGAAGTGTCAAGGTTCTCCACATTACATCATCGCTATCTATGCAAGTCCACTGTGGTCTACTGGGTGTCTATATGTTGTACTCCGTACACTCCACTCCCATGTCACGGAGAATTATTGACATACCTGTACTGCTCTAGAACCTCCGACTCTCTCGGTACCTCTTCCGGTTAATCTTGTCGTCCCTTCCACTCACTAGAATACGCTTATCTGCTCAAGACTGAGATCCACTCTCGACCGAAACAGCGAGAATACCCGCCACATGTCGATAGTGCTAAAAAGAATTTGCGGGGTAACATGCCTTGTGATCAAAATTTCAAGGTTCATTCCATCCTTTGCGCCACGTTCCTGGGCTCAGCTTACTATGTCTGTGATTCAAGCCAAAATGGTGGCTTGCTTCATGCAGGGCAAACTAGACGAATTGCATTCGCTTGCCCAGCCCAACTAGACAAGTTCCGAGATAGTCAGCATCTGAGGGGTCCAATCTATGGCGCCTAGAGTCCATAGACATACAATGGACAAATTTCATGCTCTCGGATCGGTCGAGGGCTGATGTTCAAGACTATTTTTAGTGTATACATTGTAATCGACATTGATTCCCACCAGGTTCTATTGGTGGAAGTCTTTCAGGGCCATGCGGGAATAGATGCATTTTCAACCATATATGCATCAGCCTTGGGCTAAGTGAAGACTGCCTAATGGGCCTAGGCATTGATACCTGGGGTATCCAAGTTTTAATCGATGTCTGCAGAAATTGGCGGTCATCCACGTGCTTCTCAACCCCCTGAAGAGCCTCCACTTCACCAGAGATACAACATTTCGCTGAATTTATGTGGAGTCTAGTTTGACATTTTGGATAAATTAAGCTTGTTCAATGAATTAAGACTTTAAGATAGTGATCAAAACACCTATTCTGGCGGACGCAGTCCACAAAAAGAAAGGAAACCTTGGATATCTCTGCCGTAGGAACGCTCATCGACTTTGAAAACAGCCATGTCCCGCAGGATCATCCTGAGCCAAACCGAGACATACAAGTACAAGGACAAAAAACAAATACAAAAATTATTTCATAACGCACCCCAATGCTGCCCAAATGGCATATTTAACTTTGCACCATCTGTATCGAGCATCTCAGTGTGTCACCCAATCTTCTAATCACCAGGATTAATCCCCAAATGGATCCAGCTGGAATAGAAAAGAGCAGGAACGGCTCGGCGCAAATGTTATGCTGTCAGACAATCATCTGCGCAATGCCTTGGCCACCAAGGGTCTTGCTACCAACGAACTCTTGCTTCTTTAGGGCCGCCAGTGAATAGAAAGCAGCCGCAATGAAAAGGCAGACGGCACCAGCGATCAAGCTGGAAGCATATTCGACAAGACTGATAAGTTGGATACCGCCGAGGGCAGCGTAAATGAGGGCGCGCATCGAGTTGGTTGTAAATTTGCGGATGAATTCGTCGAATGTTGGGGATGTGGGACAAATTCGGAGGAGGAATGGTACTTCAATAAAGAGAATGACAAATGCCGAGGCGCTGAAACAGGTTAGGCTTCGCAATGAATCAACGGGAAATGAATGCGACTCACATGCTGATAACGCTGATGATAATGAGAACCACGTTGAATGAAAAGATGTTCGCGATTCCTAACGCAAGGCAAAGGATAATGCACAGCACACCCGTCCTAGAGGTTTTGTTAGACTGATCCCTTTCCATGCAGCACTATTCGGGAGAGCTATCCAAGGGTCAAGAGCCACAGCACGAAATCAGAAAGCGCAGTGCGCTCCCGCGACAGGATTCAGGCTTGCGAAAACATAGAGTGTTAGAAGGCAACGCAGTAGACTGACCATTGTCCATAGATGCCTAGAAAAGGCCAGCAACATTAGCGGATTGAGATGTGGCGGAGCAAAATCTGGGTACATACTGAAATTTCGCGATCGGAGCTCCTCGCTCAGCGACATGTTGGGCTAGCAAAAAGAATCTGGGGGAAAACAAGAGCCGAAGATCAAAGATGGGTGATTTGCGGATGATAAGAGGTGTCAAGAGGGTCCAGCAAAGTGGTTGATATCCAGGGCGGTCAAAGGATAGATACAATCAAAATAAGCAACAACGATCAATACTTTGAGCAACCTTGGAAGATTCGTGGATGAAAGGTCCAGGGACATAAGGGTTCACTAAGTATTTAAAATGTTCCTCTTGATAAGATCATTCCAAGGTCATTTTCTAAGCCGGGTCAAATTTCATCACACAATGACCAGGTAGACGTCAATGACCAAGAGCCTCATTGTAATCGAGCTGATATTTCCACCTCTTCCGATACTTAACATGTTCACAGTTTTTAATTTTTTTGGAAAGAATGAAAGAACCAGTTCACACAAAGCCGGATCCCAATAGAAGAGATGAACTCAACCCGCAACATCTCGATTTGGGTGTTTGGCTATGACATTTTGCATCTCAGCTTCTTAGTTTGTGTGAATTGAAAGAGAAGGGACAGCATGGCTGGTTCTCTATGAAAATCGAACAATATGAGGTTTACTTCGGGGGTTAATGTACTTAGGTTGGCGGATTGAAGATATTGTGATATATGTCCCACGTCAGCAGCTTTCAAAACAGCTGCGTCGGGCCGAGAAACCCCCGTTTCAACCCCAGACCTCTGTTCATCCCATTAGGTCATCCTGTTCCGACTAGTTAACTAGTTATGTACCCTGTTGCAGCTATCTGTATCTTTAAACTCATGATGGAACTGAGACTGCGGATCGCGGGCACCAGCGCCTCCCGGGTGTAGAAGCAGTGGACACGATTATAGTTGTCCACTGTAATTGCCCCCTTACGTTCATCTTGTTCCAACAACTCTTAGGGACCGGGGCGCTAGGCGCGTTGGTTGGTATAATGGGTCCATTTGTCCTCGGCCACACACCGGTCGGTCAAGGTGGGCGACGCCCCTAGTTGCATCATGGCATCGACAACACATCCTTGGGCGTGCGCTTTGGCTAGCGAGTCAGCGTAGTAGTTCCTGAGGTTTAAGTCGATTACATCGGCACAAGGTACAGTCCTAGTGGTGTGAATGCCGAGGTGGATATTTTTGTTGAATGCAGTCTAGGCCGAGGAGATAGTGCCGAATACCAGGGCCTGTCAGGGTACTAACGGGAGAGCAGGAGGAGATAGTTTATCTTCCGGGGCTTGGGGCTTTGCGGCATATAACGCACTTGGGCTTATCCAGTCCTCTGTCGCCCGAGGATAGTTTGAGAAGAGCCAATCTTTAGCTTTCAGAGCACAGTTCATTGAGATTGTGTTTTCAAGATGAACAAGGCAAAAAATGGAAGATGATGGAATGGCTGAACGAAAGGCAAGATGTGACTGGTGCTGACTTTGCTATGGTAGTAGGGAATAGTTGACGTTCCTAGTCAAAGTCCAAGGGTACAGCGTAGTTCCGATTTAACTCCTATTTCACTCTGTCTAGTAGTACCGGGAATCAGGATCGCTATCAGGTACCTTTTTTTGGATTATCTATCGGACGCAACATACCAGGTACTGTGTCTAATCGAGTAGCTATGGAACGGTTGGCATTAGAATGTCGCACCGTCCCGTCGGATCACCGGAGGAAAAAAAATGATATATCAAGGCAGTACTTTTCAAAAGTCCATTCAAGCTACGTCGGAGAGAATGCTCTATTACGAAACGTTCAGAGAGATTCTTGATTATCTTTGCAAGGAAGGTCCCGTTCAGGCCGCCCTATGTATCCCCTTATCTCGATCCACCACGACTTCCGAGGTTCAAAGTCAGATCAACCCATCCAAGGATACAAGCATGTACCTATACAAGGCCGAATCTGGACTAAAAAATAGGACTAATATCCAGGCAACAACTCCAGCAAGTTGGCTGGGCCGCAGGTGCAGTGCACCCGAGATTAATAGCACCAAACTCTCTACGGGTGTACCACTCGAGAAGGGGACTGGTAAAAGTGATGGGGCCACATACACTCGCATTTGGAGGGCTCCGAGGATAGTTGGTTAGTGTGAAAATTAGTCTCGATCATGGGGAACAGTTGTCAAACAGGACATTTGTACACAAACGTACCCCTTCAGGAGACGAGCAAAAGAGAGGAGCGGGCCAGCAGCCCTGGGTACAGAGCTTGTAGTTCGAGCCCGAAGAGATTTGGATGAATCCGGGAATCGTGAAATTTTTGAGAGCGTTGTTTATGGGCAGGGCTTGAGTTTGCGGAAAGAGTAAGGCCAGGACTGAGGAGATGCTGAGATACATGGTGTTTTCGATGTAGAGGGCCATTGAAATCCAATGCAATCTCAATTCAAAAATGGGTAAAAATCCAAGAAAGGACAGCTTGTCATCCTTATTTATGGCCAAGTCCGTTGAGTTGTCACTGTGCTACCGGTGTATGCTTGTTCAACCCTAGAGCATACACAATCACTCAAGTGGAACCAACTGAGGCCTTGGATTGCACATTGGTTGGCAAATGTAGCCGAGTGCGCTCAAGGGCAACAGTGACACAATACATCTGGAAGGAAGCATCCGGCACATGTAGCTCTTCCGAGATATCGTTGATCACAGCCCCCTTTCCCCTTTACCAAGGCATGCAACTAGTCGTGCTGAGTCAACTAGAGGCCTGTGCAGAGATCTGTCCCCCAATGGATCGTCACGGGAAGTGGCACGCTCTTCACTGTACTGGTAGCTAACTTCAATTGGCTGGGCTTGTCATGAATGTAAGTGATGTGACGAATACGAAGCAGAATGCTTAAAGCACGCCTGGGTGGAAGGATCTGCGTTGCATCGAGAGTTTTGAACCTGTCGTCAAGTACACGAGCAATGGACACATGCCAGAAATTGGTGACCCCAAAACGTTCCTGGGCGATCTTTTACGAATTACGAGGGAATGAGATTGTGGGCTTGTTGGGTGAGATCAAACTCCGATGCATACTGAGAGCTTTTCTGGGAGCCATGTTCACGACCACTGCAACCACCGTTGAAAAGACATCAGCAACACAGCCTAACCAGGCACTTTTGCCCAAGCCTCTTGTTCCCGCTGGAACAAATGTACCGCCAAGGCCACACGTTGTCGAGTCTTCATCCCGTACCATTGTTGTCAACGAACCTGCTGTGATCACCGACTGGTTTCGGTTGATTGGACAGGAAACTGGCTACCTGCCCTCGGACCTTACTGATGAGTCCATCTTCCCCGAACTGGGTGCTGATTCTCTCACGTCTCTTGTGCTAGCTGAGAAACTCTGAAATGAGTTGAAATTGGAAGTTAGAGATTCTTGACCCGTCCGACCCAGCACCGGTGGCGGTGGGTTGTCGCAAAAGGACTTGGTGATTGTCATGGCGTGCCTATCAATGATGGTCATGCAGACGACATTTATCAATAGGCCAACCTCCGCACACTCAGAGCAAGGACTTTTTGAGAATGGCGAAGAGGCGGCAAAGTACAGCGATGATGGTCTGCGCCGTCGAGTTTGCTAGGCAGGAATACATCCACATCCACGATAAGTGCCTAAGCTGCTCAACCGGATGCCCAAATGGAGGATTTTGCAAAGGTAAATGGCTCCCTAGTATTTGAAGAACCCAGTCAGCAGCCATACCTATGAACGGGTTGGTTTTCACTCGTCCAAGAACTAGTCCCAAGCTTCACACCTCTCTATTCATCCCCGAGGAACGAAGCACCAGCATTCAAAATTAGTGCTTTCCTGCACACTAAAACACGGACTCCTGCTATCGCCAAAAAGTGTCGATTCTTGGCTGGCAAGGGTTGTAACGCGGATCCACAACTCTTCCGTACACGTGTAGTTATTTGCCCTCTTTCTTACTCCTCTTTTCCCCAACTTCAATCTAGTCAATGCACTCACTGACATCGCTTCCTCTTGGCCATTTACATCTGATGGGACCTCACCAATCTCACTCTTGGGCCCACATTCGAGATCCGACATCCCGCCAGGCCTGCCGGTCCCAAGGCCCCACTTTTAGGTCAGCACAGCCCACCGAGGGACCAGCGGGGGAGGTCCCCACTGCTACAAGCCAGGCCTTCACGCTACCAAACGTACCATCTTCATGCCACCGAGGCCAAAAAAAACCCTTGTCGGTCATTTATGTACCTTCCTTGACGCCCCTGAGACCTAAATGACCCGTAAAAGCTGTTCTGGAATCTTGAAGTCCTTGCTCGAAAGGACTTTTTAAAGAGAGTGTTGAACTCTTACGAAATGATCTTCTGTGATGGGTCTTTGCGAAGGATCATTCAAAGGTCTATTCCGTATTACCCTCAGAATTGATCGACGATCTGTAACCGTGCCAAGCGCCCAGCGCGTTACCTTTGATACCCTTGGCGTTTAGTCTGATTTCAGTAAAGAACAATGACTTCTTTCACGATGAGGCCAAATGCCGGTCTATTCCCGCTGTATTGCTACGCACTTTGCCCGATGCTAGTTGGTGCCCACTTGTGAGTCTCATTGCAGGGGCTGGAATGTGAGAGATGAATGAATGGCGTCCTAGCAAGATGAGGTGACGTCTATGTTTGGTCTACAACATACAACTTAGCAGGCCCTCTGCCCTCTTTCCCCCTTTCTTCTTTCTGTTCCGCACCATCTAGGGTGCTGATTACAGACACCTTGACATTGTGACCTCGTGGCCTTTCACCGATATGTGCATCACTGTCATGGACGATGGAGATTGCGACGTGGGCAGGTCACCGTGCAGATGTCCTCGTTATCACTGTCACTTGGGACATCCCATTAAAAATTCAAGTCACAGCCAGCTAAACGAGCAACTTGATGGCCTATTCTGGCATCTAGGCCAAGTCACGCCACCTACGGAAAAAGCTCGCGATCTTGATCACACTTCTCTGGAGCCGGTGGATACTTTTGATATACACTTCGGCAAGGATTCGGGGCCTGTTCCGGTGCTGCTTCCCAGCAGTCACGATGATCGGCTTTCAACAATATTCCAATATCTTTCCTTCTTGTAAACTCTGCATTCCCCTCTTTTCGATAAGGAAAGACTTGTCTTATTATTTTCGCCCTAACTTAATCAGATCGTTCCCCGCGTACTTCGGGGCTTTTGCTTTCCTAACTTCACGGACTCCGAGACATGGACCCATTTCGGGCACTTGAACCCCCCGAGGCCAATGATAACGTCGCAACTGCTCTTAGCTTGGGAGAAGCCCGGCCAATGGGACGCGAGATCAAGGATACCCGCGCCGGAGGGGGCCATGAACAAAGAAGAGCGCAAAGCACTACGAAACATGCCTCACGGTAAACTAACAAAGGACGTCCACTGGATGCGAGACTCCAATAGCTGTGACGGTGGCGCGCTTATAAGATTCTATATATCGGGAACGCCAATGGGTCGATTCCCGAGATCATCGCCAGATATATCATGCACCACCACGTAATCATTTGATCATAAACTAGCGATAATTTAGGTTGCCATAGATCTTGAGAGCTTTTGCCGTCTTCCCGTTGACAATCTCGCGAAATTCGAAGGAATTTAAAAGAAAAGGTAGGAGAGAACGAAAGAGATGAAAAAAAACCTCCAGACTGGTACCTTCGGATATCGGGCATTCCGCGATGCTTTGTCCTACTGGAAACATTTCCATTCCTGAACGAGACCCCTACGAAGCTACATAGCGCTTGTTCATATCCCGGAGCAATTTGGAGCCTTGATGCCTGGCCCGATAATGACCGCTCTTTACAGCGCTCTGGACAATGTATTGTGGACACTTTGATAGATGGAAGTAAAGGGCGAAATATGCACCATGGAATCTATACCCTTAACCTCTGGTGCACGTCGAATAATCTCCTCAAGATCCGACACGATGACTTAGCCAGCCCAACTTGGATGTTTAGCAAGAAGGCGCACGCACTGGTGACCGATGTTGCTGCCGATAGCAACACACACTTTCCGGTCAGTGGCATTATTGGCCTCGTCCTCAAACGGCATGACATCGAGCCCGCGGTGATACCAAACCGTGTTGAACCCAAAGATTTCTGTCCGATAAAGGCATCTCGCATAGATGAAAGGAGTCCGCCTCATCTGTCACTGTACGATTTTACGATTGATTGGCTACTAAACATCCCGCTACTAGAATCTACGGCCGGGGCTGTGTCTTCAGCAGGAGTTGTTACCTGCTCCTTGTAAAGTGAGCAGCGGCACTCGCCCCGCTACCCTTCATAGGCAGCCCTCCTGCAAACGGATCTTCTCTTCCCTTTATCTCTCAGCGTATGAGCGATTGACGAAACTTGAATGTTTGAAGCCCTACTTTGCCTGAATGGCAATATCTCACCGTAGCTGGACACGGAGATCTCTATCAAAGCTATTGGGTATGGTACCAAGATATCCAAATAGTGGACATTGTTCAGGGGATCAAGGTACCCCTGGAGACATCCCCTGTCGCCACAAGTTGGGGTCTGGGCCTCTCTCCACCTCACTATCGCTGACAATTTGAATTGACTACTACTGATCTGGTGCCACTATGGAGTGAACCGATTGAATTGCCGAATTTCAGTCCTTGATCGGCAATCTCAGGGTCGAGTTGTTGGCCAAGTCGGAGACACCACCAAATGCGCGAAGGACCTGCAACCCTTCTTTCTTCCATTCAAGTTGTTCAAGAGGTTCGACAAAGATTGTTCCACTTTCGCCCGTTTACTCAACAAGTTACCCAAGCAAATACCTGAAGTGTCATTGAAGTGCCATAAATGATGTCCTTCACTACCACGAAACCATCACAATGAACTTCGTGCCAAATACAGTTATAATTACGACGGTGTCCTAGATTGCAGTATCGGAGAAAGGCTCGAGCTTAAGAGATTGGGGGAACTCGACCGGAAATTGCCCTCAGTGTTGGATCACACCGGGAAAAGATCCGATCTTCAATCATCATAGCATCACAGCATTATAACCTGACCACAATGACGACGACATCCTACAAGGTCACACCTCTCGTACGCCAAACCTCCAATTTCCACCGCAAAATGCCATCGACCCCATGGACAAAACCGGACACAAGCACATGCCCAATCGCCGTATTCGGCGGCGGCATAGTGGGCCGACGAATCGCCATGATGTGAATAGCCTCAGGGCTCACAGTAATCCTGTGCGAGAAAGCACGTAACTACAGCGATGCAGGGGCCTACGTCCAGGCACACGAAGGCGAGCAATCCGCCAAACGAGACACAGAACCCGCCGAGCTGAAATCAACAACCTCGCTAGTAGAAGCCGCCGGGAACGCATGGATGGTTATCGAACGGAGAAGCTGGGGATGACGACCGAGCTCTGAACGCAGCTAGACAGAATTGTGCCAGACGACTGCCTAATCGCCAGTAACTCGTCATCGCTGCGGTCCAGCCAGATGATTGTCAACACGGAGTGGAATTACCGCATCTGAATGGAGCACTACTACATGCCGCCGGAGCAGTTGTACTACGAGGTCATGTCGTGTAGCCAGACAGGTCCCGGGATTTACCCATTTTTGGTGGAGAAAGCCATGCAGGCTGGGTTCAAGCCTGTGCATGCTAAGGTTAAGTCTACTGGGTTGGTGGTTAATCGCATTGGGGCGTCGATTAAGGGTGAAATTTTACTTGTGCTCGCTGACGGTGTGACTGATGCTCCTACCGTTGACGAGATATTCAAGAGTTGGTTCAAGGCTGCCAAAGGTCCTTGTTAGATGATGGACAGTGTGGGCTTAGATACAGTTCAGTGGTGACTTGACAAAACTACTTGGCATCAAGCATTATACATAGAAACGTTCCTTTGCATGTTCAAAACGCTTCCAGTATTCTAGCTACGACATCAACAAGGATGAGAATGAAAGAAATTTAGAAAAAGACGTGTGTAATGACTACCAAAAAGAGACCCCCACAGGGTCACATAACAAGCCGACTATTCTCGTTGGGTATAATATAGACTTGCACTCTCACCCCGGGATTTAAGAATTAAAGGATCGATTCACGCCGCTTCAGGATGTCCAGTTATAGCGTGACAATAGGCTGCAAATCTGTGAACAGGTCATGAAATACGATTCGAACCAAGTGGGCGGTGGCAACGAGGGAGAAAAAGACCCTCGGAGACAGTCGCCGAAGTGATGTACAGGGGAGTGTTGAAGATAAGGATAAAACGAAATGACCCAAAAAAAAATTGCAACAGGGCATGAAGATAGGTATCGATCGTCCAAGCGAAACTGGACGGGGAATCAAGAGTCATCAGAAATATTAGCATCCAGGAGACAGAATGATAGGAAATCACATAGGCAAGGAACGTGGGTAAAGTGAGAGGACAATCAGAACATGACGACAGCAGCAGATTAGCGCGCTCTGAAACCTCGCAGGAAAGGGTATAGGGCGAAAGGCATTAGGAGCAGGCCCTAGGGTGTGATTTGCAATCATTAGGGTATAGCACACCCATAGAGCCAGTTAGTGCAAAGGGGGTTGGGCCGTGAAGAGATTAGCCAAACAAGGTTAACGGGCAAACGTGCGAACGAAGCCTTGACCAGATAAACAACAATTTAAGGAGATTTCCTACGACGATGGACTTTCCATTCCGCTTTAGCGACACGCATGAACATTTCGGTGTCTTTGATGGGAACCCAACTAGTAAGGACTTTCATGATATCCTCAAAGTCGGATTCCAGAATAATTTCACGCATGCCATCAATAAGGGCAGCAGATGAAGCATGCAAGACGTCAAGACCTTGGCCAAAGGTCCTTGGGTTCTCAGGAGTGGGGACTATGTTCTTCCCTGCAGAGGTTGCAGGACGGCCAGTGTTGTCTTCGGCATCTCCAAGGAGCATGAAAACATCCCACACCCGAAGCTGAGCCGGGAAGGGGATCGAGTAATTAAAGAGTGTAAGGTACCAGCGAGTGCCGTAAGCTGTGGGTGGGATTCCAACCTCGTTCTGCAAACCCAAGCGTTAGTATGTGCTCCTCTTGTTTCAAGCGAAATTGACCTACGAGCTTCGTGGCCACTTCACCTCCGGCGAGCCACTCTCGCTCAAAGTCGGACAAGGCTTCCATTAGACCAGCAAAACCGGACTTGTACAGCTCTTCCAGACCTCGCAGCTGCCACAATCGGACGAGCATAATAAAAGCATGTTCCTCGTCGTAATACGCCAATAACGTAGCCGCGAGAGTTGCCATTCCCTGCACGTAGCCCGTGTCAGGAAAATATAGGGACATGGCATGGAGAACACGGAACAAGAGTCTTTGGCCACCCCGATAGCGCCTCCGAAACATGATATGACTGGAAATGGTCCGCGGCACATCAATATCAATCTGGACATCGTCCGGCGACGAGATGAGCTGGAGCTCATTGAAGGCTTCAACGAGCTTGTCCGCAGGCGGGCTGCCCTTGTGGCGTCGTGCACTGGCCTCAAGGAATGAGTACCAGGCCGTTGAGCGCCACCGGTCTGGAATACCTTTCCAAGTTCGCTCGATCAACTTTGAGCTCTGAGTATCGAACTCGAAGGTCATACCGCCGCCGTCCTTGGTCTTCTTGGTCGGCTTAGCCATCTTGGTCCACTTGTCTTCACGTTGCCATTCCTTCCTTCGCATTGCGCGAGTCATGGGTGCATCTTTCTCACCGCCAGACGAAGTTGGCAGAGTGAGCATATCAGCCGCCTCATCTTTCGCTTTTCGGTCTCGGTTGTAAGGCAAATGGTTGGTCGCTGAACGCAAACGAGAGGTCGAGCGGCGCAAGGGCAGACCAAAATTGCTTTGTGATGAAGACGGACGGGCGCTTAGGGAACTATGGGACATTTTGCGGACTAGAGACGAACCGTTGAAGGAACGGTTGCTGGCCGGAGCGCTTGGTGGGCGAGTGGAACGTTTCCGTCGAGGTGTCTCAGAGGCCAGCAGAAGACTAGTCGTGACTCGCTGGAGGGGGTTCATCTCGGAACCATTGGAGTTTTTTTCAGGTCGAATGAAGCCATAACGATCAACTTGTTCTGCACCGACATTTTGCCAATATTCAGCACCACCTGCTAGCTCCTGGGTCTCCCTCTTGATTCGGATACGCTCCGCTTCGACAGATGGCCTTGGTTTGGTTTCGGTTCCAGTCTTATTCGTCTGAGCACTGAGTGTTTCAGGGGTTTCAGTATAAGTGACCGCACCCTCTTCCCATAAGACACCATTTTCTGCGGCCATTGCTTTCGCAACCTCGGAGTCGGTAACATCTTCGCCCTTCTCGTACATCAGCCGAACTCGCCGGGATAACATGTCTTCGTCTGCCGAAATTGCTCTGCCCGGAAGACTAGTCTGTCTTGGGCGAAGAGTACCCTGAGGTTTGGCGTGCCGTGGAACCGCTTTTGGTGCTTCATCTTCTCCTTCGGGCTGGCTCATGATAGTGGCAGGGGGTGGCGCAATTTCAGACGTCTGTCGGTCCAACTGCTGATCACAATTATCTTCCAATGCTTCCTGAGCTGGTTGACCTAGCTCTTGACGAGGTTCCTTTTCTTCCATAATTTGCTGGGGCGGGTCAGGTTGTTGCTCGGAGTGCTCGTCCAGTTTCTCCTGGGAAATTTTTGGGTGCGGAAGTTTCGCATCACACCTAATTAGACTCCCGCGAGTGGAAAAATTCATCGGTTTATGAAAACCATCCAAAGAAGCTGTCGGAATGTTTAACGGAATACCAGAAAAGGGGTGTTCGATTTGGGGAACTGGCGGAGGCTCCTCCGAGCCAAGTTTCCTCTCCACCTCGAGTGACCATTTCTTTAAACCACTCCGCTTTCTTTCTGACCGTCGAGAACCCGGCCTTGAACCCGGTCGTGAACTAGGACGGGAACCTGATTCATTCACAACAATATCGGGCACGCTGCGCGAGGAGGACGCGCCCTCTGATCGAATCGTTCGGGTTTCATCTCCAACGGAATCGGATGGCCCCAGCCGTGAGAACATAGGCGCGGATACATGTTTATCACTTAGACCAGGTGACGCAGCGCTTGTACTGAAAGATCGGCTATTCGAGGCTGTTGGCGCATCGGCCGTGGGCAACGAGACCGACCGGTTTGCAAGAGGGGCGGCAACGGTATTTTCAAAAGGCACGGCGTAAATTGTCGGATAGGACTTCGATCGGTCGGGCAGTAACGATGCAGAAACCTCATTCAACATTGTCCCGGCATGACTTGCGAGTCTGCGCGTGGGCTAGATTCGCGTGAAGGAAAGGAGTGCAGGGACAAGGCGAGGGGGGGAGGGTTGTAGGCCAGATTAACTAAGAATCGGAATTCAAGTAGAAAGGAGCGACAAGGGGAAAATCACAAGTGAAGTTCAACAGAACAGAATCTCCAGAATTAAAATTGACAGATACCTGGAGGTGTGGAGTTATTTTGGGTCGGTTCTTGGCGCTCTCCTCAGTTCTGGAGTTCTGGACTTTAACGGGGCATCTTCGGGGTTTCCATCATCTCTTTATGTAACTATAACCTCTACAAAGTACTGACTAGTACATTCAAAAGAACACGCAGCCTGAATTACTCCCTATTACATTATCAGCACCTCTTTACTTTCCTCTTTTCCTCTTTTCGTTCTCAAAATAGACATCAAGGGGGTTTTCCCACCATGGGCCGTGTGTGGATCGTGAGAGAACAGGGAGTGTGGTGGAGTACGCTAGTTCAAAAGTGCTTATATTAGAATCATATGCCCAACGACGTTACGGAGTACATCAAGAGGTAATCTGTTTAATTGTGTCCATGCATACCCAACTACGGAGTACGTGGACAACACAGAGTAGATGCAATTCAAACCCCTAATTCCCCCTGGACGCCCCAAATTTACAAAACGCGTAGAACTCCTGTGGCCGAGGCTTGGATGACCGCCATCAGCTATCAAATGCTCAATGCAATCAAAAGGGGAAATTACCCCAAGCTAGAATCAACGTTAAAAAAAAATTCATAAGGGCGTGAAACGGTCAATCCAGCGCACAGCGTTAGATCTAGCTTACGCCACAGCAGCTGTGTGAGCCGATGGCGAGTCGCGGGTTGGTCGAGCCCGATCCACAGGCTCTTTGGGCAAAAGTTCGATCTGACGGACCAGGAAGCTCTTCTCATCCGTAAATTGGTCGTCGTCAGTTCGGTCTTCCAAGAACTTGGGCAAAAACCTTAGCAGTCGATCGCGGTTATTGATCAGAATTCGTTGCACTGCCACCGATTTGGTCGGGTTGGCTACAAACACCTGATCCCTTGTTAGAACGAAGCCTTATCTCTTTTCGGAGCAATTAGGGGACCGACTCACCTTGAAAACATGGAACCCTTCGTATTGCACCATCTTGCGATCGTCCCGCAGCAGTTTCATGCAGAGTTTGAGATTATCCCCACTCTCCACGTATGCCATCATTACATTGTAGTTCGCACGGTCCAAGAGAATCTCCCCCAAAAGCTTGATGCTTTGGCGCTTGGTGACATACGAGTCGGAGTGGACCAGGATGTTATTGAACCGCCCAAAGAATAGTTCAAAATTGCTTGCCAGGTACGAAGTTACGAGGCTCTTATGGTGGGTCACGATCTCCTGTGAAAGATATGTCAGCGACTTAGCATCAAAGACCATGGTTTCTGGACCTCACCCTGAATGTGGTGAACGCATCTGCGCTGACTTCGAAATTGCTCTTATCGATCCAGTCAAAAAACCTCCAGAACACACCATCTCCCCTTTGTGGTAGGTTAGGTTTCACGTCTGATAGTCGTATAGCTGACTCTCCTTCACTGGATTGATCATACAATACAATCGCAGTGATGACATCAAATTTGAGTGCCTCTCGGAGAATGACACCACAGGGCATTGCACTTTGACTCTGCATATAGCCCCGGCATAATTCGACAATAATCTCTGGTCGATGGTGGACCAGGTATGAGATGACGGGGGGATCTTTTTCGGGTCCATACGAGTTAGGCCGGAAGCGAAGAATATGGGAGAATACGGTCTGGGTATCTTTTCTGGCTTCGAAGGGAAGCAGATGGATGCTTTTGGATAGATCAAAGAGTAGATCTTCTTGAAGGCTTGCCTGTACAAGGGCATGAACTTGATCCACTGATGCGGAGACCTCTAAGGAAGAAGATCATTGGGTTAACTCCTTAAAATACGGCTTGGGTGTTACTTCCGGGAGACCAACCTGGTGTTCCTTGTACTATCACCTTCATTTGGCTGAGTTGCTTAGCCAACTCCTCTTCAGCCTAATGTCTTCATTAATCGGATTGTTCTCCACATTCTTGTTGCCTTCAAACGAACCTTGGGAACATTCTGGGAGTCATGGATCCTAAGTAATAATTCCTTCGTTGTCCGGACGATATCAGCAGGTTGCCGCGACCGGCCGCGATTGAAGAAGAAAGCCATGGTGAGATGGAGAGAATTTGCGGCAAATTGAGAAAGAAACTGGGGATTAAGGCGACATGGGAAAAATTAAAATTGCACCGGGAGAATCGAGATCGAGTCCAAGGGTTCAAGGGTTCAAGGGGAAACAAGTGTGATGTATTCGATTGCAAGTTGCGAATAAACAAGCCGGGGCGGGGCAACGGGCTACGGGCTACGTGCTACGGGCAACGTAGGCTGCCTGAGGCAGCCGCTGATAACGGGGTTTTTTTTTCCTCTATCAAAATGTTATCTTCTGCCCCTCCCACTCCAACGTTGAAATAATTTGTTTTTGACCGTTAGAAGGCATGTCAGCTGTTAATCGCGTGAACCCACCTGTGGGTGAAAGCTTTCCCGATACGCTTTCTGTATCAGATTCGTCCGATTCTAGCAACGAGGAGGGCTGGGAAGATGTCGAACCCGATGAGGAGTCCCAGCCTGTGGTTGGCCTCTTCACTGACCAGGTCTTTCCCGATGCGCGTTCAATGCTGAAGGAGTGCAAGGAAAAGTACAATTTCGATCTGCTCAAGATCCAGAAGGACCTTGGTACGTCCAGTCTCTACTCTTGCGCGGAGTTCAACAATTGAGGCTAAGATTTTTCCGCTTCTAGATCTGGATTTCCTCGACAATATCAAGTTGATCAACTACGTCCGCACCGAAGTTAAGAACGGGAACAGCACCCCTGATCTTTCTTCCAAGTCCAAATTTGAGGATGATGTCTATCTCAAGCCCGTTTTAGAGGACGATGCTCTCTTGTACAGCTTGGACGACCTTGCCGAAGAACAGGGTGAAGACGCCGTCCCGGCCACCGAAACAAACCGACAGGTCCTCGAACTCCAGGAGAACTTGGCGCGATTGCAGACTCAATTTACCGAGTATCGTCTTGCTGTGCAGAAGTCGATGGATGACCAATTGTCGAAGGAGGATGATAAGCTTGCTGAATCCAACCCTCAACCCTCGGCCAAGGCTATCGACAGACACCAGGATGCTGAAGATGGATATTTCGTCTCATACTCTTACAACGGTAGGATATCTCGCTCAACTGATCACGCATACGATGCTGACATAGTCTAAAAGGAATTCATGAATCTATGCTCAAGGACACCGTCCGTACCGACTCCTACCGCGATTTCGTGTACGAAAACAAGCATGTTTTCAAGGACAAGGTTGTTCTTGATGTCGGCTGTGGTACTGGTATCTTGTCCATGTTCTGCGCAAAGGCTGGCGCTAAGAGGGTTATTGCTGTGGACAACTCGAACATCATTGACCGAGCTAAGGAAATCGTCCACGACAATGGCCTTGAAGATGTGATCACGTAAGACTCATAATTATTCCCCAATGAAGAGACAGCACTAATTTTTATCCCAGGTGCATCCGTGGCAAGATCGAAGAGGTTACTCTGCCCGTCGAAGAGGTAGACATCATCATCTCTGAATGGATGGGTTACGGCCTCCTTTTCGAGGCAATGTTTGATTCCGTCATCTACGCCAGAGATCGTTATCTCGCTCCTGATGGCCTTATGGCTCCTTCGCACGCTACTCTGCGCCTTGCCCCTTACGCCGATCCAGATTTCATCGCGTCCCACATCTCCTTTTGGAACAACGTCTACGGTTTCAAGATGGACAGCATGCTTCACAAGATCTACGATGAGGCTGTGGTTCGCAGCAACCAGGCCACGACAGTTGTCGGCGAGTCTCCGATCTTCTTGACACTTCCTTTGCACACCATCACTGTCGAGGAGCTCTCATTCTTGAAGGAGTTCCAGGTCACATTGAACCAGGATGTTGATGCATTGGATGGATGGATTATCTGGTTCGACATTTTCTTCATGCCCTCTAGAGAGTCTGTTCTACCTGAAGATGCCATCCCCGCAGATATGCAAAAGAAGGGAGTTGTCTCATTCACCACAGGTCCTCATGGAACCGAGACCCATTGGCAGCAGACTGTCCTTCTTGTTGACCATGCCAAGAACCGCACTAAGCAAGGTTCCCAGGCCTTGAAGAAGGGCCAGGTCATTACCGGCAAAATCGGTTATGAGAAAACCGAGAAGGGCTCTCGGGGAGTGGACATCAGTGTCCAATGGGAGTCCGATGCAAATGAGAAAGGGGTCCAACTATGGAGCCTCATCTAGGATCGAGCGATCTTTTGATACGTTTTCTGATGAGCTAAAAGAGATATGATTACTTATATAGAAAAGGACGGCACGATGTTTATCTGGGTGTGGTTTATATGAACCCATGAATTTAAACCCGATTTGCATTTAGGAGCAAGCTATGTCATGGGTATCATTGTCGTAATTTGAATCATGATCTCGTAGAACAAGTGGAATATCTACGGTTTATTTTTTGGCTCCAGCATGATTTTCCTGCCTAGCAGCCTCGGGACGTTGATCGTGGCGATGACGATGACGATGACTGTGATGAGAGGAGTGGTGACGCGAGCGATGATGCGAGCGATCTAGACTTCGATCTCTATGGCGACGATGGTGTTTGTCAGAACCTCTTCGGTCTTTCTCCCGATCTCTGTCCGGCGCATCCAGTTTGAACCCGTCGAGGCTGTCCACTGACGGGGATCGCCTTCGCCGATGACACGACTTCCGCACCTCCTCTGCTTTCAAAGTTTCGATCTCTCTTCGCTTTTCATCATTCCACCGCTTCCGTTCCTGCTCTGTTGCTTTCAACTGACGCACACCCCGCTTGATGGCTGCAAGTGGGTCATTCGCGCTCATACGAGCCTGTGTCCTCTCTTTACGCCTCGGGTCCGCGTTGCCCCACACATCTTTCCCGGGCATCGACTCTGGTGCGGTTGCATTTTGTTCTGCGGAGGAATACCAAGGTTTTTGGCCAATAGTCTCCTTGAAGCCTGCGGCGTTGGAGAACCTCATTGTGTATTGGTCTTCATAGCTGCGTTTCTTCCGTGATGCTTCAGCCTCAGCTTCAGGGTTCTTCTCTGCTTTAGCACTTGCGGCTGGGAACAGGTTGATATGGCCGGCCTTGTCTAGAATCGGAGCTTGTGCTGTGTCAGCCTTGTGAGAAATAAGCATCAACTCATCCCTTTTAGCAGCCGCTTGTGCTGCATCCTCCCGAGCGTATCGAATGTCTCGATCTGTATCATTTTCCCCAGCAACCCGCCTTCTCTTACGAAATCCTCCCGCATCGCTGGCATTTTTTCTGTCTGAACGAGCGCCAGGTTCGGACAACACGAGGGAGGGCACTGGCGGAGGCGTAGGCGGATGTTCGCCACGAAGAATCTTGATCCTGCGTGCAGCATCGACCTCTTGCATGATACGCTCATCTTCTTCTTCACGGGCTTTTGCTTGCGCCTCGTCGCGCTTGACGCGTGCGATATTTTCGACGTTGTAGACGTTCCATGACTTCTTGCCTAAGAGATGGCTATAAGTTAATTAGTGAAATTCGCAGTTATGATGAAATCAAGAAAAGAAACTCCACTTACAGAGGCATCTTGGAAACTGGCCTTTGCGTGGAAGTTGCTCGATAGCAAAGAGCTGGTCTTATCGATAATGACGTCCCCACGGCCCGACGCTGTTCCCGGGGGTGGCCACTGTGCCCCAACAGCTTCACGGCCCCAATACCCTTTTTGTCTCTCCATATTTGATTTTCTTTGGATATCAGGATATATCCAGCGAACTTCCGAACATAAACCTTTGAGAATTGGCCTAGGTCACCTGCGCTGCAGAGCCGACTTACTAACACAATTGCCTGCTCCTTTCCCGATACAGTGTCGCTAAGAAGATCCCGAACAGTTCTCATCTCATCCTCTGTGATTGACGACAATCAAACGGTTCACTATGTTCAATCGCAGCAACATCCCGAATCCGTTCGGCTCCAGCGGACAACCGTCCCCGCAGGGTCACCCGAACACCAACCAAGCACCCCCACGGTATGATACCGATCGCTGCCCCTCGTCCAGTACAGGCTATGCAGCTCTAATCCCCGATGACGATGTGCCGATGACTGATGTAAATAACGTTCTAAGGGGTTACGGAGGCCCACCTCCACCAGGAGGAAGGCCCCCACCGCAGCAGATGCCTTCGAGGATACAGTCTGGACAAAGAGATGGAGGCCAGACTTGGACTCTTCATCCCAGCAAAAGTCCGAACGAAAACTACACATTTGGAAACCTGTGAGTAATCTCCGGATACTTTTTTTTTCTTATTGTCGGGAACTAATACACAGTAGCGTCGCTGTTTCGCCGCAGGACATTCCACCCTCACGAGATGGCACCGACGTCCTCCTCCTCATCAATGACCTCTTCGTCTTCTCTGCTCGCCCCCTCGATGGTTTCCCTTCCGGTTATATGAGCATGTCGGATCCTCAGCGAACATGGGCCAACATCGGACTGAGAGATGCCATCAAGGTGCAGCTGTACGATCCGTTTAGCCAAGGTGGACAGGCCTACCTAGGCTCTGTGGATGTTGAGGTCAGCTTTGCATCTACCAAGAAACGGGTTGAAGCTCCTTATGACCAGGATGAACTGGCGCAGGCGGTGATCAGGGTATGTCGACTTCGTCGCAGTCCTGAGTACGCTCTAACAAATCCCAGAACTTTGAGAACCAACTTTTCTCGCCTGGCCAGAGAATTCTGATGGATAATAGGAGTATCCCGCTCTTGCTACAAGTCAAGACCGTTCAGCGGGTTGATTTGACATCTGAGAAGGCTGATCTAAGTTCTGGACAAGTCGAGACCGATCCTACGGCCAGGGGTATTCTCACGCGGCACACTCAACTCAACTTCTTTAAGGATACCCAGACCGGTATCAATGTGAAGCCATCTAATCGCCGACCGGCGGCTAACTCGATCATTCAACCGGGCTTCAAATTCCAGGACATGGGTATCGGTGGTTTAGACTCTGAGTTCAGTACGATCTTCCGTCGTGCTTTCGCCTCTCGCATTTTCCCTCCTGGCCTGGTTGAGAAACTTGGTATTCAGCACGTCAAGGGTCTTTTGCTTTATGGACCTCCAGGAACGGGTAAAACTCTCATTGCGCGACAGATCGGAAAGATGCTCAATGCTAGAGAGCCCAAGATTATTAACGGCCCAGAAGTTCTGAACAAGTACGTGGGTCAGTCGGAGGAAAACATCCGCAAGATGTTTGCGGATGCCGAGAAGGAGTACAAAGAAAAGGGCGACGAGAGTGGTCTCCATATTATCATCTTCGATGAGCTGGATGCAGTGTGCAAGCAGCGTGGTAGCGGAGCTGGTGGTGGTACCGGTGTCGGTGATAGCGTGGTCAACCAGCTCCTTTCGAAACTCGATGGTGTCGATCAACTGAACAATATCTTGTTGATTGGTATGACCAACCGGATGGATATGATAGATGAGGCTTTGCTGCGTCCTGGTCGTCTGGAGGTTCACATGGAAATCTCGCTCCCTGACGAGCATGGTCGAAGCCAAATTCTCAAAATTCACACCGAGAAGATGCGAAACAATAATGTTATGGATAAGGATGTTGACTTGGCTGAGCTTGCTCACTTGACCAAGAACTTTTCTGGTGCTGAGATCGCAGGTTTGGTCAAGTCTGCCTCGTCCTTTGCTTTCTCTCGCCATGTCAAAGTCGGGACTATGGCTAGTATCAACGATGACGTGGTGGACATGAAAGTCAACCGGGCCGACTTCCTCCACTCTCTCGAGGAAGTTAAGCCTGCCTTTGGTGTGTCCGAAGAAGAGCTGTCTAGCCGCATTCCATATGGAATTATCGACTATTCTCCAACTATCAGCGAAATCCTGCGGGAAGGCGAGTTATTCGTCAAGCAGGTTGGAGCAGCCGAGTCAACTCCACTATTCTCTGTGCTGCTTCATGGTCCTCCTAGCAGCGGCAAAACCGCCCTGGCAGCACGGATTGCCATAGATTCTGGCTTCCCCTTCATCAAGTTAATCAGCCCCGAAGACATGGTCGGCTTCAGCGAGCCAGCAAAGGTCTCACACATCAGCCGAATCTTTGACAGTGCCTACAAGAGTGCCACAAGTATCGTTGTCATCGACAACATCGAGCGAATCATCGACTGGGTGCCGATTGGTCCTCGCTTCAGCAACAGTGTGCTGCAAGCTCTCATGGTCTTCCTGAGGAAGCAGCCAACTCACGGACGTCGCCTATTGGTTCTGGCCACGACAACTGAGCGAGCCTTGATGAAGCAGCTAGACATCTATAACTCCTTCAATTCGGATATCATGGTTCCTAATGTTAGCTCTTTTGGTGAACTACGGTTTGTTATGCAGAAATCGGATGCCTTTGATGCGCAGGAGATTGCGCAAGCCCTCGGATCAGTTGGTGGACTTGCGGATGACGGGCGCTTGAGCGTCGGCATCAAGAAGATCCTGTTAGGCATTGAAACAGCCAAACAGGATTCTGACAAGGTTGGCCGCTTTGTTCGCGTTATCAACCGTGCTATTGAGGAGGAACGGAGTTTCCAGTAAACGTTGTTTCTAATGGGCGTTCTTATTGCTGAGTACAGCTTGGATTACAACTAGATCAGTCCTGAAGTATATAGGTGCTTACAAGGTAGCTTACAGGCCCATCTTCTAGCAAACAATCCGTCTACATTCTTATAAAAATTAGCACATCTTTGCGGAAATTTGAAACGCCATCTGATCACGGAGGATATCAACACAAAGTTATTCTAAGATTGCATGACACATTTGATCTTTCAGTTCAGTTTGGCACTCTATTCATCCAAAGGCCGGATTTTGCTAGTTTGTCACCTTGACATGACAACTTGCATGCACCTGAAGGTAAAACACCAAAGGCCTTCGACATAAATCAAGAGAACGAGCATCCAAACCCCTTGTAAATTTCAGCATTCAATAGCTCGTATTATATTGTAAGTAACAACCGTTTTGGTGTGTCCGGCCGAGATACATGAGCCTTCAGCATCAACTTATAGTTACACGATAACATGCCATACAACAGTCAATGGTGCTCAGCAATCCTCTAGAGATTCATACACACCACAAGGCCTCAGATTACAGGCCTGCAAGGCAGGAATTGCTAGTTCATTCCGAAAACCAAGGTAAACCCGATGCTCTTTAGAGAATCCTTTTTACTTAACGTCAGGAGACACAAACTACCTATCCAAGATATACACAAAGACCTAACCAAAGAAATTAAAGCGCTCCAAACCCAACGAAGATGCCAACAATCCACAATAGTCTTACAGGCATCTCAAGTTCCCAATTTTGTCCATACCAGGAGTGTCACCCCATCATATCAGTCATCAAGTACCCCATCGCAGCCCAAGCGAAGCCCAATCAGTAGTCATCATAGGCGTACTTCTTCGAAGAACGGCGATACTCATCAGGATGGGCCTTTTCAGCCTTAGCCTTCAGGGCACTATTTCCAGCCACGTGTGTCAGCCCTCTAGAGGCCCCCTCATCGGCGCTAATGCCGCAGGCACGCCGCTGATTGACATGCACGTGCCAAGCTCACCCAGCGGAGCGGAATCTCCTGTTGCGGAGCGGAGCGGAACTTGCACGTCCATCGTGCCACAACGCCTGTCTCCAGGGGCGGATTTGCTTACCTGACACGCTTCTGCGTCCATTCCAGGTCGCGGTTTGTCTCCCGTGCGGTTTTAAGGCCTTCGGAGAACTTCGCCCGCGCGCCTTTCAGTCGGCGTTGCGCGAGAGCTTGTAGCTCGAGGAGTTCTTGCTGCTTTGCGTTCAACTGTCCAGATCTGCGGGTGTAGTTGCTGTTAGCCTTTTTTTGGAGGAATCCTGGGATGGCTTTCTAGGGCTGTTTCTACGAGTTGCCATCTCCTGGCGGTTGTCGCTGCGGGGGAGGAGTTCCGCATGCTGATGAAGCGTTGTAGGGAAACTCACGTCTGCGCTTGCCGTGCTAACCCCTTATCCAGTGGCGTTGGATCAAATGCATCCTGCATGCGGTCGCTCAGGACATCCACGACATCGATGCCGGAGTACGATGCGAAGCTGGAGTCGTGCTCGCCGGCAGAGCTGAAGGTGAGCCCGCCAGAGGAAAGACTGCCAGCGGTGGTGCTTGCATCAGAGAAGTCTGGTGGCGAGCCAGAGACTCTAGAGATGGGGTAGAGATATGCTGTTGCTGGCGCCTTGGAGGGTGCATGGTGGTATGGGTAAGCAGCAGATTGATAATAGTGACGCTGGGTGGCCATGGTGACGATTGACAGCAACAACAGCACATGTGATAGTAGAACAAAGAAGAATTCCGAAGCTTAAATGGACTTTAGTGAAGTACGATGGAGGAGGAAGATGGGAAGGATGTGGAAGAATGTGCAAACGGGCCTAACGCAGTGGGATGGGAAATGAAGAAGAAGAAGAAGAAGAAGAAGAAGAAGAAGGAAAGACGAGGGATTTTATAACCTTCCGTGGGAAGTCTTCTGTCCGGCGGATGCTCTCATCCTGACGGAAGTGGGTGCGATGGCAAGGATTGCGAAGGTCTCGAAGGAGCCATTGGACCACTGGCGACACATTGA